CGACTAGAAAAACCGCAATACATACACTTAAATCAGAACATATAGCCAAGGCAGTGAGGCACGTACGGTATCCAATGGTGGGCCGGCCATATGGGCTGTGGGGAAACGCCTTCTGAGCAAAGGCTTCTGTGAAGCGGCCGTAGGGTGTGTTGTCTATGCGCAACCGCCTCTCCTCCCTCACCACCTGGCATGGTGGTGCGATGTGGTGTCACGTGGTTGGGTACGGTGTTGTGTGGTTGAGTGCGGTGCAACAAAGTTGATACAAGTTTATGGGATCTACTGAGAGGGAAACGCCTGCTGAGCAAAGGCCTCTGTTAAGCGGCCGTAGGGCGTGTTGTCTATGTGCAACCGCCTCTCCTCCCTTACCACCTGGCATGGTTGGGTGCGGTGCAATGTGGTTGGGTGCAGCGTGATGTGGCTGAGTGCGGTGCTGCAAAGTGGAAACGAGTTTACGTGCTCTAGTGAGAGGGAAACGCCTGGGCTGAGCAATAGCTTCGGTGAAGCGACCGTAGGGCGTGTTGTCAACACACAACCGCCTCTCCTCCCTCACTACCTGATGCGGTGGGGAGCGGTGCAAAAAACTTGACATGGGTTCATTCCTGCAGAGATAAAGACCACACTGGTTCATCCCAACTGAGCAAAGGCCTCTGTGGGCCGACTGTACGGCGTGTTGTCAATACGCAACCGCCTCTCCTCCCTCACCGCATGATGCGGTGGTGAAGTCAATACGGGCTTATGGGGTCTAGTGAGAGGGAAAACCCGGCGGACAAAGGCTTTAATGAAGCGGCCGTAAGGTGTGCTCTCTATGCACAGCCGCCTCTCCTCTTTCAGTTCATTCCCAGCCCATGCCTCATCCTCCACCTCCCTTCCTCTTACCTCCCTCCCGCTTTGTCCCCCCTCACCTCCTTCTCGCTGTACAGCTCGCGGAACACAGGCGCCAGGAACCGACCACTCTCAAGCGCTCTGGACTCCTTGTCACCCCACACCTTCATTTCCTTCCCCTCTTCCCCCCCCCTCACCTCCTTCTCGCTGTACAGCTCGCGGAACACAGGCGCCAGGAACCGACCGCTCTCAAGCGCTCAAGGCTCCTTGTCATCCCCATCCCTCATCCTTCACCTGCTCCCCCTTTCCCTCCGCCTCACCCCTCCCCCCCCCCTCACCTCCTTCTCACTGTACAGCTCGCGGAACACAGGCGCCAGGAACCTGCCGCTCTCAAGGGCCATCCAGAGCTCGAGCTTGTTGGCTGGCAGGGAAACAAAGTACTCTGGTGGTGGTGTGGCAGGTGAGGGAAGGCAGGGGGTGAAAGAAGAGACGGGTTGAAGATTGAAATGTGAACGTGGGAAGGGCAGGAAGGGATATGGGGAGCACAGTGTTAAAGCAAGAGACCGGCCGTTTTCAAGTGCCATCCAGAGCTCGAGCTTGTTGGCGGGAAGGCAGCGAGACAAAGTACTCTGGTGGGAGGGGGTGTAGGGAGAGAGACGTTTTGGGGAGGCAGGGGAATGAAAAACCTGAACGTGAGACAGGAAATAGGAGTTGTGCGGAGCGGAGAGCACGGTTTCAGCAAGGAACCGGCCGGCCACTCTCAAGCACCTTCCAGAGCTCGAGCTTGTTGGCAGGAAGGGAAGGCAGCGACACAAGGTACTCTGCGGAGGTTGAAAGGAGTAAGGGGGATGAAAAGCCTGAACGGGAGAACGTGACGCTCCCCGGCCGGTTGAACTGGCCCTTGGGTTGGATATGAACCCGTATCCAAGCTTTGTACGGGTTGAAGCCCTGGCTGGATTCCGTAGCTCCCCCACCCCCCCCCCCTCACCCACGCACGTGTGGAGTCCTGGCTGGTGGTCGCTTTGAGCCCCACACCCCCTTCCCGACTTCATAGGTCCCCCTCACACACCCTTAAAACCCTACCACCCTCCCTTTCCTTTCCCCTATCCGTCTCCATTCTCTCTCCCCCACCCCCACCCACGCACGTGTGGAGTCCTGGCTGGTGGTCGCATTGAGACCCACGCCCCTCTCGTTACTAGGAATTTTAGTTACCACTGTCTCAAGTACCGCCCTCTCCTCTCTTTCTCCCTTCTTCCCCTTCTCCCCTTTCTCTCTCCCTTCCCTTCCTTTCCCCCCACCCACACACGCACGTGTGGAGTCCTGGCTGGTGGTTGCATTGAACCCACGCCCCCTTCTCAACTTCAGAGGTACCCCTATAACCACCTTACTCCCCTAACCCTCCCTTCCCACTTTTCCCTCCCACCCACGCACGTGTGGAATCTTGGCTGGTGGTCGCGTTGATTCCCACGCCCCCTTCCCCCTTGTCACTAAGTAAGAGACGTTCTTTTCAAATACTGTTTTCTCCCTCTGTTACACCTTCTCCCTCTCTCCGCCCCCCTACTCACGTGTTGAGTCCTGGCTGGTGGTCGCGTTCAGCCCCACGCCCCCTTCCCGCGACACCAATGCACCAAAGGCGTTTGGAACAGACAACTCCGCTGCTTGCTGCTGCAGACGAGCCTGGAAGACAGCAGAGTGGTGCAGAGTGGTGCATAGTGGGGCAGAGTGGGGCAGAGTGGGCCAAAACGGGGCAGAGTAGTGGGTAAGGGTATTTCGTGGGTGTTGTGTATGTATTTGGGGTGCTGCTGCTGTTGCTGCTACAAATAACTGCTAGTGGGGAACAAGCGAAATGAGCACCATGTTTTTCTAGAGGGTGAAAAACAAGCGAGAACGATAACGAATGACAACAGCAAGGCTCGAGTGGGCACTCAAGGGCCCACTCAAGGAGAGACATTCGGGGGCGTTATCTTGAGATTGGTCATGATTCATGAAACACCATCAACATTCAGGAGTCAGGAGAATTCAGACTTGAGAGCTCAAGCTTAGAAGAACCTTCATTCACAGCAGCATCTGCACTCACAAATTCGTCCTCCAGCCGCTTGACTGTGCCTTCTGCTGCCCCGCCCTCCCGCGCCTCCTTCAGCCCGTAGAACGCTGCAGAGCAGGGCGGGAGAGGATGGAGAGGGTGATGGGGAGGGAACGACTCCCTCCGAGGGAAGGTTGAGGAGCTGGGGGATAGGAGGGGGGGGGTTCAAATGGTGGAACTCGGAGGTGGTTTCGGGACAATCTGAAGCAATCTAGATTTCAATCTTTGCATTGATTGAAGCAATTTAGAGCTCTCCCTCCTCAACCCCTTCCCTCACCTCATTCCCTTCCCCCTCTACACTCACCTTCGTCTACAAGCTCCAGCAGCCGGGACTCCTTCTGAGCATCCCTCGTTCCTATAACGGGCGTGCCTTTAAACGCCAGATGTTCCAATAGATGCGCCACACCCGTGCACCCATCCGCCTCGTCCGCCGCACCCACGTCAGCGTACGTGTGGCACGAGACAATCGGCGCCGCCCGCCGCTCCACTACAATCCAACGCATGCCGTTCGCAAGCGTGAACGTGCACACCCGCTCCGATAAGCTATCGAGCGCAGACCCCACACTCGTCCCCGCTCCCCCGCGCCCCTTCCCCTCCACTCCCCCGCTCTCGTCCCCCTCCACAAACCCTAATCCATGTCCTCCCCTCCAACTCCCCACTCCGGGTACCACTAACCCTGCTGCTGCTGCGCGTTCAGCAACCCCAACTGCAGCAGCAGCTGCGGCAGCAGACGCGAGAACCTGACGCCTCGTGACCGCCATTCCCTTCTGAACCTTCCCGTGCTGTTCGGCCTGCCTCTCTCGCTCCTCCGACCGCCCCTTACGCTCCGACCGCTGCCCATTTTCCTCTCTGCTCGATTCTCCGCCAGAAATGAAACTTGCGTTGCGATCTTCTCCTCTCGTTTCGCCTTTCCTCCCCGCTATCCGCACGTTTTCTCCCCTAGGGTCTCTATCTTCTCGCGGAGTCTTCCCTAAAGGTTTCGCCGGCTGTTGGCGGGAAGCAGCGCGCGCGGAAAAGGCGGGCGGGCGGAGAGCGGATCGGCGCAATGGCGCGCGGGAAGCGATGTGGGGGGAAGCGACGCGGCGGGATAAGGGGACTACAGCGAACGCGGAAGAGGCGGAGAGGCGAGTGTTGTCTGCCGCGCCACCTCCGCTGTAACGGAGTCGCGGCGACGGCGCCTGAAACGCGCACGCGGCGAGCTCCGCGGAAGCCGCCATGGCTGCTTCGGAGGAGGCACGCGGACGAGCGGAAGCTGACCCGCGGCGAGCTGGACAGGCGACGGCGGTCAAGAGAACGCGGCAGTTATGGCGACAATTATAGCCGGCGTGACAAAGTCTCGGAGAAACTTTTAGCGGCTAGCACAGAGCAGTACCGCTCAGAACTCAGGCTGATCAACAAAACGCAAATGAAAATTGTGTCGTACTTTTACTTCACTGTCGTACAATCGTACTTTTGAAACTGCAGAACTACGGTACAAAATGGCGTGACTGTAAAGAGTTTGGGTAGAATGAAACATGATGGCTTTACTGAAGTTTTGTAGAGGCTTACCAAAACGTGCTAATGGGTAGAGGTATGGTGAAGCTTGTAGAGGCTTACCAGAACGTGATACATGTTTTGAATGAAGCAAAAGCAACAGAGATTCCAGAGGGGTCTGAACTCGACCCTCCGAAACTCGGAATTGGTAGGCATTAAACAAGAACCGCAATCAAGCAGATGTGACGTTAGTGACTATCAATGAGGGAAATGACTATCAATGATGATGATGATGATGAGGGGAGACGATGCATCGCGTGCTCTTCTTGACGCTCCCACGACACGACATCCTCTCCTCTCATTCCTTCCTCCTATCCTTCCTTATCTCTCCAAATCGTCAATGCCTATACCTCTGCCGCCCACCATTTCATCCACTTTCCGAACCATCCCTCCCAAACTGCCGTTATTCATTCTTTCAAGCATTAAGACCAGAACACATAAGCAGCCCTGTCATGCTCTTTCTCATCCACCACTCCTCTTCTCCTTCTCGTCCACCCTCTCCTCCCGTGTGCAGGCCCAAAACATTTGGTTCCTGCCCGCCTGCCCGAGGTCAGAAGCTGCACTACCGCTGGGGGGGAATGGGCAGCTGGGGACGGGCCTCTAGCATCTCGTACTGTAGCACGAAGTTGTCCTGAGGGTAAGGAATTTGTGTTTGGGAGGGCAGGGCAACAGAGAGTGGAGAAGGGTGACATGTGAGCGTGTTATGTAAGAGAGCTAAGGAGCGCGGACAGGCCTCACACACACTCCCTGGCTGTCACTTCGCGGTAAGGTTGAGGAAGTAGCAGGAGCTCTATCTATATCCCAGTGCCTGTCCACCCCAGTGATTCTGTTCTTTAACCTTCCCCTCTTTCACACTCATCTCCCTTCCCCCCACCCAGTCACAACACGCACTTTGCACCCAGTATCCCACACGGTGGGATCAAAGTAGTAGGAGCCGCGCTCGTACGTGGGGGTTTTCACCACTGACCCAGTGCATTCCTCGCTCCCTTGCCCCTGCTTTTCCCCAGCTCAACTTCTTGCCTCTCACCTCCCTCCTTTCCCCACACCACTCACCTTGCGCCCTGTCTCCCACACGGTGGGATCAAAGTAGTAGTAGGAGCCGCGCTCGTACGTGGGGGTCTTCACCACTGACCCAGTGCATTCCTCCCTGTCCTTTGCCCCTGCCTTCCCCCACCTGAAAGCCCGCTCTCACCTCCCTCCTCTCCCCAAAACACGCACCTTGCGCCCGGTCTCCCACACGGTGGGGTCAAAGAAGTAGTAGGAGCCGCGCTCGTACGTGGGGGTCTTCACCACGGGATCGCTGTTGGGCACGCGTGTGAACCACACCTGATGCTCCTTGTGGTAGAACCACCCGCGGTTGCACCTGTGGGGAGAGGGAGAAAGGGGGAGAATGGGTGAGATGATTTATAAACAGACTCAGGAATGAGCAATGTATCAACCACACCTGGTATAACCACCCGCGGTTGCACCTGTGGGGAGAGGCAGGGAGGAGGGGTATGATAGTAACACACACTCAGGGATACACAATTTGTGTGAACCACACCTGATGCTCCTTGTGGTAGAACCACCCGCGGTTGCACCTGTGGGGAGAGGGAGAAAGGGGGAGAATGGGTGAGATGTTTTATAAACAGACTCAGGAATGAGCCATGTCCGAACCACACCTGGTGCTCCTTGTGGTAGAACCACCCGCGGTTGCACCTGCTCTCAAGAGTCAAAAGGGGTTGTGACCGGCGAAAGTGGTTGGTTTTACTGAATTTGTACTAATTTTACCTATGATATACATACACTTTTGTACTACATGTGTGAAACACGAGATGATTGATGTGAAATGCAAAATGTGGAATGCAAAATGCGTGCAGAGCACTCACAGTTCATCAGCAGAGAACAGCTGCGCCTCGTCATGCGGCATGCTGTTGAGAGGGCAGGCGGTGGGGACAGTAAACACAGGAAACACACACACACACCATCAAGAGCGGGTGCCGGGGGGAAAGGGGAGGGGGGGGGGGGGGGGGGGGGGGGGGGGGCAGAGTTATGGAGGAAAGGGGTGGTGGTGAGGTGGAAGGCAGGAGAGGAGGAGGACGAGGTGGCAGGTGGGAGGACCGCAGGTGGGAGGACCGCAGGTGGGAATATCGGCTATCGGCTGGGAAACAGCAGCAAAGGTGAAGGAGAGCGATGGGAACAAAACAAAAGCCTGTGTTGGTAGGTGAGCAAGATGAGACTTCGCCAGGTAGCACCCACCCATCCATCATCTACAGCTTACCACCACGCAGTGTAGGAACGCAAGGTTTTTACCAGTATTGAAGAACTCTAAGATAGACTCTTAAGAAAGGGGAAGACACGGAAGGTGTGTGGATCACGAAAAAAGGGGGGGAGGGTTTGACCTGTAGAGTGTATACAAGAGTGAGTTGCACTGAATTCTATTGTGTAGCCTCAGATCTCAAACCTCAAAACTCAAGAGTCCATTTCAAAGCATGTGGTGAGCTCACCTGTAGAATATATAGAAGAGCGTGTCCTGCTGGAACTTGGAAAAGTAACCGGGCTGCATGCGCGGTCACACAGTCACACAGGCCAGACATGGAAGAGAGGGGCAAGAGAGGAGAGGGCGAGGGAGAACAGGGCCGGTGAAAGATGGTGGAGAAGTAACGGAAAGGGGAGGGAAGGAGTGGAGGGGGATGGGAATGCATGGATTCACGAACCGGCAGGGAAAACCCCGGCTCTGCTCTGATCAGCCCATCCATCTAAAAACCCATTAATCTATTTATGAGGAGCTTGAAAAGGCAGCAAGTGGCACTGACTGACCTATAGGCGAGGCGTGGGTTGGATGTAGCAAGCCGGGAGGCTGAACTCCGGCTCAGCTCTAACCCGTGGCCGCCCATCTGACTATCTCTCTATTCTCATCTAATTATAGAGAGTCTAAACAGGCAGAGCCTGCACTGACTGACGTGCAGGCGAGGCGTGGGTTCGATGTAGCAAGCCGGGAGGCTGAACTCCAACTCAGCTCTCGCCCTTGACCACCCACCCACCTGACTATCTATCTATTTTCATCTAATTACAAGGCGCCTGAAGAGACAGAACCGGCACTGACAGACTGACCTGCAGGCGAGGCGTGGGTTGGATTGGATGTAGCAAGCCAACAGGCTGAACTCCGGCTCAGCTCCAACACGTGGCCGCCCATCTGACTATCTATCTATTCTCATCTAGTAATAAGGCGGCCAAACAGCCAGAGCCAGCACTGACTGACCTGCAGGCGAGGCGTGGGTTGGATGTAGCAAGCCGGGAGGCTGAACTCCGGCTCAGCTCTCGTCGGCCCATCCGCCCACGGCGATGCAAACGTGCGGTACAGATTCTCCCGCGAGTTCAGATTCAGCCCGAGAGTCGTCAGATCGGTCCCCAGCGCCAGCGTCGTCAAATCTGGATCGCTCATCCGAATCACACTGAGCAGCCCCAACAGCCCGTACTTATCAGGCCCGTCTATACCCTGCTCCTTCCCTGTTCCCACCTGCCCACTTCCTGCTTGAGCCTGATGCTGGGGACCTGTGGGACCAGGGGTACTGGATCGAGAACCAGGAGCTGAGCCCTGCTGCTCTCCAGCCTTCACTCCTCCTAACAGCACGTTTCCAGAGCCGTCCGCGTGCCGCAAACTAGACCCGTCTGCCCCCCGCGCCTGATCCTGCTGCTGCTCCTGCTGCTGTTGCTCTTGCTGCTGCTGCTGCTGCTGTTGCTGCTCTTGTTGCTGTTGCTGTTGCTGCTGCTGCTCTTGCTGTTTCTGCTGCTGCTGCTGGAGAGAAGGGCTAGGGCTGGCGGAGCGTTGCAGGATAAGCATGGAGCTACTGGGAGCACCCGGTGCATTCAAGGGCGGTGGGGACGAGAGCATGTGCTGATCTAGGTGCTTCAAATGCCCCCCCTGCTGCTGCTGCCCGTGGTGGTGCTGATGGTACTGGTGGAGGTGGGGGTTGTCGTGCAAACTGAGGTGCTGCAGCTGCTGCTGCTGCTGCTGAAGCATGTCCAAGTGGCTTCTTATCGACCCTCCTGCGCCCTGCTGCTGCTGTTGCTGTGCGGAACCCTCCTTGTCCCCTCCGTTGTCCGCTCCCGCTGCAAGAACAAGCAGCAGGCAGACGAAAGCAAGTAGAAAGAGAGAGAGAGTCGGTCAAAGGCGTCTTGAAAGATCAAGCTATATGCAACAACGAACTTGGAAAGGCTTGCAGATTACATTGTGGCCTGGTACAGCCGACACAGAAGCAGCAGTGGCAGCACCTTCATACGCAATCCCCATGCACACCGTGAAAATGGACATACAAGCACACGGCGTATCAGGCAAGGTACGCGCACCTTTGAGGCCGGGCAGTGCAGGGAAGTCCTCGTTCTGTATGCTGAACTCCGGGCCCCCCTGGTGTAACAGCGCGTTCAATGGAGCCCCTTTTCGTAGAACTGCCGCTGCTGCCGACCCTGCACCTGAACGGATCGCGAGCAGCACAGATGCGGGGTTGAAGGAGCAGGGTTGAGACGGGAGGGGTTTGTGAGACATTGGGTGTTAAAGGTTGTGCATGAGATGGTTGCGGAGAAACCCTGAGTCTATTGAGGGCCATGAACACACAGCAATCGAAGAGAACAAAGAGAACGTTAAAGGTGGGGAATGCGGCAGGTAAAGCAGGTGCATCAGATGCGGCATGTCTGTTCTACTGCCGACCTGACGCCATGGCCACACTCCCAGGCGGCCTCCTGTTGAGCGAGGGAAAATCGCTCATGTCAAACGCCGCCCCATCGCCCTCTCGCTGCTCGCCCCTCCCCAAAAGTTGGTCCTCCTGCCCTCCCTGCCTCGACTCCTCCCCCTGCTCGCCCTCTCCTTTCGACCCGTCCCGTTTGCTCTCTCCCTGTCCCTGCCCCTGCTTCTGCAGCAACACTGACCCTCCCTGCGTCTGTCCCTGCTGCCCCTGCTGCTGCATGTGCTGCTGCTGTTGCGGGTCGAGGAGCAACGACGATGGGCCTAGCTGCCCGTTGACTGCACCCATCTGCTTCGGTTGCTGCAACAGCTGCTGCTGCTGCTGCTGCTGGGTCTGCAGGTAGCTGTTACTGGAAAGCATGCCGGCAGGTGTACCAGCTGCAGGTGAGAGAGGCGAGGAGAGCGGGGAGAAGAGAGCGGATGGTTAAAACTAGGCAATGGCAATGGATAAGATCGGACGATAAGAAAAAATAAGGGGGGGGGAGGAACGGAAAGGAGGAGTGAGGTGTGGATGTGTGTGCGGAGAGAGAGCGGGGGAGGGGGGAGGAGAGGAGGGTGGGGGAAGAGGGGGGGGGGGGTGGAGGGAACAGCTAAAGCCCAAACGAAGCAGTCTCGCACTCACCGCGATTGATCATAGCCATCACGTCTCCTGACGGCTGGTACGACGCTCCCTGCAACCCCTGCTGTCCCCCTTGCCCTTGCTGCTGCTGCTGCTGCTGCTGCTGTTGCTGTCCGACCCCCACCTGCTGCTGCTGATGATGGTGCTGCCCCTGCGACTGCAACCCTAACGCCAACATCTGCTGCTGCTGCGCCTGCTGCTGCTGCTGCCCCTGCCCCTGCCCGGAAATCATTCCTGTTCCCAACGGCCGCCCAGGCCCCTGCACGCCCACAGCCCCTACACTTCCCCCCAACCCTACCGATCCCAGCGCGCGCGCTCCCCCTACCGTCGACATGCCCAGTGCGCCCGCGGGGTTCATCGCCCGAGACAACCCCGCGCTCGCTCCCGCGCCTGCCCCCGCGGAAAGCCCCATCCCTCCGCCCGCCCCTGCCATGCCCAGCGACCCGGGCGCGCCTAGTCTCCCTGCGGACCCCGCAATCTGCGACGGGTTCACCCCTAGACCCGCGGAGCCGATCGTCCGCTGCCCCGGCACGTTCGCGCTCATTCCGCTCATCCCGCTCATCCCGCTCATTCCGCTCATCCCGCTCATCCCCCCGCCCGCTGTTGCTACTCCGGGCGCGCCTGCTCCGCCGGATAGTCCGCTCATGCTTCCCGCGAAGGGATGGCCGCCTACTAGGCTTACTCCGCTCCCCCGGTTGGTCACCGCGCCTGTGTGCGCGTGCAGTCCTGGGATCTGCTGCTGCTGCTGCGATGGTGTTGGTTGGTGGTTGTGGTGTTGGTTGGTGGTTGTGGTGTTGGTGGTGATGGCAGGAGGAGTTGTTTTGAGAACGTGGGGGAGGGGCGATGAGGTTGCAAAGAAACAGAAAACGCGAGTGTTTTGTGTCATGACGGAGAGAGGGGAAGAAGAAAGGGCGAGACGAAACAAAAAAAAATGACGCGAGAAGCCAAAGCGAGAGGTAGAGGCAGCGAGACACAGGCGGACAAGCAGAAAGCGAGCACGTGACAGCCAGACACGAAACGACAAGTGCGCAAAGCCAACCCCACTCTCGCCGCACCTGTCCCGTGCTGGCCAGTGCTTTCAAAAACACCCTAAAACGCGAAGCATAAATTTCTCTCCCCCTCCCCCCTTCCCTTACCTGCTGCAGGTTGGCAGGGATCGTGCTGGTGCCGAAACGGCCTGCCGCCATATTGCCTGCGGACGGAGGTTGCGCCTGCGCGGACGGCACTCCGCCCATTCCCGTGCCTCTCGTAAGTGCGTTCTGCATACTCTGTATGCTGTACCCCGTCGCTTGCACATTGTGCAGCGATTGCAAGTTACCTGATGATATACGGAGGGGAGAAAACGGGAGGAAATTACAAAGAAGTTTTGCGTTCTCTATGTGTGCGGAAGCCAGTCACAAGCAATGGACCCACGTGCCCGGGAAAAAAAAAAAAAAAAAAAAAAAAAAAAAAAAAAAAAAACACACACACACACACACACGAGTACAGCGGAGGAGACAAGCGGAAGTGTAAACTCAATGAAATCGCAAGTCTACACCACGGTAAGAAAGAACGAGTCGGCGGGTGCACGAGAGCTCAGCTTACCTCGCCCATGAAAGGTGCGTGGACCTCTGTGTGGTGCTTGTGACTTTGCCGATTCATAAGAAATCTAGAAAGCTCAGCTCACCTCCGTGATGGAACGCTCCTGGATTTGTTGCTTGTGTCTGTGGCGCTGCAAAAGATGATGCGAACTGGCGACTGGAGTTCCCCGAATCAAGCACGGCTGGTGTTGATGTGTTAAGCATCGACTGCTGCAAGGTCATAGCACAAGTCATTTGCAATCCGTCTGTGTTGAAAAAACGCACAGAATTGCGAAAACGGCGAGCCAACAGGGAATCTGCTAGGAACAACAAGGTTTTCAGCCAACAAATTGACAGTCTCAACCCGCGACGAAAGCGGATGCGACGAGGATACGGAGGCGACCGCGAGAGTGCAGAGACATACCTCCTTGACAGAGGCATCTTGTCTGTAAGGGTAGTACATTGTCGGATCAACGCTGAACATCTACCGGGCATTTCGCTTTCTTCGCAGATCCAGCTTGCCTGAACACATCCCACCAACCACTAAGCATCAGTCGACAGGCGGTAGTCGTTAACCACTCAGCACTGGACGCGTGTGAAATTCGCTAACTTGTGGAAACCGCTTAGCATTCGGAAACAGCGATGAGCTAGACTAGGGCGACAATAACCTTTAACTACTTCCGAAAAAATATAATGCTTCGTTCCTGTCAAAGATCTAGTTTCCGACTGCTTAGCCCAACGCAAATCTGCCGTTCCAAACCGAGCTGCTAAAGGCAACCCTTCCCGTCTGTTAAGTCTAAACCCAAAGGACCAGCAAATACAGTACAAAGAGCTAAAGGATGCCTAATGGGGACCATGAAAGGAGCATATCGGACTCAGTCCTTCAACCGTGGGGAACCTAACGAACAACTATACAGGCGATTGCAGCGTCGACCGTGAGTATGAGGACTATTCTACAAGGCCGATACGAATTGGCTAACGATCGCGATATTAGCGTGTAAATGACGGAGTGTATTTACCTAAAGGAAACACCTCAAAACCGCAGAAACGAGCTCAGCGGCCAACTCAACTTCCCGTGACTTCGTCGCAACCGCAACAACAAGAAGGTCGCAACAATTAATCTCTAGGTGGAAAAGGTGTTATCAGATATGGGAACGAACGGAACGCTAGCAGTCCATGTTGCGACAAAGACAGGTAGTCAATGGATGTGGAGGACGGCCATGATTTGAACTGGTAGGAGGAAGAAAGGAAAAGAAGCAGAAAATGGGATTTGGTAACCCTAGCTTTTATCCTCAGTGCTCCACAAGCAGCAATCGAAATCGCAGGTCACGTGCCACCCAAAGAAAAGAGGCGGAGCGAGACGAAAGCGGAGAGGATGAGATAGGCAGCGGGGAGAAAGGAAAGCGGAGGGCTGTGGAGGACGGATTGGGGCGTAAGCGGGGAGAAGCAGTGTATGCGCGCGCAAAAGGCGGTTGCGGGAACAAAGCTGCGCAACAGGCCAACTAGGTCGAAAACCGCGATGAGTGGTCGTCAGGCTCTTGGTCAGACAGCCTCAGCCAAACGCACATTCAAAATACAGAAAAAATGTGATTGTTGAGGAAATTCTACTAGCGATAATTCAGTCCACGTGAAGTGTCTTCCAAGTGTACAACGAATGCTATGCTTACCCAAATCATCAACAATAAGGTAAATTGTTGATAGAAACACAAGCTCTATTCCATTACAAAACATACTTCACATGTATCTAACTGCTTCAAGCGCAGCTCAAATCATGGATAAGACACAATCAACCAAGCAGCATTCAGCAGTGATGGAAATCCAAGAGATGTGAAGGCGGCAGCAGAGGTAGGTCAGACGGGCAGCAGGAATGGAACACAAGGGAAACAAAGAGACAAAACAAGAACGGTGCAGCGGGAAAACGTTCCGGTCGGAATAATCCTAGGAAATGAGCTAGCATCAGTAGAAGCGGCAAATAGCACTTAAAACAGCCCTGGTGGCTGATACATTGATGGTGCACGACGAACTTGTCCGTTCACTGCCGAGCCAAAGCCATTCTGGCCATCACTCTGTGGCCAACTCAGTGCTGCAGGACTAAGCGAGCGAGGGGCATGAAGAAAAGCATCCGAGTGGGTGAGGGGATTACTTGGAACAAAGGCTTCTGGAAGCTGAGATGGACGAAGAGCAAATGTGCCATTCTGGGTGCTGTTCCCCAGAAACTGATTGATAGGAGCTGCTGGTAGATATTCAAAGCTCCCACTCGGGACAGAGTAATTCTTAGTCTGAACTCCTTGCGGCGATGGATGAAAAGAACTGACCCCTTGAGAGAGCGGCGGCTGATACGATGTAGGCAAGGAGTTGAGTGGGTCTGACAAAAACAAGGAGGACGAAACACCAGAAGCGGTCCCAGAGGCGACGGCAGCCTGCTGCTGCATTTCAGCATTGCCCATTTGCCAGTTGGTACTTTGCTGTATTCCAGACACAGTGCTGGTAGTTGCAGCTGCACCGACATGTTGCATCTGGTCTGCGTCAGCTTCACAGATCGAACCGAAAGGAGCTTTTGTTGAAGGTGAAGGAGATGACATCTGCAGCTCAATGGTCAGCGATACTGGATTCTTGCAAATGGGGCAAAGAGCCAAGACTGAAGAGCACTTGGCACATGAACACACGTGAGAGCACTCCAGAAGAAGCTGCCAAAACGTGAAAATAAAACCAATCAGAGCTGCATTCTCAATAAAACAGTTCTGTGAAGAAGATAAAGAACTCACCACAGTGGCAGGCTGGAACTTGCAGACCACACAGCATCCATAACTCGCATCATCTGCTTCACCTGCACTTGATTCTGATTTCACACATGAATCTGTAGAGTTGTTGCCATAAGAAGAATCAGAAGATAGATTCTGAACGGGACGGATTGGTTCTGGCTTTAAATGTGAGACTTGAACTGACAGAGGCTGTGCAACCCTCTTTTCCTGCACAGAATAACCAGCACTGCGAACTAACTGATTGGATAGATTTGCTGGCTTCGGCTTCGTGAGCTCCGGGAAAGCTTCCGATTCAAGAGGAACAGCAATGCCCGAAGTGACCTCCGCGGCCTGATAAACCCTCTCAGAATGACCAAAAGGTTTAGCTGACTCTGTGTAGTAGGTTTTTCTCATGTACTCAAGGGTCGTCAGAAGATGATGAAATGCTTGCGAACTTAGCAGGCTTGACACTCGGTCGACCCTCACATTCAACATGCTGTAAGTGGGAGAACAGGTGAGGGAAAGAAGAGCCAACAGAAAAGGGGGCAGGGGAAGAAAGAAGTGTAGAATTCACTGAAGGATGAGATGATGGTGGGATGCGGCGAAGCGGAGAAGCGGCAGAGGCAAACAGGGATGGGGTGTAGCGGGAGATAGCTGAATGGGACCCAGCACTATGCTAGTGAAAAGTAATGGAACTACAATGAATCAGCAAATCGTTAACTTCTGTGAAACTGTGGCCACGGAGTAGAAAAGTGAAGCACAAAAATGTATACTGGCTTCTGTATACAGACTATGCTACTTACTCGTCAGGAAGGATGCTCAGGCCAAAACACAGAATTTCCAGGGCTTGTTCGGACTTGGAAAAATATGAAACATGTGCAGCTGCCTCGAGAAGTTCATCAACAATTCTTGCCCGTGATGCTGATGGTACTGCATTCTCGACAGCATAAATTGTAAGAACAATATGAATAAACCACTTTCCAGCAATGCAGCGCTTAACAAAACTTACAAGATGGTGTTGCAAGACACGCTCGAAGCAGCCGCCCACTCTGTAGCGGGGAGGTATCACAAGCCATGTCTGAAAAGCAGCCAGACATTGACCCCAGCATAGTCTCGGCTACTTCCACCAGATCCAAGCTGAGACAAGCGTAATATATTTGAGTCAGCTAACAAATGAGTATGGAAGTGATTAATATATTGAGGAGCCTCAAGCACTATACCTTAAGAGGCCTTGCATGGAGCGAACTCCAGCGCGGGTCTTCAAGAGCTTATTACCACCACTCGCCATATTCAGAGCAGCAGCAATCGCGTGCCTTGAAGGCAGTGACCAGCGAATACTCTCAATTAGAAGCAGTGATGCCAGCTGGATCCATTGAGCACACCAGTTATGACGCAAACAACAGCTTCACAAAGAAAACAAAAGCGGCAGTAGGTCCTGACTTACCCCATGTTGTCCAACATAAACTGACGTTTCTTGATCTTTACCAAGCTCCGCACAGATTTGTGCTAAAGAAGTGAATGCTAAGGATGGTGGAATTCGTGCTTTCATTCCCATAGGCGGGCGTAAGGAGCAAATGCATATTTCAGCCTGCAGAAGGTTATGCAATGACAGAATCAATTTACTGGATTCACAACTGAAAAGCAGTTAAAAAAGGATACTGGGAAAAACAGCAACTTACGATTCTTTCAATAACATAAACCGCATACTGGTCCATCACCATTGAAAGCTGCACAGCAAAACCGCGAATCAGTCAGTCGTTTTGAAGACAGAGAGATAGAGACGAGAGCTTCAGGAGTCTTACAATGCTTCCTTTAATGCTTTCCATAACCATCTTCATTTCTTGAGCTCCATAGAGGCACACAAGCTGCCAGACCACCAGACAGGTTGTGAGATTATGCATCCAGCTTCCTGAATCAGTGCAAAATTCCTTCTAACTAACCATTTTCTGAATTGTAAAGGTACCCCGCTGATCTTTTGAAGAAGTCACCAGTCCCTTGTCACGGGTCAAAAAGCGCACAATGGAGGTGAAGCCACACTCCCCATGAACCACCTCATTCCTCAAATTACTCGCATAGTCAAACAGCTTTTGCAGGACATAATTTCCTGACACTGAACAGAGAATGTCAGAGAACGAAGAAATAGGAATTCTGAGGACCAATGGCGAAGAGTGGTGACTCACAATGTGTTGAGAGCTTTGCGGCATGAGGAGCGAGACTTTCAAGAGCTTGTTTTCCCACCCTAGACCTTCTAGGGTTTCCTGGACGCAAGTGGTAGGCCAGGTGCCTTGACCCCTGGTATTGTATGAAACGCAGCAGGTCAATACCAAATCGTTATGATAACGAGTAAGTCATTCATGCAACAACGTACTGTGCGATCATAAGCCATGGCGACGAAGTCATCGTAAGGCTTCAGAGGAGGGACAATGTAACCTTCTTTCAGGTCATCCGGTCGCGTGTTCAACCGCAATCCACTCCCATCAGCCCCAGTGACGCTTGGAGGAGGAGCATACTCATTCAATCCCCCAATTGAGACAACTCCGCTCCGTCCATACCGTACAATTTCTTTGGCCAACCCTTTGGCGCTCCCAGCTCCAATGAGTAATTGAAAGGATTGCCTTTCTTCGCGCAAGTAATCATCTTGAGGCTTAATGCATTTGACTGGAGGCAACGTGTTGGAATAGCTTTCAACAATCTGACGGCAGAAGGGGCAGCGGACTCCTTTATCAGCCTGCATGCAACGAGACGTAAGGACTCACGTTCATGAATACTCTAGTTGCAACCATGGCTGCTGGCAAACAACCACACAGAAACTGGTTAGCATCAGGACCTTGAAAACAGCGGACTGTCTGAGCTTCTGGACGCAATCTGCGCACGCTTTGTGGCGGCAAGGGATGAAGTATAAGTCCGCAGACGTGTCTTCACAACATATCGCACAGAACTCGCCATCGGAACCTTCTGACTTCTCTTCATCAAGCTTCAAAGACGAACGCAAACCATCAAAAAAAGAATCGTGCGCCATCCCTCCCTTAACTCGGGCTTCTTGAGAACTTAGCAATCTGTTCAGGAACGACATGATGCTGACGGTTCGCTGGCCAGCCTGATTTTGCTAAGGATAAACTGGCTACTAAAAGCGCTGCTCGGAGGTGCGGTTGTGGATGTGGTGGTGCTATGTTGTAGCGGGAACAGCAGCAAAAGTTGAACTGTACCAAAGACGCTAAAGTGTGTTCAGTAATTTGTTGGCCACAACCAAAATTGGCTACTGTCATTCGCCACAATCCTTTTGTGTCAATAACGAAACATCCACTAGGGAAAATGTTTGCAGCTGGAACCTGATTGTTCCTTCCCTTCTTCTCCTTCCATGACTTTAATTCATTTCTGCCTGGAACCATTCACACAAACCACATCCCAGCTCCGCATCTCTTCGATGAATCCAGGTAATTCGCCTTCGAGTGTGACTGAGGTCACAAACGCACCAGATGAAACCACGTCAGGTGTAGGCGAAGCGAAGGTCACAAGCACACCAGATGAAGACGCCCACGCCGTATTATCATCTGCCCTCATCAATTCTTCCGTTGAGCTAAACACATGGAGCTCCATCAAGTCTTTGCGCGGATTAAGCGTATCGACCCCACCGGAATCACCTGTCACCGCAGCACTTGCCTTCTCTGAAACTTACTGGGTATGTCTGCCGTTCTTGCTTATGTCATCCCAGCCTAAGTTAACGCTGACAAATGCGCAGACGAAGAACATGCTAACGTATGGGGACAAAGTCCCTGATGGTTTCGTTGACGTTTGGGGAGCAGCCGAGCAGTTTCCATTGTCATCATCCATCATCCTTGACAATTTCCCAGCGACTGTTGAGGCTGTTCTAGTGGACAGAAAGTCAGACGCTGAGCTGATCCTTCTTGAACGCAAAGCAATGTTGATTGATAGTCCACCCAGTCCTTCCGGCGCCTGCACAACTGCAAAACTCGGTTGGCGAGGCATCGCAGTTCGTTTGGCAGAGCTTGTTGCAAACCGTATGGGAGGAACAGCAGACTCAGACCAGGTTCTGCAGTCTGACTGGCGATCTGTATATTGGAAGATCAAGAGCGCATTTCGGAGTCACTACATTTCACTTGGCTTGATTACTTCTGGATTGATCAGGCACAGGGTCCTTCTCTTTAAGGTATGCCAAACTTTCTTTACCATTTGCGTTTTGTTTGAGTGAGCCTCATTGGCACGTGTTGTCTTTCAGGTGCTGGCGGATAAAGTTGGCGTACCTTGCTGCATTGTCCGTGGTCGGTTTTACACTGGCACAAAGGATGATGCAAGGGCCAAGATTCGAGACGAAAATGGTTCAGAATATGTGGTTGATCTAATGAAAGCGCCAGGCCTTTTAGTCCCGGTTACTAATCTGGAGACGCCTACAATTTCACCACTTGCAAGTCCTGTTGGTGAATACTGTGAAGTGGGGACAGAGCTCTTTCCAGCGTTGGTAGCATCTATGGCGAAATTACAGGGGAAGGATGGTACGTGTACAGCAATTCATTTTATAAGCCAGTTATCCCTAGGCTTTGATTCAAATCACCTTTACAGGACCAGAACCTGATTCTCGGAAAACACGTTTTGGGCAAACGCCTCTGAGTGATCAATCTGGTCCTGAAAGTGGATCAGATGTCGGAATCAGCAGCCCAATGTTCCGTCCTGAAGACAGGAAGAAACGCAGATCACCTTCCTGGACGGATGGGTGGGGTTCCCCACAAGTTCCCATGCTTGTTGCAGATGTTGCCAAGGAGAATCCAAGATTTGCTCAGAGGCTAAAGGTATTACAAACTTTCAACATGACAGACAAATGCGTGTCATCAACTCATGTTGAGACTTCCTTTTCTCAGGCTGTTCTGCAGTCTCCTGATAAAGAAAAGCGACAGCTGTTTTCATACAATCAGGTAACGAGTATCTGATTGTGCTCTTTCATATTAATTTCTGCTTCTTCTTGACTGACTATAACATCTCAATCTGTTCAGGCTGTGGAAACAGAGGAAGCAAGGTTGGAAGCAGGTAATGCATGAGGGAAAGCTTGAAATCAAGCCAGCTGAAGTGTTCATGTGCATTTTTCAACAGCAGAGTGTGTTCATGGCAGATAAAACCGACAACAATGGTGAAAATGCTTCGCAGTCAGTATGTGAAGACCCAAACGATTTCAGTTTCGCAAAAGAGATCAAAATATATACGATGGATGGCTATTTGATTCCAAGGGAGGCAGTGTCACTTGGAGAACGAGTGGGACTCGGTATGTGTTGTGCCTCAAAAGATCGAAGCTCCATATTCAGTGCTTATAAAAAAACTGCCTTGCAATTGCAGGGTCCTTTGGAGAAGTGTTCAAGGGCGAATGGAATGGCTTTGTACGAATCTTTGTTCTGGCTTTGCTTGGTCTGGTTGGCAGATTACACTCTGTTAACACTCGCTTTTGGCAGGAGGTGGCAGTGAAGAAGCTGCTAGATCAAGAAATCCCAGCTGACGCAGTTGAAGATTTGAAGTCTGAGGTACCGAATTCAACTGGCCAATTCCTTCTCTCATCGTTATAGTTTTAAATGTACCCAGGATAATCTCACTCTACCTGCTGAGCACAGGTTGCTATGATGCATCGGCTACGTCATCCCAACATTCTGCTTTTCATGGGTGCAATTATTGACCCTCCACATCTGTCAATTGTGACAGAATTTCTCCCAAGGTACGCATGTTCTGTAACATTCCGTGATCGTCAACCCTCTTGGTTAACTTCTTGGGGTGCCAGGGGAAGTATTTTCCGGCTGCTGACAAGGCCAAATGCATCTTCAAGCATGGATGAGCGGCGACGATTAAAGATGGCACTGGATGTGGTGAGTTAGAGTTCTTGTGGGATCCCCTTCTACAGTAAACGCAATTTGAGTGACGTTGTGTTTGCAGGCAAAGGGAATGAATTACCTTCACTGCTGCAACCCTCCTATCGTACACAGAGACCTAAAATCTCAAAATCTTCTTGTAGATAAGAACTGGGTCGTGAAGGTGAAACATTCTTCTATGCATGTTATTTCTTGGACTGTGAAACGTGCAGCGACACTGACACAGGTGCCTTCTAGGTTTGTGACTTCGGCCTGTCAAAGATCAAGCATCAGACGTATCTCTCGTCAAGGACTGCAGCTGGAACAGTATGTATGAACCCTTCTGCTCCACTGTTGCTGTAGCTGGGTTCTGACATGTGTCATCTTTTTCAGCCAGAGTGGATGGCCCCAGAAGTGCTGCGTAATGAACCTACGAATGAGAAGTAGGTAGTTTGCTTGTGCTCCAGCCACTCCGTCCTAAACCTCTGTCCCCCGTTTCCACACTTTTTACTCCCCTTGTTTAATTATAGCATTTCAGTAAATGTGTGCTTTCTGTTTAACCTGGGTTGCTTGTTTTCAGGAGCGATGTTTACAGTTTTGGCGTAGTCCTTTGGGAGCTCTCAACAATGCAACGCCCGTGGAGGGGCTTGAATGCCATGCAAGTTGTTGGAGCTGTTGGGTTCCAGCAAAGGAGGCTGGATGTACCAGCATCAGTTGATCCTGCTGTTTCAGAAATCATCAGAGCTTGCTGGGCAGAGTATGTCCCGTAACCTTTTGCCTTTTCCCTTTCTTGGATTATCGTTTCTAAGGTTCCCAATGTCTCCCAACAGGAAACCTCCTGAAAGGCCATCGTTCTCACAGATAGTGCATGAACTCAAAGCCCTGCACAAAAGGTGGACTTCTCCAGTGAGCCCAAGGTCACCTACATGAGGGAAACGATTATGTGCTGGCAGTTGAGCATTGCCCTCCAGTGCATTGCTCTGGTATCCTTGATTCAGGGGGTGAGCATGTGAATTCAGTGGTGGAATAGCAAACCCTACACTGTAATGTCAATATCAATGCTCCAAGTGAGGTTACTACTGATATGCAAAACGCTCTACGCAGTTGCTGATTCTGGCATTTTGAACCAAACATGATGAGGCACAAGAGACCCCTCGTGCTTTGCCATATATTGAGCATTCATCCTGCAAAGAAGCAATGGGCGCATGGACAGAAATGATTGAAGTCGGCAAACTCATCATGCATGCGGCCACAAAATCTGCTGAGGAAGAGGTTGGGAAGATAACAAGGGTCCATGTCACAAGGGTGGCATAGATGGGGGATTATTCGCATGACGGGCAGCAGTTAGCTCACTTGTCCAAGTCAAGGGGGCGCAGGGGATCGAAGGGTTCTGGGGTCACTCCAGCTGCAAACCCAGAAGACGGCGGTGCTGTTGCACTTTGTTGTGCTGGTGTTGTGGCGGGGGATGCTGCTGCTGCCGCTGGAGCAGCTTGAGCTTGAGGCCAAGCCTGGCACCACAGTGGCAACGATGTAAAAACAGGGGAATTCCATCCAAATACAACAGTCAAGCCAGTACACTATGAGTGAAACAGTAAATCCTGCTAGACCCTTCATTCCAGAAGATAAACGGTAACAAATAACACTGCTTGGAACTCCTTACATACCTGTTGCTGTCCGTAGCCCCCGTAACCTCCATATCCACCATATGAAGCATACGCTCCCTGGTTGTAGCCCCCTGAAGCATCGTAACCACTGTACCCTCCATAGTAACCAGTGTTACCAGCTGCAGCGCCCCAACCACCTGCTGCTGCTGCATTGGGATCATGCTGCTGCTGTGGCTGCTGCCACTGAGAGCCTTGGGAGGGGTAAGTTGAGGTACGCTGTGCAAAGAATCACAATAAAACAAGGAGACATCAGAAGATTTGCAGCCAGGAGAGGCATTGGAGTGAGAAAAACGAAACAGAAAAGTGGTATGAAGCTAAAAGGTGCATCATGCGTATAAAAATGTCCACATGGTTTCATCATATGTACATGACCACATGGAATCCCTCTGACCACACGCATGCACAAGTACATGCACACGCATGCGCATGCACGTGCACATACACATGCACATGCACATGCACATGCACATGCACATACACATGCACATACACATGCACATGCACATACACATGCGCATACACATACACATGCCCATACGCATACGCATACGCATACACATACACATACACATACACATACACATACACATACACACAGACATAGACAGAGACAGAGACATGCACATGCACATGCACATGCACATGCACATACACATGCACATGCACATGCACATGCACATACACGTGCACATACAAATGCACATACATATGCATGAGGCAGACTTACCTTTGTAGCGGGATTGCGGCCCCATGAGAGCCGCACAGACTGCTGCCCGATGACCGTGCCATGCATGTTCCTCAGCGCCTCCTCTGCCTGAGATCTGACAATTGGGGGGGGAGGAATCAGGACAGAAAGCAGGAAACAGCACGGAAATTGCTTGTGAGACGCCTCAAAACCTGATGACTATGCCATGCATGTTCCTTAGCGCCTCCTCTGCCTGCGATCTGAGAGTACAGGAAGGAAACCCGGGACCGAAAGCAGTAAGCAACACGTAAATTGCTTCGCAGGCGCCATAAAACCCAATGACCGTACCATGCCTGTTCCTCAGCGCCTCCTCTGCCTGCCTGCACCCATGCACCCATCCACCATGCACAATGCACCCACCGGTGTCGAAACTTCACGAATCCACAGCCCTTGCCAAATGGGATCTTCACATACACCAGCTCGCCCGCCCCATGGTTGCTGCAGCAACCAACATCCGCACTTTCCACCATGCACCCATGCACCATGCACCCATGCACCCGTGCACCCATGCACCCATGCACCCATCCACCATGCACCCATGAACTCACCGGTGTCGGAACTGCACGAAGCCACAGCCCTTGCCAAACGGGATATTCACATACACCAGCTCGCCCCACGGCTGCAGCAACTAACATGCACCCATGCACCCATGCACCCATGCACCCATGCACCCATGCACCCATGCACCCATGCACCCATGCACCCATGCACCCATGAACCCATGCACCCATGAACCCATGCACCCATGCACCCATGCACCCATGCACCCATGAACCCATGCACCCATGCACCCATGCACCCATGCACCCATGCACCCATGCACCCATGAACCCATGCACCAATGCACCCATGCACCAATGCACCCATGCACCAATGCACCCATGCACCAATGCACCCATGCACCAATGTACCCATGCACCCATGCACCCATGCACCCATGCACCCTTGCACCCATGCACCCATGCACCCACCGGTGTCGGAACTGGACGAAGCCACAACCCTTGCCGAACGGGATCTTCACATATACCAGCTCGCCCCACGGCCCAAACACTGCTCTCAGCTGCTCGTCCGTCACACTCTGGTCCAACCCTCCTACAAAGATCTGCCATGGGGTGGGCAGTGAAACAGCAAGAATGATGAAAACATTGCTCAGGTTGACTCATATACCACACCATCTCAGCTCGGCCCACAGACCAAACATCATCTTGAGCTGCCCATCTGTCACACTCTGGTACAGACCGCCAAAAAGAACTGATGTGGTGTGGAGACTGGACAGTGAGATAGGAAAGGGGGAAAAGAAAGTCGCTTTAGGGTCGACTCAAACACCATACCCCCTCAGCTCGACTCACTGGCCAAACAATGCTCTCTCTCAGCTGCTCACTCACTCTCGTTGAGCAGCTGGTGGGATGAGAATGGTCCGCTCACCCACCGTGGTGGTGTTGATGTAAAACAATTCCTCTCTCTCTCTCGCTCCCCACAATGCCCCCAAGCTCACTCACTCGCTCACTGTGGTGGTGGTCTGCCCTCAACTCACCGTGGTGTTGCTGGGGTCTCCCTCTCCCCCTGGTCCCTGTGCCTGGGGCTGAGGCAGGGGGGTCAAGCTTTCTCTCCTCCCACACTGCTCTCGGCTCACCGTGGTGTTGCTGGGGTCATCCTCTCCCCCTGGTCCCTGCGCCTGGGGCTGGGGGCCCGCCCTCGCGCCTCCCCCTTTCCCAGTCAACCCACTGTCTGCGCACTCACTCTCACACACCCCACACTGCCCTCAACTCACCGTGGTGTTGCTGGGGTCATCCTCCCCCCCCGGTCCCTGCGCCTGGGGCTGAGGGCCCGCCCTTGGAGCTCCGCCTTGCCCACCCTGCGGGCCACCTGAAGCGACGGGCAAGATCGATTCAAGAAAGGAACGAGGTGCCTTGAAATACTTGTTTTGAGACGTCTCAAAACGAACCCTTTATATCACCGGGCCCGCCCTTGAGCTCCCCCTTGCCCACCCTGCGGGCCACCTGAAGCGAGGGGCAAGATCGATTCAAGAAAGGAACAGGTGCCTTGTCACTTTGAAGGAATTCTTGAGGTGATTCCAGCCTGCCCCCTGAGAGTGGCGATGGGAACGAGCTCCTGGCTTCTTGGAAGTGGAAATGCGGATTCGCAGAGGCGTGAGGAGCAGAGCAGGTCACATTCCCACCTTAGCACACCGCCCTCTACCCACCTTCACAGCCTGCCGCGTCCTGCCCCATTCTCCCCCACCTTCCCCCCTCCCACCTTCCTCCACTTCCCCTTACCCTGCCCCTGGACCCCGGGCTTTTTCGGAGTGGCGACGCTGATGCGCATGGGGCGGGAGGAGCACATCACATCCCCACCTTCCCACCGCACTCTACCCAGATTCACCCACCCCTCCCACAACCTGCACGACTCCTCCCTGGTCCCCTTATCTCCCTCACCCTGCCCCGGAGCTCCAGACTTCTTGAGAGTGGCAACGCTGATGCGCAGGGTGGGAGGAGAGGAGCACACTACACACCCACCCTACCCCAGCGCACTCAACCCATCTTTACCCCTTTCCCCCCACAGCCTGCCGCCCCCTAGCCTGCCCTCACCTTGCCCCGGCGCTCCAGGCTTCTTGGGAGTGGCGACGCTGATGCGCATGGGGCGGGAGGAGCACATCTGGCCGTTCATCTCGTGCAACGCACGGTCCCGCTCCTCCTCTGAAGAGAATCGCACGAAGCCGTACCCCTTGGTGCGCCCACTCACGTTATCCACCACCACCTGTACGGCAAAGGGCGGAACGGGCACGGGGAGGAGGGGTATTGACAGGGAAGAAGGGGGACGGGGATGGGTAAGACCTATGAGGAGAATCGGCGAAGCCATACCCCTTGGTGCGCCCACTCACGTTATCCACCACCACCTGTTCCGTAGAGAGGGGGCAAGGAAGGGGGAATGGAGAAGGGAAGGGGAAGTGAACAGGGCGAAAGCAGGGTGGTATGGACGAGAGAAGGCGGAATCAACTCTGAGGAGAATCGCACGAAGCCATACCCGTTGGTGCGCCCACTCACATTGTCCACCACCACCTGTTCAATAAGGGACGAGGGAGGAGGGGGGGGGGGGGGGGGCAGGGAGAGATGGAGAAGAGGGGAGGGGATGGAAATTGGGGCGGGAGGAAGGGGTTGGGTTCAGCCCTGTGCGGAGAATCGCACGAAGCCATACCCCTTGGTGCGCCCACTCACATTGTTCACCACCACCTGATGCAGGGAATAGGGGCAATGAGAGGCAGGGAGCACAATGTCTTGCAGAGTCAAGCAGGCAATCGTTCACAATGCCTCACAATTTCTAGAGCCAGGCCCCACTTCCCCTGCGACACAACCTCGCCTTCCCCGCTCCTCGCTCACCCCCTTTTCGCACCACCTCACCTTTCCGTTCGACACACCCACTCACCTTATACGGCCTAAGCCCAAAGCCAGAACCCTACCCCCTTTCCCTTCTCCTCACTCATCCCTCTCCTCACCTTGGCACCTTTAACAGAGCCGTGGCGGCAGCGGAACGCTTCGCAGAGCAGATAGTCGTTCACGTCTGGAGAACGGAAACCGTAAACCCTAAATCCCAGACATAAATAAAACCCTTCCCCCTGCTCTCACCTTGGCGCCTCTAACGGGCCCGTAGCGACAGCGGAAGGTCCGCACAGCAGGTACTCGTTCACGTCTGGAGACGTGGTCCCACTCGCCTCATACACTCCTCCGAACCTCAACCCTAAACCTTAAACCCGCAAGCCTAAAATCTTGAGTCCAATGCCCTACACCCCTCATCCCCTGCTCTCACCTTGGCGCCTCTCACGGAGCCGTAGCGGCAGCGGAAGGTTTCACAGAGCAAGTAGTCGTTCACGTCTGGAGCCAGGTCGCCCACGAATATGGAGAACTCCTGCCCGTCCGCTGGGCGACCGCCACTGGTACAAAGACAAAGGGGATGCGGGGGAGCGAGGGGGACGGCGGTGTTGGGAATAAGAAGGATAAAAAAGCTGCCGGAGCCAAGTCGCCCACGAATATGGAGAACTCCTGCCCGTCCGCCGGGCGCCCACCACTGGTATGTGGGGTGAGGGGGGATAGAGCGGACGAAAGGGGTCCAGTCTTGAGGAGCCAAGTCGCCCACCCACCCACCACCACTGGTATGGAGGGATGCAGGGAGAAAGGAGATTATTGGGGGGGAGGGGAGGGGGGGATGGGAGACGGAAGGAGTTGGCAGGCAGGGAGATGCTGGTTGGTTTGGTACTGTGGTGCTGGCAGGGCGGTGAAGAAATGGACAAGTGTAACGAATACATGCAGTAAACCCAGTAATGCACTCCCACTTCTCATTGCCCCTCTTCCCTCTAATCTCATCCCCGACTTTTCGACTCGACCCCCCTCTCCCCCCTTTGCCCTCCCCAACTCCTGCTTCCCTCCCCCCCTCACCCTTTTTCCCCGGCGCCAAACGCGGCCCAATTATGCGGAACGGCTGCTGCTCCGCCTGAGGCATTGGCCTTCCCTGGTAGGCCGCTAGCGCCTGCTGTGCTGTTAAGTGCCGTCACGCACGTCACCCCCTCACCTCGTTCCATCCATACCCCACGCATTTCCCCGCCCCACCTCTCCCACACTCACCCTTTTTCCCCGGCGCCGAACGCGGCCCAGTTGATGCGGAACGGCTGCTGCTCCGCCTGAGGCATTGGCGTGCCCTGGTAGGCCGCTAGCGCCTGCTCCGCTGCTGCATGAGTCGTGAACTCCACGAACCCGTACCCCTCCGGCTGCCCTGTCGCCCTGTTGCGAATGATCTTCGCATTTGCAACCTTTGGGGAAGGACAGGGGGGGAAGTACCACGGTAAAAGGGGACAACAAATAGCAGTTCAATTGAACTCCACTAGCTTTTACGGTACTCCGCCGGCTGCCCCGTTGCCCTGTTTTGAATGATCCATGCATCCCCGAAAATCAGAATACAACAATTCAGGGTACCAGGCTTTGCAAACGTTGCGAGAGAAAAAATATCGTCAGCCTAACTTCGCAAATCATCGCGAGAGAGATCTTATAGAAATTTTAAAACGCTTGGATACCTAGAGACCTCGTACGTGGCAGAAAGGGTAAGTCTCGTCTCGACCACTGTTTTTATTGCTCTTTTTTTACGGAAGAGTTTGTAGAGATCGATGGAACACCGACTGGCGCCGCCTGTGGAACGAAAAGTTCCATCGATGGAACGCGTTCTACAGAAAACGCCTCGACCATCCGGTAGTGGAGGTCTCTGAGAGAGATACTCTTAATTGGACGCGAACACGTTGACAATTTCTCGCTTATAACACCCACGTTCCAAGGGTTCCTGTCCATCCGCTACTGCTGAATCTTAAAGTTACCGAATATTTCTAGAGGTCAATGGCACGCCAACTGACCTGGCCCGTGGACGCGAACGCGTTCCATAGGTAAGTCTCGTCCATCCAGTATTGCAGATCCCCCACCCACAGCGTCCGCGGCTCATCCGCTCCGCCTGCGCCGGCGCCGGCGCCGGTCGCGGCTTGCGCTCCTCCCCATTGCCCCGCGGGGGGTGCTGCTGGCTGCATGCTGGCGTTGCGCGTATGAGCGAGGTACGACGACGGGACGGACGGGGGGAAGGAAATGCAGACACAAAAATATATCGCTAAAAATAACCCTAATAATATCAGGACAGCATACGGAAAAAAACCCTAGTGGGAGTGTGGGATGGGAAGAGATGTTCTCGTTATTGAATCATTTGGTCGTGTGATAACTCAGCTCAATCAATATTCCTGTCTAGTTTCCTTACTGTGTCTTCCTTATCTCCTTCGGAACTGAACATGGCCAGTGCTGTAAATTGATCCTCTGCAAATATTCAAAAGGTCCAACGAAGTGCAGCTTTCATGCTCTACACTAACAATAATATTAACTAATCACCCAATCTCATATACCTCTCTACACTACACGGAGCTGCACTTCCTTGGACCTCAAGTGTGTACCAATGCATTCTCCACCCACTACACCACAACTCCGTTTGAAGCAGCCTCGACTGCGCCATCAACAGATGCCTTCTCAGCATCTACACCTTTCCGCGCATACGTTCGCCGGTACAAATCATCCACCTGCGTGAGGTAGTAAGTGCCGGGCTGGAGGCGATCCGTGGGAGTGGCTGGGGTGAAGGAGCATGCACCGTATCGGGATTCCATCAGATGCATTGTCTTCACAAACTCCTCTGGTGTTACCTGGTAACAGAAAGGAAGCAGGCAGGGGAGGAGCTTGTCTGTGTGAGTGAAAGAATCCAGGAGCTGGTGCTTCTCTAGATGAGCAGTGAGTGTGAGAGCAGCGAGGGAGAAGGACGACAGTCAATGCACACTGAAATGTGCGGTTGGTAACGGCATGAAGAGGGCACTGTCAGCATCCAACCTCCCTCACACACGCGCGCACACAAACCCACCTTGGTTCGAGACTCGAGCAGCTGGTGCACGTCCAAATGAGCGGTGAGTGTGGCGAGGGAGAATGGGTCAGCAGCTTGGCGCACGGTAAGCGAGAAGAGCGTTGACATGAGGCCCGAGCCGTACGAGAAGAGCAATATGCGATGCCCCTCCTGATGGGGGCAGAGAGGGAGAGGAGGAAGAGCGGCGACATGAGGCCAGAGCCGTAGGATAAGAGCAATATGAGAAGGGCCTCTTGATGTGAGCAGGGGCACCATAGAGCGAGGCACAGTAAATGTTGCCCACACGCTTCATTGCTCACCGCCAATACCAGCACTACCAGTTCTTCCTGTATGATGACTGCCACAACCACTAGTTCCTCTAGCATTATGAGTGCACCCATGCTTTGAGCCGCCACACGTACCAGTTGCTGCCCTTGCTGTGCAAGAAGCGATGAGAGGCTGCCATAGAGCGAGGCGCAGTACATGTTGCCCACCCGCTTGCCCACGAGGGTGGTGGGGCCCACCTTGCTGCTGTACACTGGCCCTGCCACCCGCATGGCCGTCTGCACGTGTGTGGGGGCACATGTGTGAAGGGACACAAGGACAAAGAAAGAGAGAGGGACGGCTCAGGGACACCGTGCCTGGCCACGAATGTGGTGGGCCCACCTTGCTGCTGTACACCGGCCCTGCCACTCGCATGGCCGTCTGTAGGCAAGGGGGCAGGAGAATGGGCACAGCACACAGGGGCACGGGTGTAGAGACACAGAAGGTAAAGGGAGCTGGCTTAGTCAGAGGCGCTACAAGTGTCCCTGCGCCCACATGCCAAGTACCACCGTCTCCAAGCAAATCTACAACATGCAAGCGGCTCACCTCCTTCCAGGTCTCTGTCCACGAGGCTCTTGTGTGATCCTCTCTATCCAGGAGGTTCAGACGATGCCCGTGCCCGTTCAGGTGTGAAGCGCCAAGTATCAACTTTCCCAAGGAGAATGAAACTACACCATGCAAGCATCTCACCTTCTCCAGGTCTCTGTCCACGAGGTCAGATGAGTGCCCCTGCGCTCACCTTCCCCAAGTATCACCTTCCCCAGGCAGGGTGAAACCACAGGAGCAGCTCACCTTCTCCAGGTCTCTGTCCGTGAGGCTCTTCTCTTCCTCCAGTCCCACAAACGGCTGCAGTGCATCCGCCTCTCCCACACCCAGATACGAGCTGCATGGGCATGGGAGGAAATGGATGAATGGGGGAAAAAGGGGAAGGCGAGGGAGGAGGGGAACGGGGAAGAAAAAGGGGACATCTCATGTGAGTTCTTGTTCCTGCCCCTCTTGGCCCTCACAGTTTCTCTATGCCGTATCCCTATGTCCTCCTGTTCACTCCACCCGTCATGACATTTAAGTGCCAGCCATGGAGGCACTTCTGCAACTGAAGCCCTTATGCTCTTAGCCATGTTGGCCCCTACACCCGTTCCCCCTTGCGACCATTCCCTCTTGCACCCGTCCCCTCTACAGTGCGTCTATGCCCTGGCCCATACAGGCTACACAGGCTATGGCACCTTGTGCTTACGTACCTGCTCACTCCCCTCTTGACATCATTGAACACTAGCCTTGCCAGACTCTTCTGCACGAGCTGAGACACGCAGGGAGGAGGGGAGATGGAAGAGGGGAAAAGAGGAGGGGGACGTGTGTGTGAGCAGAAGCATAGGCCATGGCATCATCATGGTCCTATTTCATGACATAAAACATCCGAAACCGTATTTTGATGAAAGACATAGTTTCTGCACCTTCATCAATTGGTGAGTAGGGTGTGTCAGTCTGTCTGCTTCCTGAAGCACATGTGTAAGCAAATTGCATGGCTAGAACCCAGCGTGTCGTGCACCAGTCCCGCCATACCTTGTTGTAGGGAGAGTGGAAGACCACGGATTCAGTATCAGCCAATGAGAACGCAGAGCCATGCTTCTTGGCGTACCTGCAGCACAGCACACAGGCAAGCAGGCAGGCACGCAGCAAGAATGCATATAGGCACTTTCAAAGCATGCATTGCTTGTTGAAACGCGAAAGGTTGCTGGCTTCCAATTCTATAACAAACGGGCGAGCGGAATCAAGAGCGAGCACGCTCACTGTTGAAGGGATGGCGTGTGAGAGCTTACTTGTCACAGAAGCGTTGGTAGCAGTGGTCGAGCGCCTTAGTGTAGCACGTCTGCGATAGCTTGCCATCCACCACCTGCATGCACACACACACGCATGCATGATGCAGATGCACACACGCAGCGTATTGGTGATGGTATTAGTACTGAGACGATAGTACCAGGGACTAATGCAATCCAAGGAATGTCATGCACACTTCACAAGGTTCTATGAAATATACCCCCCCACAACACTCCTTTTGCTAGCACTCTTATCATCCAAGGATAAAACTTCAGGTCCAAGCAGAGGCACAGCCAAGGGTTTGAACTGAGCATCACTTTCATGTGGAACTCCCGAGCTAAAACAACTCACAGGGTATTCACTGGCGAGTTTGGGCTTGTAAAAATCGTACGCATGGGCGGCATAGCTGCCCGCCAGCCCACTCTCGAATGCCAGGGGCGCGTCTGGCCCCACCAGCATCGCCACCGCGCCTGCTCCCCCTGTTGGCCGCGCTGGGCCCTCCGCGTACACCTGGTTATGGTAGGGCAGGATAGAAGGCGAGGCAGGGGTTTAGTGTTTCGGGTTTCGGGTTTAGGAGAGAAATATGGTTTAAGGCGCTGAATGGAGCATGGCAAGCGTACAGCAGCACCCCATGCCCAGTACCCCACATCCCTTGGATTTGCATACCCACACCCCTCCCCTCGAACAACGCCACATTCCATGTTATATCCCACATGCCACACATGCCACCTCACACACTCACAGTACCCACATGCCACGTATGCCACCTCACACACTCACAATACCCACATGCCGCCCAAACTCCCTCAAACAACACACGTCCCTCCCTGTACTCACAGCGCTGTCAACAGCAACAACAATGGCAAAACGGCCATCCCACGACGACCCCTCCACCCAGTTGACACTGTTCAGCAGCGCTGCAGTGCCACCGTAGCACGCGTTGCACGAATCAACGCCCTCCACGTCAGCGTTGCCGCTGGCCTCGAAGAGAGTCATGATGGCGGTCTTGATGGACTTGCTCTTGTCGATCACCGTCTCTGTCCCCACCTCCAACCGCCCTATGCGCGTTGGGTCCACCCCGTTCTTCTCTAGCAACCGCTGGACAGCAGTCAGGCTGCATTGGTGGGGAGGGTGAACAAAGGAGTCCAGTACAATCCAATTACTGTCTCTGTGCCCACCTCCAGCCGCCCTATGCGCGATGGGTCTATGCCGTTCTTCTCCAAGAGCCGCTGGACAACAGTCAGGCTGCATTGGTGGGGAGGGTGAACAAAGGAGTCCAGTACAATCCAATTACTGTCTCTGTGCCCACCTCCAGCCGCCCTATGCGCGATGCGTCTATGCCGTTCTTCTCTAAGGGCCGCTGGACAACAGTCAGGCTGCATTGCAAAGGGTGGGAGAAGAGGTGAGAGAAAAACACATAAAAGGTTGTCTTTCAGTCACACCCGCAAGTGATGGATTCGCTGTTGTTGTTTACTGTCTATGCCTATCTCCTGCAGTGCTATGCTCGAAATGTCTGTGCTGTTCTTCTCCAGCAATTCTCGATTTCGCCTCGTGTGCGTTCTTCAATGCACCAGAACCAGGTTAAGCATTTCAATTCATCGGGATGAAACGAACCTGACGGAGATGAAACGCACCTCATGCTGATGACATCCTCCTGGTCGCAGCAGAATCCGAGCTCGTCCTGCCCCAACCCGATGGTGTACTTGCCCGCACTCACGCCGTCGTGGACCTCCAACTCCGTCTGCATTTCCCCACACGCCAATGGTTGATCAGGCATTCGCGGTAAAAGAGCTTCACGTTAGCACGTGGAGGAATTAAATCGGGACGCATTACGCAAGAACAGTGTAATCGAGGCAGCGACAAACTAGAACTCCGGCCCGAGGCATAGCCATGGAAGAATGCAGATGATTGTTTCCGGGGTGTGATGACGATGCGATGCATTGACGAGCAACGTTGCTCGTCAATTCGTAAATTAAAAAAAACCCATTGACGAATAACGAGATGGGATAAGAATTACAGGAGGTGAGAGATGTAGCGACCTGGGAGACGAAGCTGGGTGGGACGTAGAGCTCCATGGCGAGGATGCCGACATTCTGAGGACGCGACGCCATAAGCTGCGTGCGAAAATAACTAAATTCTGGTCCGAAAGTGAATAGCGAGAGAACGACGGCTTGATGGAAGAACAGCTGATGATTCGAGAAGAGGGGGAGCACTAGAAGCCGGACAAGCTTGCTGAAAGTAGACGGAGTTTACGTGGTGGTGGTGAGCTGACGTGAAGTGAAGTGAAATGGATGCAGATCGCCAAGTTCAGTGGTCTTATCTGTCTCGAGACTAATCTTTCTCCCATTCTATACAGGTTGAATCTCCAGGAAAATCAGTGGATGCACGATCGATCGTGTGAACGACGAGTGACGATGAAAACCAGTCTCCAGATTTCACACTGTAACAGGTTCGGCGACAGCTTTCCATCAATCAGCTGCTGCGAAGAAGCCACCGAGGCCTAGGTATCACCGCAAAAAGAGCTTTCTGATCCCAAGGCTGTTGTGGGTGTCGGTGATCAACTGGGCTAAAAATTGCCAGGGAATGTATACTCGTTTCAGACTGTCTGAATTAACAATACTGTCACCATGAACAAAAAGTTAAACAAAGCACATACTCAGCCACTAAAAAACCGGAGGACGTCATGAGCCGCATTCAAACAACTCCTTTTCGGACATGCCTCCGATTTCTGCGGTGTGTGGCTGTTGCGCACTTGCAAGAAGAATCAGCGGGAAAGAAGCCTGAGCGAAACGGAGACGAAAGTGAAGAACGAATGAGCGAATGAGCAGGCGACGTCACCAGATGGTAACTCTAGGTTGGGCACAAGGCCAAGCGTCTCTCTTGCCTAGTCCGTTTCTTTCCCACAGCACCGCCTCATCGTCTTCTCGCCGATACCATGCAGCTTTTCCTGAGAGGTCCCGGGCCCGAGTCGCACATACTTCCACTCACGATTTCTCCCAACTCGTCTCTGCAAACGTTGATAGATCTCTCCTTGTCAACCTTGCGTTGCGGCGAGACTCTAGGCTTCGAACCCTCACGCCATGGAGCCTGCTTCGGCTGTTCGTCCAATTCTTTCCGTGTGCTCCACGGAGGTCGTCAGCTCTTCCCCTTCGCGTCTTCTCGTCACCGCTTATCCAGCGTAGCCTCCCTTCATGTCCGTCCGTACGATACCCTAGACGTAACCGTACCCTTGCGAGGCGGTGGTGGAGATGGTGGGGCCACGGGGGCTGAGTCGCGTGACTGCTACCTGCAGATGTACGCTGGACGCCGTCCGGATAAGGTTGACCCGCGTGACACACGCGTCGCGAGCTGGACGCACTGCCATCTGTCAGGCGAGCCGCTGACTCCTCCTTGTGTGGTGGACCTTCTGGGAAGCGTGTTCAATAAGGAAGCTGTGGTGCGCGCTTTAGTGGATAAGAGCATTCCCGTTGCGCTGAAACACATCAAGGGGTTGAGGGATGTCGTTGGGATTCAGCTGACGGAAATTCCAGGGCTTGACAAGAAGGCTCATGTCAGGTATGCGGCGGAGCGTGTGTAGGGTCCGGTGACAGGCCCACCATGTCTTTACAGATAGATTCAGGCCCACCATATCTTCACTGAATTTTGTGTTCTTGCTGACAGCTTTAGGGACATGATATGCTTTTGTGAAAATTGCGCATGTTGCTGTGTTGGTCCTACAAGTGTATGTGCGTAAGCGCGTTTCCTCTTCGTTTTTTGTTCACTGGTCTTTACTTCTTGTTTGCCACATCCTCACTCCATATTCGTCTGTTGCAGGTTCCTTTGTCCGATCACTCAGCAGGAGTTCAGTGGCAGCTTCAAGTCTGTCGCCCTTCGCCCCTGTGGACATGTGCTAAGTGCTCGTGCACTCAAGGAGCTGCCTTCCCCAACGTGTCTCGTCTGTCATGCCAAGTTTCTGGAATCGGATCGCATTCCAATCAACGGTACTGAGGAGGAGGTGGAGGCTTTGCGCACTCGGATGGAGGAAGAACAAGCTTCCAGACGAGCTGGAAAAAAGAAAAAAGCCGCCCCTGTTTCTCAGGTTGATGTGGTCGCCACAGGGAATGAGCCAAAAGGAGCTGTACTGGAGGATGTTGATGGGGTGGCGGTGGTGGATGTCAGAGCAAGGAGCCTCGAGAAGAAAAGCATTGCAGCAGGGGTGGCAGCAGCCTGTAGTCAAAGTCCTGATGACAAGGCAATCGCTGCAGGGGGGTTGGTTGACAAGCACGGAGTCAAAAGGAAAGCAGCAGAAGGACCGACAGCAGGAATGAAGAACGCGTCAGAAGTGTCTGCCAATAAAGCAAGACCAAAGGGGTCGGATTTGGTTCAAGTCAAGCAGCATTTTAAAGCAGTGGACAGGCTGCCAACCGGTGCGAGTAAAGATGTTTACGCATCAATCTTCACTTCGTCGCGAAAAGAAGATCTGAAGGAGACCTACTCTTGCAGGTCGTTGCCCCTTGGGAGGAACTGACTGATTACAACAAGCTACCACAAGAAGTGTCGCTAGTTCATTGCTCATTCTGCCTTGTATTTACACAACATTTACCATCTGAGTACCGTAACACCTGCTGTTGTTTTTCCTGGCCATCTGATTGTCCTTTGCAAAGTGTGTCTCACATTCAATTGTGTGTTGAAGCCGATGGGTTGTTGTAAACATCCATAGTACAGTAACAAAGACCGCTGGTTTTATTTCAGTGTATCCAAGCCAAGACCTTCTCACCTAAACTAGACGTCCCGGAAAACGTTACCTACCGGTACTTGAATCACCTGGACTAGCACACAATCAAGTGCTTATTTTAAGACTCGCTGCTGTATGTGTATGCCACTATGCAAGCTGAGGTCCTGCTGAGAGAATCTGCTGGGCTAGGGTAATATCCACACCAGCCATGCTCTCAGTGAATTTGGAGAAGTTTGTATTGAAAAGTCCACCAAGCTTCTTCAGCGTTGCGTTGTAAGCAGCCTTGTCAGCCCACTGTTCACCACAAAGATGTTGTTGGTAGTGTGAACAAGGTGAAGAGAAAGGTAAAACGGGTAGTAAAAAAAGAAAGCTTACTCACCATGTTCTGCGGCTCAAGAATCTCCTGAGGCACACCATCAACATGGTCTGGAACTTGAAGACAGAATATCGGGGTTGTCTTGTAGCTAGCAGATGCAATAGACCCATTGTGGATCGCATCGATAATCTTCCTTGTATATGCCAGCTTCATCCTGCTTCCCACGCCGTAGCTGCCTCCCGACCAACCCGTGTTCACAAGCCATGCAGTAGTTCCATTCTCGTGCATCCTCTGAGCAAGCATGCATGCATACTTAATGGGATGCCACATGATGAAAGCAGCCCCAAAACATGCGGAGAATGTTGCCTGCGGTTCCTTGATACCCTCTTCAGTTCCAGCGACCTGTGAAACAGAAGGTGCGTCAGTCACAGGACCACCAAAAAAGAAAAGCTCTCCGAACATGAACGGGTTATCAGAGTGGCCGACAGGCTGAGACCCACCAGGGCAGTGTATCCACTGATAAAGTGGTACATCGTTTGGGGAAGGGTCAGCTTGCTGACAGGCGGAAGGACTCCAAACGCATCACAGGCCAGCAGAATGATATTTTTTGGGTGGGGACCAACACAGGGAATCTTTGCGTTCGGAATATACTCGATAGGGTACGCAGCACGGGTGTTTTCTGTAAGTGTCAGCTCGTTAGTGAACTTGAAGTTATGAACAGAACAAAACAACATTTTCTCACCAGTCACAGACTTGTCTGCATAGTCAACCACCCTGGTGTGGCTGTCAAACACGACGTTCTCCAAGACTGAAAAAGACACAGTTAGGAACTCGGAATCTTCCGGAGTAAAGCACAGAAGCACAATACCTGTTCCAAACTTGATTGCGTTAAAGATCTCTGGCTCCTTCTCGGGCGACAGGTCAATGCACTTTGCATAGCACCCTCCTTCGATGTTGGATATACCATTGTCACTCCAGCAGTGCTCATCATCCCCAATAAGGTACCTCTCAGGATCAGTTGACAGCGTAGTCTTTCCCGTGCCTGAAAAAAAAGAGAGGTTAGATAGCCCTTTTTCAGGATATGAAAATGATATGGACGAAGTTGTCTGGTCAACAGACCTGAAAGGCCAAAGAACAAGGATACGTCACCGCCATTTCCCATATTGCAGCCAGAATGAAGTGACAGTATTCCTCTCTTTGGCATCAAATAATGCATGAACCCAAAGAGCCCCTTCTTCATCTCGCCAGCATACTGAGTTCCGAGAATAACCATTTCCCTCCTCTTCAGGTTGATGTCAATGCTGGTCGACGATGTCATGTAGTGAGTGAAACGGTTGCATGGAAACTTCCCACCATTATAGATAGTAAAGGCAGGTTCACCAAACGTTTCCAGCTCTTCAGGAGTTGGCCGAATGCACCTGAGTTGTTCGGATACATTAGAGATGAAAGCGTACCAAGTTAGAACGTGCATACAACAGTGTGCTGGATCTTCATGAAATTAAACCAACTGGCCAGATCCTTACATGTTGTGCATGAAAAGAGCGTGATAAGCACGAGAGGTGATGATTCTGACTTTGACCCGATTGTCCTTGTCCCAGTTCAAAAACTGGTCGTTCACGAAGACCTGCAATCAAACGAAATCAGCAGTTTCTCCACCATACGACCACGGAGCGTTATATGAAAGAAACACACCTTATCCAGAGATTTAAGATAGTCGACAGCACGCTCGCGGTTGATAAAGAATGTCTCTTCGTCCATCTCAATGTTCGGTGAACCTCTGAGGAAACACAATATGCTCAGACCTATCCAGCGCATGTGGACGATGGAGAGAAAAAAAAAACCACCACTTACTTCCCCCACCACAGGTCATCCTGTGAGGTCTCTTCCTTCACAATGCGCTTGTCCTTAGGAGAACGTCCTGTCTTCGCTCCAGACAGAGTAGCAAGCGCTCCAGTTGAAGTGACGTACGTCCCCTTCTCATCCTTGATCGCAAGCTCATAAAGCTCTGTACAGGTAAGAGTGCATCAGCTGACATTGCCATATAAATGGGAAAAAAGACACGCGAATGCTGAACTGGTCATGACGTCAAACTGACCTGCTTGCGAGAGATTGTGAAGTACGTGGGTCGCTTTGAGGTTAAAATCGCTGACGTAGTCAGAAGCAACGAAATGCACGTGGCTATCTTTGGAGATGTATTTTGGATCCCCCTTAATGACGTTCGGACCTCGTTCTCGCGCGTGAGATGCCAAGGAGGCACTGAAAAGACGATGAATATTAGAAACCTGTACTAAACGCTTGAGCATGCTGAGACTCTGAACATGTACCTGATAGACTCGGCGCCGCCGCTTGGAAGTGAACTTAGCTTCTTCTGAAGAGAATGCAGTTCATCTAGCGACGTCGCACTGAGAGGAGCAGATGAGTCATCGCAGCAAACATGCTTCTCATGTCCAGGGAAAGCCATGGTTCTCACGGAGCTTGCTCTTGCAGATATTTAGTGGGCTGGCAGGTGAAAGCTTGAGAAAGGACTTACCTCAGCGGCCCTTTTTCTAGGTGTCAGCTGTTGGGAACCCGAAGCGCTCCCTCCACACAGCTCGCAACCAATTGCGACCTTCACATGCTACAGTAATTGCATAAAAGAAAGCGTTCTCATATCAAACTATAAACTCAAAATGGAACTCCTAACTCAAACAAGTTCACTTGGTAATAAAAAACAAGTCTTAGCCTTACTGATTAAAGTTTCTTATAGAACGGTATACACAAAATGAGGAATGCAAATACTCTGGTATCCAAGAAAGTTACCAGTCTCACCCTACCTACCCAGCGTACTTTTGATAATATCCTTCAATGATAGAACCATCAGCAAGCTTAGCATCCTTCACAGTCTGGTTTCCCCGTACAACATGACCACCTTCGCAGAACGTCACCCCGCCTTCAGGCAAATGCAGTCGCTTGCAGAAGAGTGCAAACATGTTGCGCAGAGGAGCTGTAGTATTAATGTCATATGTCACCTCGTTGCCGTCCATCCGCACCTTGACCCTTCTGGTTTCTTGCTCCTGAATCTCCGGAGCTCTCCTTTCTTCATTCTCTGCCGCCTTCCCATGAGACCTCAAGGCCCAGCGACCAGCAGCTTTATTGCCGGGGCCTTGAATGCCTTCCCCTGCTGCTGTTGGCAAGCTCTCCACTTCCTTTGTTGCTTCACCTTTGGCTGGCCTTGCTTGAGTTTCCAGCACAGGAGGTCGTTCCCCTTCCACATCCTTGCTTCCTCCTCCCTCGGAGCCAGTTTCTTCTCCCAGAATCACATCAACCGGCCCTTCCATATACTCATCATCCTCCAGTAACTCTTCATCTTCCTGTCTTCCCTGACGCTCGGTATCCGTTTCTGGTATTGCGATCTCCCTTCTCGTACCCTTCTTCCTCGCCTCTTCGGCAGAATCCCGGCGTGCGGACGTGTCAACGAGCGGAGGGAGACCCTCTGCCACGTCAGCAGGTGCTCCAAGGGCACGTCCACCTCCAGTCAGAGGAACACCAGCCGCAATCGCTTCCGCTGCAGCAAACGCCGCATCCACCACGGCTGCAGGAAGCCGCTGGGCACTTGACGGGCTAGTCGCAGCGGCTTGAGAACCTGAAACGGCCTCAGCTGTTGTCACGCTCACTTCGGTCGACTCCAGAACCACCAACGGTGGCTGCTGTGTTGCCTGTCGACGCTCGACACCTCCTCTTCCCCTAGCTGAGATTCCACGGCCTCTGCCAGGCTCTGCATAGCGGATCGCAGGCCGTGGCCTCAGAGACCTGGTCACCGTTCGAGTAGTTCGGACTTGGATTCGTGCGGAAGCTTTTCCTCGAACCATGGCCACAAAATCGCTAAAGAAATACGGCTTCGCTGGCGGCTGATATCAAGAAGGGCTCCTCTCATCCAAGAATTGAAATGCAATTCCAAGTATACGAGCACATACAAGGACAGTGTTGTAACAGAACGGATGGTAATGGCAGTCACCCTGGTCTCGCTGACGGCCATTCCTCAAACCCTCGTCTCCGAAAAGGTGCACTTCTCGCTGACGTCCCAGTCCGGGTATCTCGAGACGCCATGAGCACAGGTTTGTGAGGGAGCACGAAATGACACGTGGGAATTCGAGTAATGGAAGGATCTGCAGCGGGGCGTGCGAACGAGCATGCAATGCTTGGGTGACTCTCTGCTCTCGTGCGCGAAGAAGCAAATCGAGATTTGAGATGTGTGTGGTGAGGAAGAGCCTTCGTGAAATTCAAGATTCTATATATCGCGTATCTTTGGGCATGTATAACGCGGCAATTGACATTCGCACGGCAGACAATGTGTAGCTGAAATATTTTCTTCAAAAACATTTGATGAAATACAGGGTGCTACATGGACAGCAATCTTGAGCATGTTTTACCAGCATTCCCTTGTTTAGATAGAACACTATGTTCTGGCAACTTTCTGACGTCTTGTAGTAGGTCGTGGTGCATTTGATGATGCGAAGTTGATTTGAGTTGGATTGGATTGGATGACCCAAGCCCAAGTTCACAGGTTCATGTCACTCAACTTTGTCAGTCACCACAACCCGCTCACTAGAATCCTTTTCAGAAGAATGACCAACCGAAGCCTCACTAGCCTCCTCATCCCGAAGGGCCTTGCGCAGGCCAAACACAATCAGGAGGTTCGTGATTGTAAGCAACGACTCAGCACTGCCATGTAGGTAGTCTACATTAGATAGTGATGTCCCATAGTGTATTTTGGCTGCACGGAATAAGGGCACATTCAAACGGCATCACAGAAAGGCATATGGTAAACGCTCAAACGTGGCAACAAATTTACACCATAGAAAGAAACCCACTCTCAAACCAGCCGATCGAGACAGATAATGGACAACGACAAACCGCAGCAAATAACCACTTCCACAAAGTAGCCATGATCCGCAAAGGAGGGCTATGGGACCAAGGTGTGAGATCATACAGAGTGAAAAAGAGCTCACCATATATTCCAGCAGGAACTGTCATTGGAGAGAGAAGGATTCCAGGGAATAGTTGAGCACGTGGAAAAAGTTGAAGTTGGAAATGGGGGGATGAGAGAGGGGGAGGGTGGGAGGAGAGTGAGGGGGGAAAAGAAAGGAGTGTTAAGTTAAGAAGCCAGCAGACGAGTTATTAGTGGTAAGCGGTGGGAGAAAGTGAAGGAAAGCGTGGGATCGCGAAGGTGAGGAAGGTCAATGGGGAGACCGAGACGAAGGGATTGAGACATTGAAGGAGGGAGGGAATGAACGGGGTGCAAAACGGCGATGAGAAGAGGAACGAAGGGAAGAGAGTTGGGAAGGAGAAAAGGAGAGAGTGATGGAGGGAGGGAAGGAGGGAGGGAAGGAGGAAGGGGGAGAAATGGTGCTCACTTGTGGTAGTTCCAAGAGGAAGGGGGAGAAACGGACTCAATGCATGGACATGCCGTGGATTGACGATGGGTACAGAAAATAGCATGCCTATGCAGCCCATAAGACCCTATCAGCGATACTGATGAATGCGTGACCTGGAATATATGGCGCTCCAACATATGCCTCTCAATTTGCCGCTGACAAATGCGCGCAGAAGGTAGAAATAATGCATGCATATACAGCTCCGACTGCCAGCGGTACCAGCTCATTCACTCAGACGTAAAGTTAATGAAACCGGCCGCAAGTGCAAGCTCCTACACCAGCGCACTTACTAGTGGCGCCGACGAACGCGAGCAGTAAGTAGACCCAATGAAACCAGCTCCCAGTGTTATGCACCTCAAAAGAAAGTTGTTGACAGTGTCAGCTCCTAGTACCAGCGCACTCACTCGTGGCGCCGACGAACGCGAGCAGGAAGTAGAGTCAACGGCGCTCAGCGTTCCTAGATATTCCGCTCACGCGTGCCTAAACTCACTCGTGGCGCCGACGAAGGCGAGCAGGAAGTAGAACCCGAACAGCGTGATGCGCGGCGCCGTCCCAGACCGCGTGAGGAAGTAGAGGAATCCGAGGTACGGGAAGAGCGACACGGCGAACAGCGACGACGCGATGCTCTGCGAGTCGATGTTGGGCGACCAGGGGTCCACCGGGAGCAGAAACGCGCGGGAAACGACGGCTCCGCGCCGCTTGCACTCCGCACTACGGGAAAATTCCGAAACGTTGCTATTCTGGTGACTCTGCCCGGGCGCTGGACTAAGGAGCGGTACTCTCGAGAAGCGGGTGACGCGCTGAGAGGTTCCGAGCGGTGAGGTCAGAGACCGGGTTACGAGGGGAGATGGGGGAGAGTCATGCCGGGTTGCTGCGAAAGCGGTGATTGGAATCCTGGACGGTAATGCAGCGCGAGGCGAGGGGGAACAGCCTGAACGGGGAATGCGGGAGGGAGAGAAGGCACTTAAGGAAGAGTATTTGGCTGGTGGCCGAGCCAGGAGCGAGCTTTCAGCCATGGCAAAACAAGGTCCTTCACTGCGCCAGTCTCCTCAGGGGATGTAGGATTGCAGCTGAGGTAATGGGCAAATGTTGGCTGGGCTGCTGTCGTGGAATGTGGGAGTTGGGAGGCAGGACGAGGCAGGGAAGTGGGATTGAGTTTGCGTAAGGAGCTTGTATCGACGTTCCGCATTGAGGTGTAGTGATAAAGTCGGGTGCTTTCCTGACGAGTACAAACCTTTTGCAGCAAACCAGACCCCCTCAGCCTCACTTCTTCCCCCATACCTCCCAGGCTCCCATTCCTCTCAGCCATGCCTGGCCCTGACGCCCTGAGAACCGCGAGCGATTGACGAGTCGGGGATCCTGGAAGCATGACGCAGCTGCACACGTCAGCGGTTTAGAGCGCCAGGAAATGGTTCTCTAAGGCGGAGCGCTCAACGTCACCGCTTGACCTGTGCAAGCAACCGAGGAATGCGGCAGGCCTTTTCTAAAAGAAGTCAAGTCGTACGGGTCTAGAGGCAGATCGCTCAGTTGCCGATAGGCCTTGATTAGCAGATTTTGGCCGAGTTTTGTTAAATCTCTTTGAGATCGTCATCACGCTCGGGTCACGCCCTCTGTCATGGACAGCGAATCCAGATCGCCTCTCTTCTACCGACACGTGGCGGCAGGAGCGGTTTCAGCCGTGGTGGCGAGCGCCATCACATACCCTCTCGATGTCGCCAAGACCGTCGCGCAGGCGGGTGTCGCACAGGCCAGCGTCGCACACGCGGTTGTCGCACAGGCAGGCGCCGTGCAGGGCAGTGGGATCGCGGGGGGATCAGGGGGGTCAGGGGGAGGATCGTCTGGTGGAATGGCGAGAAGCGGGACAGCAGCAGCGTCACGAGCTGCTGCTACCAGCGGTCTCAACTGGAGAAGTAAAGGTACCAGTCCAACTCTCAATGCCCCCCATGTCCCCATTTCCCATTTTCATGTGTTCTCCGCCCTCCTTTCTCCCCTTCACCCTCCCTCTCTCCATTCTCTCAACCTCTTCCCCTTTCCCAATCCCGCTCCCTCCCTCCTCTCCCGTAGTCTCTGCCCTTTCTCAGTGTTTTGGTTCTGTCTTCATTTGAACTGCTAGAGCCCCTGAGGGAGGCGAGCAGGTTCTACGCATGAAGCCCCTTGAGGGATGGCAAAGCCCCTTGAGGGATGGCAAAGCCCCTTGAGGGATGGCAAAGCCCCTTGAGGGATGGCAAAGCCCCTTGAGGGATGGCAAAGCCCCTTGAGGGATGGCAAAGCCCCTTGAGGGATGGCAAAGCCCCTTGAGGGATGGCAAAGCCCCTTGAGGGATGGCAAAGCCCCTTGAGGGAGGGAGCAGTTTCTACGCATTCGTTAGCCTATATTTTCTTCCTCGGCTCTTTCCTCCTTTCCTCTCTCCCTGCCAGCCGCATTCACCGGGTTCTCACCGCATATCGCCGGACATCTGCCATCGCTAGCAGCCCGCTACACCACCTACCATCTCGCCGCCGCATACCAAATGGGTGAGACCACCTTCTTCCGCTTACCCCTTGCCATTCACCCCGGATTCTCCTTGTGGTCTCTCAGCTCGACTAGCTAGTCAGTCCGTTCGGCAAAGTGGCACGTTTTTCTGCTTCCTTTTCCCTTTCAAGCAACCGCACCAGGCTCCCTGGGGTGCCAGTCTTTTCTGCTCGTCACTCCAACCCATTCTTAGCTATTTTCCCCGTTTCCTACGCGTATTCTAAGAGATTATAAATCTCCCCCATTCACCTTCCTCTCTTCCTTTCCCCCCTTCTTCTACTGCCCACCCATCCGGCCAAAATCGGATGGTCTGCCTTCTTGGCTTCCCATCTCCCCACCTCAAGCAGCATTAGCAGGAGCCATCGCCGGGGCAACAGAGTCCCTGCTCTCCATGCTTCACCTGAAACTTTGCTGTTTCTGCTGTCCCCATTCGTATCCCCTTTCTCTTTCCCCCCAACTCCCCATTCCCCCCGCACAATCCAGATGGTCTGCCCTCTTGGCTGCCCATCTCCCCGCCTCAGGCAGCAGCAGCAGGAGCCATAGCCGGGGCGACAGAGTCCCTGCTCTCCACACCATTCGACCTCCTCAAAACCCGCTTGCTGCTCGCCACTCCCCTGCTGCCACCTGTCCCGCCCTCCCACCCCATATCCCTCCCCCGCCCCTCCATCCGCATCCACCGCCCCTCTTCTCCTTCCCAACCAGCCTCCTCTTCTTTGGGCACACCGTCCCCCAGCCATACCTCCCCTGGCCACACCTCCCCCAGTCAATCCTCTACTGTTAAGCAATCTTCCATCCCCAGTCACAAATCACGAAGCGGTTCCTCTCTTCCCAAGCAGAGGCTGCCCCATCCACTCACACACAGACCCACCAACTCTCGAACTAACCGTTCTGACCGCCCGCACCGCACAACTCACAAGCGCACCTTCGTTTCCTCCTCCCCTCCTCCTCCTCCCACTCCCCTCTCCTCCACTCAACCCTTGCACCCAAGGCACCTCTCTGCATCGCTGCACACCCCTCCCATCCCCCCTCCTTCCACCCCCCTACCGCCCACCACTTTCTCCCTCTCCCTCGCCCACTACCCCTGGACCCCGGTCCCCTCGCCCTACCTCCCTGCATCGTCCCCTTGGGAAGCCGCAAGGGCTGGAGTGAGGGCGGAGGGGGCAGCTCAGCTGTGGAGAGGCCTTCGAGCGGGTGTGACTAGAGATACGCTCTTTGGAGCGGTGTTCTTTGGAGGGTGGGTGACTATAGAGGAAGGATTGAGGGAACTGGAGGAGCTTCAGAGGAGGAAGAGAGCGAAGGATGGGGAGGAGGAGGAGGAAAGGACTGAGGGAGGAGGAGTGCGTGGTGGAGACATTGGGAGGGGGAGTGTGGGGAATGGGTATCGGTATGCGTTGACGCAAGGGTTGGAAGCCGCGGTGGCTGCAGCGGTGGCGTCGGTGGTGTCACATCCGTTTGACTGTGCCAAGACCCGCACTCAAGCCACTGTCTTGCCCAAGGTATAAGCCCTTCAAGAAATGCTTTTGCCCTGTTCTTGTCTTTCTGGCCTCCGTGCCCTCTTGCCCACTTTCACTCCTTTTTAAATGCTTGCCTTCTGTCCGCGCTTGTATTCTGCATTCGTTGATGCTTGTGCCTGCATCCACAATTATGGTACATTTCCATGTGTGTGGCCTGTTTTGAGGCGCCTCAAAAGTTGATCCTTGTGCCCGCATCCACAACTACGGTACATTTCCATGTGTGTGGCTTGTATCCACCCTCTGTGTCCATGCAGCACGTGGCAATGGAGTTGGCTTTGGTGCGCAAGGGGAAGGATGGGAGGTGGTGGGAGAGATTGTCTGGCTTGCGATGGTGGGATCGAAGCTACCACTGGCAAGGCTGGGCTTTGCGAACTGTGCATCAATCCATAGCGGCGTTTCTTCTAGTAGGTGGTTACCATGTTGCAGTTGCGTTGACGAATGATTCTTCTGAGTAATGGCCCACCATGATGCTTCCATTCAGTTGGTCGCTTAAACATTTGAAATCCAAAGAACCAAGTGGCTGAGCTATTAGAAAGCAAATGATTTGAGTTTCCTTCAGCACTTTGTTTCCTTCTAGCGAAGTGGCTACAATCGCAGCCATTGTAGTCCGACTTCAGCATTTTCTCCTTCAACCTCCCGCCCATAAATCCGAGCCGCAAGGCTGCTCGACCATTAGGGCGACCAGAATCGGCGACCAGATTCGTTAGACCTTCGGTCGCCGCAGCATACCAGCGATCAAGAAGAGCTCGCACCGATTGAAATTCGTATTCAGATACTAGCGATCCCGTTCAGCTGTGGAAACGTAACCGGCCGCTTTATTGCCAGAAACTTGAGTTACAACCTCGTTACGAATTCGAAGAGATCTATAACCTTGAACGCTATAAACTCGACACAATCAACTCGGCGAGATAAAGTAGTAGCATTCAACGAGTGGAGTGACGAGTTCGAGTGGCGAAGCGAGTGGCGATGGAGGCACTTGAGAAGGTGGTGACTCAGGCGCAGGGCCTGTCGGGCAGCGCGAGCGACCTCGCGCATCTGCTGGAGGTGCTGCGCGGCGCGGAGGACGCGCTGGCGAAGCACGCGGCGCAGCTCGACACCCTGCTCGCGTCGCTCGATCCTGCGCTGCACTCGCTCGCGTTCCTCTTCTTCCTGTGAGTCTGTGGGGGGAGGGAGGGGGGGAAAGGGAAATGGGCGAATTGGAAGGGGGGGGGAGGAGGGGGGAGAGGGGGGGGGGGAGGGGGGGAAGAGAGAGGGGAAGGGGATAGACCCCGCGCTGGTGGAAAAAGGGGAGCGACCTGGCGCACCTGCTGGAGGCGCTGCGCGGCGCGGAGGACGCGCTGGCGAAGCACGCGCCTCAGCTCGACACTCTGCTCGCGTCGCTCGACCCCGCGCTGCACTCGCTCGCCTTCCTCTTCTTCCTGTGAGCGCGCCTTCTGGGGAGAGGAAGGGGGGTGAATGGGGAGAAGCGGGGGGATCTGGGGAAGGGTGGGTACGCGCTGCTCGCGGCGCTCGACCCCGCCATGCACTCGCTCGCCTTCCTCTTCTTCCTGTGAGTCTGTGGGGGAGGAGAATAGGGGAAGGCGGTGAAGCGGGAGCGTTATGTTATGGGGAAGCGGGGGCAGACCCCGCCATGCACGCGCTTCCTCTTCTTCCTGTGAGCGCGCTTTCCTGGGGGGAAGAAAAGGAGCACGGGGGAAGTGAGGGGGGGAGGAGGAAGTGGAAAGGAAAGGGGATGGACTGAAGTACTCTTATGATGCGCCGCGTGGGTGTTATCTTCACATCGCTTTCTCCCTTCTCTCTCCCCTCCATCGCTTTCTCCCTTCTCTCGCCCCTCCATCGCTTTCTCCCTTCTCTCTCCCCTCCTTCAACTCTCCTTTCGCCCGCTCCCCTCCCGCAACCCCCCTCCTCCCACCCCTCCCGTGCAGTGACGCGCATGCAGCACAGGCACCGGGCGCGCTGTGGGAGCAGGTGGTGGGGACCATCATCAACTTCGTCAAAGTGGCCTCACCCACCCAGCTCGCGCTCGCGCCTGAAAAGTGTGAGTTGCAGTGGGCTCACCAGTCGCCTGTGGGAGCAGCACCCCCAGTAGGCAACGGGCGAGCTATGGGAGCAGGTGGTGGGGGCAATCATCAACTTCATCAAAGTGGCCTCGCCCACCCAGCTCGCGCTCGCGCCTGAAAAGTGTAAGAGCATGCACTTGTGCAGCAAAAACCGTATGCAGCACATTCCCCCCAGGTAGTTGAGTTGTGGGAGCAGGTGGTGGGAGCGATTGTCAACTTCATCAAAGTGGCTTCTCCCACTCAGCTCGCCCTCATGCCTGAAAAGTGTGAGTTGCTTGCAATCCGACTCGGCTTTTCCAAGTCAAATAAAACACTTTGGCTTTCCAAGTCAAATAGAACAAGCAGCACAGGCACCGGGCGAGTTGTGGGAGCAGCTGGTGGGGGCAAGGCAATCATCAACATCAAATCGCTTCTCCCACCCAGCTCGCGCTCGCTCCTGAAATCTGTAAGGGCAGGGATGAGGATCCGCGCAGCTCTAAAGTACCTCAGTAGCCGCATGCAGCGCAGGCCGTTGGGGATCCGTGAGGGGGCCATTGAGGAGCAATGCATACAGGTGTGAGATCCCCTAGAGCGCGCGTGAGGTACTCCATGTAACTCACATGTGCGCCTACAGGCGCATACAGGTGTGGGTACTCCATGTAACTCACATGTGCGCCTACAGGCGCATACAGGTGTGGGTACTCCATGTAACTCACATGTGCGCCTACAGGCGCATACAGGTGTAACTCACATGTGCGCCTACAGGCGCATACAGGTGTGGGTACTCCATGTAACTCACATGTGCGCCTACAGGCGCATACAGGTGTGGGTACTCCATGTAACTCACATGTGCGCCTACAGGCGCATACAGGTGTGGGTACTCCATGTAACTCACATGTGCGCCTACAGGCGCATACAGGTGTGGGTACTCCATGTAACTCACATGTGCGCCTACAGGCGCATACAGGTGTGGGTACTCCATGTAACTCACATGTGCGCCTACAGGCGCATACAGGTGTGGGTACTCCATGTAACTCACATGTGCGCCTACAGGCGCATACAGGTGTGGGTACTCCATGTAACTCACATGTGCGCCTACAGGCGCATACAGGTGTGGGTACTCCATGTAACTCACATGTGCGCCTACAGGCGCATACAGGTGTGGGTACTCCATGTAACTCACATGTGCGCCTACAGGCGCATACAGGTGTGGGTACTCCATGTAACTCACATGTGCGCCTACAGGCGCATACAGGTGTGGGTACTCCATGTAACTCACATGTGCGCCTACAGGCGCATACAGGAGGTGTGGGTACTCCATGTAACTCACATGTGCGCCACGTGCACTGCATGCGCCTGTTCTGTTCTTCCCTCCCTTTCGCTTTTGTCTCTTCCGCTTTCCTTTCCCCATCTGCTCGCCTCCCCCCCCACCCCCCCCCCCCCCCCCCCCCCCCCCTCCTACTCCCCGCCGTCCCCCTTCGGCCTTTTCGGATCCCTTCCATTTTCCTCTCCCTTCTGCTTTGTTCCTTTCCCCTCGATTCCTTTTCCCCTCCCCTCTTTCCCCTCTCCCCTTTCTCACCTCCCCGTTCTCCCCTCCGTCCAGTCGCCTCCCTGTGCCATCGCCTGCGAGACCTGCTCATCGCTCACACCCAGTACTCCCGGGGGGTTCTCCCCTTGCGCTGGGCAATCAGCAAGGTGCAGCACAGCACCGCAGCCGAGCACCTCACCCCGCAACGCGCGGAGCGGACTGCCTGCAGCTGTGCCTGCTCCATTCAACCCTCACCTCCTTTCACTGCTGGCCAAGCTGTACCGCCAGGGAGGCGAGCTGCTCATCTATCACCTTCTCCGTTCTCCCCCTCCCACGCTTCCCCCCCCCCCCGCCTCCCAGTCGCCTCCCTGTGCCATCGCCTGCGAGACCAGCTCATCGCACACTCCCAGTACGCTCGAGGCGTACTGCCACTACGGTGGGCAATCAGCAAGGTGCAGCACAGCAGCAGTGCCGAGCATCTCACCCCGCAACACGCGGACTGCCTGCAGCTCTGCCTGCTCGCCAAGCTCTACCGCCAGGGGGGCGAGCTGCTGCAGCGGGATATTCTCGATATTGACCCCAAGAAAACGGGGCTAGTGCACCGGGACTTCCTGCTGTACTGCTTCTACGGGTAGGGATGAGAATAGATGGTTTGAGTTTTTTGTGCTTCTATGGGTGGGAACTATATTGATTGGGTTGAGATCCTTGTGCTTGTAAGGATGCAGATGCTCTTGTGCTTCTACGGGTGGGGATGTTATTGATTGGGTTGAGACCCTTGTGGTGTACGGGTCGACTTTTGAGGCACCTCATAAGTCCTTGTGGTGTACGGGTGCGGATTCTATTTATGATAATAATGACTAGCATCCTCTTCCCCCTCTCCCATTGGCGGCTACTCTCTTCCCCTACCACTTGTCCGTCTGTGCTCCTTCCCCCTCCTCTTTGCCCGCCAATCCTCACTCAACCCCTCCTTACCCCTACTCCTCTGCCTGTTGCATCCCACTTTCTCCACAGAGGCACCATCTATGTGGGTCTGATCTGAAGCAGTACCAGAAGGCTCCAGACCTTCTCTTCACGAATCATCTTTTCTTAATCCTCATCCACTTGCTTCCTCTCCCTGCCTCGCTGCCTGTTGTATCCCAATCCCCGCAGAGGTACCATCTATGTGGGTCTGAAGCAGTACCAGAAGGCTCTAGACCTCTTCATGCATGTGAGTGGGTCTGATATTTAGCGATTGTGAGTGAGGTCTGATTAGTGCGTGACAGTGGGGCCTGGCCAGTGTGAGTGTGACCTGACCCATGTGAGCGTGGTTTGACACCCTTGCTTACAGCGTGTTTATTCCTGCTGCTTCCCTATCCCTGCTTTGCCCAATGTGTCGGTGTCTCAGCATCGTCCATCTCCCATTTTTCTGGCATTCCGTTCAGTGACGATCCTTTTATCCATGGTATCAGCTGGACAATTTACCATTCCCTTTCAACGTATCGAACTATCTTTCTTTTCTTCCATCTCACTGATCAAATGGGACGTTCTCATCTGTCTGTACCACCCAACCCCACCTCCCCCACTCCGTCTCCCCCTTTTCCCCATTCCCCCCCAGGCCATCACATCCCCGGCGCAGGGAGTGAATGCCATCACAGTGGCGCCATGCAAGGAGTGGCACGCTTTCCTCTTCTCCCGGGAACCCTAACTCTGAACCCTTACCACTTTTCAGCAACTCTTCTCAACAACCTCCCCTCCAGGCCATCACATCCCCAGCGCAGGGAGTGAATGCCATCACAGTGGCGGCTTACAAGAGACATGTGCTCGTGTCGCTCATCCTGAACGCCCAGGTGGGTACGGTGTGGTGCAGTGCGGTGCAGTGCGGTGTGGTGTGGTGTTGTGTGCTGTGGTGCAATGTGATGCCATCCCCTTTTCCTCACATGAATGCCATCACAGTGGCGGCATACAAGAGACACGTGCTCGTCTCGCTCATCCTGCACGCACAGGTGGGTGGTGTGGTGCGGAGTGGTGTGGTGTGGTGCGTACCTTGTTTGTTGTGCTAGCAATGGTGCTGTATCAGCAAGCAGGCTTCGAGCTAGTTGTTTGTAGTAGTTATTTCTTGCTGGTTCTTAGTGGAATCTTGGAAAGCAACACTCTTCCTCCCATTCTCCATCCCTCCCTTCGTTTCCTTTGCTCCCTATTCTCAGTCCCTCCCCTCACTCCCTCCCCCCATGGTACCACGAGAGCAGCTGTCGCCTCTACCAAAGTTCACCCCAGGCATCGTGCAGAGAGGGCTAAAACAACTCCCTTTCTCCATCCCTTCCTTTGCTCCCTCATTTACTCCTTCCCTCGCTCCCACTCCCCACGGTCCCATGAGAGCAGCTGTCGCCTCTACCCAAGTTCACTCCAGGCATCGTGCAGAGAGGGCTAAAGGCGTGCTGCCAGGTGGGTGCAAGCAGGGCTTTACCTGCTGTATCCTTTGCTGCAACGCCTTTGGCACATGTGCTGAGCCCTTGCTTCAGTGTCAATTGACTTTTGAGTCGACTCAAAAGTCAACCTGCTGTATCCTTTGCTGCAACGTCTTGGTGCATGTGCTGAGCCCTTGTTGCAGTGTCAATCGGTTGCAACTCTTTTCCATTATGGCTCGCCCATACACCCTCATTTTTTCACCTGAAATTGAGTGACGTACACCCCACCCCTCCCCATCCCTCCCAACCCCTCTCCACCCCTCTCAGGACTACCACGACCTGGCGAACATCTACGTGTCTCGTGACGCAGCAGAGCTCAAGAAGTTTGTGGACTCTCATGAGCAAGCCTTCAAGGCGGTGAGTGGGAGGCATCAAAGTGGTGAGTGAGTCGACTCAAAAGAGCTCAACAAGTTTTGTGGACTCGCATGAGCAAGCCTTCAAGGCGGTGAGTGGGAGCTAGCAGGACTTTTTTGTCAGTGCAAGACAGGTGGGCTGCGGAGGCCTTACTTCCATCAACTCAGTAGGCAGATGTGTTTTAGGGCAACGAGAGGATGCAGCAGAGCTCAAGAAGTTTGTGGACTCGCATGAGCAAGCCTTCAAGGCGGTGAGTGGGAGGCATCAAGTGGTGAGTGGGTGTTCGCACTTACGAGGTGACTTTTGAGTCGAATCAAAAGAGCTCAAGAAGTTTGTCGACTTCCACGAGCAAGCCCTCAAGGCGGTGAGTGGGCATTTTCAAAAGTGTGAGTGGGGGTTCACACCAACGCGCTGGGCTGCACTCTCCATGGGAATTCGTCCCCTCACACTGCCTCCGTCACTCCTATTCTCTCCTCGTACACCCATCTTCTCTCCCCTTCTCTCTCCTCCCCTCTCCTTCCCCCTTCCATTCTTTCTTCCCTCTTCCTTCACTTCCCAGGACAACAACCTAGGCTTGGCCCATCAGGTGGTCGCCTCAGTCCCCAAGCGCAGCATTCAGCGCCTCACTCACACCTACCTTACTCTCTCGCTCTCCGACCTTGCTGAGTCGGTGCACCTCTCCTCGCCTGCCGAGGCTGAGAAATACCTTCTTTCCATGGTGAGTGGTTTCCAAGGTAATACACATTTGTTTTCGTGATCCGCTGAAAAGTGCATATTTCCTCCGTGGTGTGTCCTGCAAGATATATGTTGCCTTTGTGCCTTTTTTTGGTGTTGGTGCCTTTTTTATGCCTTTTTTGTGTGTCTTCACCTGTCACGGTGTGCCTGGCAGATGGGGAGATGTTTGCGCAGATAGTCTAGCAGGCAGGTTTCTCCATTGAATAACAGCCCTCCTCTGTGGCCCACCACCATTCCCTGTGCCTGTGCATGAGTGGCTCCTTGTGCTTGACAGATAGCGGATGGGGAGATGTTTGCGAGGATAGACCAGCAGGCGGGCATGGTGAGCTTTGAGGAGGACCCTGAGAAGTACGACTCACTGGGCATGGCTGCTGTGGTTGAAGAACACATTCAGAGGTGAGATGATTGTGATGGAACGGGCGTGCAGCAGTGACCCTGAGAAGTGCGGCTCTTGGTGTCTTCCTCCATCATGGTGAGCTTTGAGGAGGACCCTGAGAAGTATGACTCGCTGGCCATGGCTGCTGTTGTGGAAGAACATATCCAAAGGTGAGTAGAAGAGAAGCGCTTCGAGGGGTGAGGGGTTGAACAAATTGTTATGTCGTCGTACTGGTGTGACCTTGAGAAGTACGACTCCCTCGCCATGGCTGCTGTGGTTGAAGAACACATCCAGAGGTGAGCGGCGCACATCCAGACGTGCATTCAAGTGAGGTGTACTGAGAGGTGAGAGGTGGACTGGGCTACAGCTGTGAGCCTGGAAAGTATGACTCTCTGGACATGGCTGCTGTCACAGAGGAGTATATCCAGAGGTGAGTTGAAGAGAGTGGCACATTTTAGATGTGAGGTGAGAGGTGAGAGGCTCATTCAGAGGGGTTCCTTTCCTCCAGCAGCACTTTTAGATGCTCTATCAGAGGTGAGAGGCGCATTCAAACAAGGCAATAGCCACTCCATCTCACTGGGTGTCCTTCTCATTCCAAATCCGAATCCAGTTTCTTCTTTTTCTTTTGACGCACTGCTAATCCAATGTCGATGCTTTGACCCATGGTTGCTGATCTGCTGTTGCTCCACGGGTGCTGCATTGTGCACTGTGAATGTGCATCCATAATATCTCCATGAACCATGTGTGCTGCACGTGTGTGGGTGTGCAGGGCCACGAAGCTGTCCAAGAAGCTGGCGCTGGTGCACGAGCAGATCGCCTCCTCTGTTCGAGCGTACCTCAGGTTTAAGAATTCTTATAAGTGACACAACCATGTGTGCTGCGTGTGTGGGTGTGCAGGGCCACGAAGCTGTCCAAGAAGCTGGCGCTGGTGCACGAGCAGATCTCCTCCGACCGGACGTACCTCACACGGGTGTGTGCACACTGCTCACTGCTCGGTTCTCAGTACTCACTGCACACCAAACGCGTTGCACACTGCCCTCCGTTCTGTGTCAAACCCTTAAATTGGCCACACAGTGCTTGTGCACGCCCGTCAACACGTCACGCTCACCCACGGGCCTCCTCGATCCACACTTCATGTCTTTCTCTTATTTCTTACTCCCCGTGTTCGCACGTTGTGGTTGATGGATATCTTCCCATGGGTATCTCCCCATTGCAGGTGAATGCACGCGAGCGCAATGTTCGATACGGGGAGCATGAGGACTATGAGCTTGCACCTCAACGAATGTTTGATACCATGTAGGATAGAACCCTGAAGAACGGTGAAACTCGTTCAAGTTGCCGCATCCTGAGTCCTGACAGTCAGGACATCCTCGAAGGAACGAGTATTCTCCAAACAAATTTCATAAGTTTTTGCTTCTAGACTAGATTCTATGTGACTCCAAAAACACACCCCCTCGTTTGTTAACTTTTGAGTACCTTGGATAGTTCCATCCATAGCACAATCTTAGGCAATGATGAAGTCAATCTTACCTTCCTCCTTAGTTGGTAATGCTTGTCTTGTGATATTATAGCACGATTGGTTGGATATAATGGAAATTTACTGCATAGATGATCATGCTGCGCCCTGTAGTGATTAAGTAATGCCATCAAAACCAGCTGTACTTCCCGGAATTCTACTGTACTTGTGGGCTTTCTCTTCTCAGCATGTGTCTTCTATGATCAAATTCGTCGATGTCTCCGCGCTCCTTGTGCATTCAATCACGGTAGCAATTCCCAAGGGATCGCCATCAAGCATGCCGAGTACGGTTTTCGCATTTCAAGGATGGAGTTGCAGGGTACTTCTTCACTCGAGCACAGCTTGCTTTTCCAAATACGAGCAAGTAGCTCCTGCCCTTGTGCTCTGAGTCGTGACTTATCATTGCTCGAGGCACGACTGCAGTGTTGTCATACCATCCAGGCAAGATGCTTCCGCGGGGAGCAGCCATCGTGCCTGTGGCGATAGTGTCGGTCTGCGCTGTCGCTCTTCTCATCCTTCATGGCCAACCTCTCCTCAGTCATCTCCTGGGTGACAATGGCCCGATGAAGAAGCACATCGACACTGCCAAGGGTCATCTGGTGGTCGCGATGGTCAAAGGCCGAGAGGCTCGCATCAATTTCCTCTCTCCAGTCTTGCAAATTCTTGTGGGAGTGACTGCATTCCTCTCGTCGCTGGTCGCTGCGGACCGTCTCTTCCACTTTTACGTTGCGTTGTACTGGAGGTTCTCTAAGAAGCGCCCGGAGGAAGCTTTCGAAGCGAACTCCTTGCCAGATCCCGCGACCTGTCCTGAAGCCTTTCCCAAAGTTGTTGTTCAGATTCCTATGTTCAACGAAAAAGAGGTGAGGGCATGCATCACATTTTCTCTTACAAAATTGTATTGCCGCCACCTTCCGCAGTGTCTGACATGTGCTTTTCTGCACCTTTCAGGTGTGCGAACAAGTGATTGACTCATGTTGCAATTTGATATGGCCAAGATCGCGCCTGTACATTCAGATATTGGACGATTCAACCTGCCCCATTACTCGCAGCAGGGTGGTGAAGAAAGGTATCAGATTACTTTTCTGTCATCCTCGTCTTTGCAAACGCACGGGATCATAGTAGTTACCCTTCTTTCCTTCCTTGCAGTGGCCGAAAAGGTAGCTCTAGGAATTCACGTGGAAGATCGCTGGAGATCCAATCGGCAAGGATATAAAGCTGGTGCAATGATGGAGGCTGAGAAGGCAATTGGAGATTACGAATTCACTGCCATTTTTGACGCGGACTTCAGCCCAGAGCCTGAATTCCTCCTTAAGACAATCCCGTATCTCATTGTAAGTCCGCTCCAGTCGCGTTACCTTTTGCCCTTTCCAGGCGAAGTCTTACTGTCTCAGCTAACCCACAGGACAATCCACGGGCTGCGTTTGTCCAAACGCGCTGGGTGTTCGCCAATGCGGATGAGTCCGTCTTGACTCGAGTCCAAGAGATTTCTCTCAATTATCACCTGAAGTGTGAACAGTATGCCAGATTTGCTACGGGCAACTTCTTCAACTTCAATGGTAGCTGACACATTGTCCATTTATCTCCCGCGCCTTCAGTAATTAAGAGTGTAGCCATTCTTTTGCTGCAGGAACGGCTGGAGTATGGAGGCTCTCTGCAATCAAGGATGCAGGCGGTTGGAACAACAGGACGACTGTTGAGGACATGGATCTCTCTCTTCGAGCTTACATTAGAGGCTGGAAGTTCATATTCTTGAATGACGTAACGGTAAGCCAGCATGCTTGCTCCACTCCAGTTTCTGTGGATATAATGGTCTAACCAACGTGCCCTCCCTCCCCATGCCATTGTCATGTGTGCAGTGTGTTAACGAGATTCCATCAACATATGCAGCCTTCAGGCACCAACAGCACCGCTGGAGCTGTGGGCCGATGCAACTCTGGAGAAAAGCTATGGATCAAGTTTGGGAATCGGAGGTAAGTGCTTCAGCAACTGCCGATTTCTCCTGACTGCAGTTATACTAACTGTGTTTACCTTACTCAGATCCCACTTGTTCAAAAGATCTACCTAAACTGCTTCTTTTTTGGGACAAGGCTGTTTGCCACCCATATTGTGTCATTTGTATTCTACTGCACATTGGTACCGATCTGTGTTGTGGCGCCTGAAGTGACAATCCCATTTTGGGCTTTGGTTTATGTGCCCATCCTGGTGACTATCTCAACAGTGGCTTTCACTCCAAGGTAAGTGTCATAACCGCTGCTGCTTTGCTCGTTTTCATGTACGGTATAATGACAATCTCGGTTGCTGTCTTAGGTCGTGGCTGTACGCTGTACCTTTTGTTCTATTTGAGAATGCCATGAGCATTGTCAAGTTCTCGGCGATGGTCTCTGGAATCCTGGGCCTATCCACTGCACATTCATGGGTTGTTACCCAGAAGCTTGGGAACTGGGTCCAGACTGATGCAGCAACCGCTAAGACAGGGCTGGCAAAGTATTTGGGGAAGGCTGGGGCTTTACCACATAGTCTGAGTCTTCCTGTCATTTCTGAAAGCCTGGTGAAGCAAGGAGCTGATAAAGCCAAGCCGAAGAAGTCTAAGAGCTCTTGGTTCAACCGCACGTAAGTGACTGCTCCAAGAGCAGACATTGCTTTTCTTATTCACGATTTATCCTGACCCTCTCATCACCTCTTTCATGCAGAATATACAAGAGGGAATTGGGTATGGCTGCCTTCATCTTTGGTGCCGGAATGTATGCGATCTTTGTGGAAGACCGCTGGGATTACTCTATCTTCCTCTTTCTCCAGAGCATTGCGTTCGCCATGTTTGGCTTGAACTTTGTGGACAGGACAAATTGATGCAGTTTCCATAGGATAGGACCTTGAATTGAAAGTTTTTGTATTGTGGTGTTATTAGGCAGAGTTGTACTGGTACGTCATTTAATACAAAAGAAGGCAAAACATCAAATTATCAATACTGCAACTTCGTCTAACCAACTCTAGTCTCGCCACCTGTGCCCACAGTTAGGGTTGCAGCACACAAAAAACAGGGTCATGCCTTCCTCCCCACGACTTGTAGCCTGGAAGAGACGAGTTCCAAGAAAAAAACAAACACAGATGCGATAAAATATAGCAATGTAGAGGAAGACTCTGCCGCAATTGAACCAAAGGCTAACATCATGGTGGGCCATACCTGAAAAAACACAGCCTCGCCATGGGCACATTTGGCACAGCGTACTGCCTTGGTGCGAGGAAGTGTGGGATCTGCTGTTACATCTTGCAGGATCTGAGTTCTTTCATCTGCAGTGTGATGCACTTCGTTGCGATACACGCAATTGTTCTCAGCTGCTTCCTGTAAGTCGGCAGCGCACAAAGGGAGGTTGAAGCTGAGGGATATGAGAAACAAACAGCAGATCCTCAGGTTCTCCAAGCACATGCAGTCATGAAAGGAAATGTAGGGATTTCAATAAGGTGCATGGACACACCTGATGGTCACAGTTTCTGCAAGCATACAATAGTACGCGGTTCTCTCTATCTTCTCTCGGATACAAAATGTTGTTGCTGCATATCACATGGAGGCAGAGTAAACGACAAATCCCAGAGGGAGTGCAGGGTCGGGGAGAGTGGGGGGATTGGAGGTGGAAGCGGGGGGGGTGTGGGAGGGGTGGTGGAGAGGGGGAGGAAAGAACGGAGGTTGCGGAAAAGAAGCAGGGGAATGATGCAGGTTCCGAGGAGGAGTATGGATTGGGATAGGGGTAGAAAGGAACGCATTTACGACATAAGATGAATCCGCCATGGCCACCACGCTTAGGTGTGTAAGGCTGGCGTGTGCGGTGCGACGAGCAGGCACATGGACGCGAGACTGACACGTTATAGCAGATAGAAACGAACACTGGGCGCATTGGACACAAGGGCGTTTCACGCAACTGAGCGTCTCTGTGTACTAAACGAGACGGCCGAGTAGCTAGGTGACGAAGACCCACCATTCGCGACAAAACTTCATCGCACTCATGGTGGCAAAGTCGTTTCAAAGACTCGCTGAACTAGGAAGCGACAGGCGCTGGTTCAGCAGGGAAAACTAAAGCGGGCTGAGAACCAACAAACGCTCGACTCTGCAAGAGAGAGTTGTCGATGCGCAAAGAGCGCGCGCGAATTGATACAATCGTTGATATGTGGCTGGGGCTCTTTTTAGGGACTACACCTGCCTCACTAGTTCCGGTTCGTACGCGATAACGCAACTGCCGATCAAGGTATAGGCAGGCTTTGTTGAAATGTATAAAAACTGATGTCATGTCACTAACATAGTGAGAGCACCATTTTCCTATAGCACGCATTTATCTTGTGTCTCTGTATGTGAACAATTTCGAGTTTACTCTCAGGTTCGAGGACTTATCGTTTACGGGATCGAAGCCAATATAAAAAGGGAAATTGCTTGCATTGCATTATCGTCAAATTACAGGGGGGATTGTACATCAAGCTACCTGACTACCTTAGGCAGCAAACTGGTCAGCAGGCACTGAACTGATACCCGTGATTTGGTTCACTTCACAGTGCAGAATGTGCTTCTCCCCCCTGATGACCGCAAACATGGCATTCGGTGCAATATAGTCACACGTGCGCTCAGGACAGAAATCTTCCCCAGGAACCTGGTTTCCAGAGTGGATCTGCACTCCTGTAATGACAGCATAGTCTGCTGTAGCGGGGTCGACTGTAAGGGAGATGAGGTTCTCAAGGTCGTCTGTGATGGCTTGCAGGGCAGCGCGAGTCACTTGCACCAGGGAAGGGCTGCCTGAGCCAGAGGGGATCTGTTTATGTGGCATGGGGATCAATGTCAGTGAGACAGGAAGCGAGGAGGGGAAGGAGGTGAGGGGAAAAAAGGGTTAGCCTAATCAGATTAGGTAAAACAAGGCAGACACCATCATGCCATAAATCCAGAAGCTGCTGCCGCTGCTGGTTTGCCGTCAGTTTGTGGGCAGATGTTGCCTACATTCCCTATCACAGGCCATATCCGTCCACTCTCAATGTACTCATGTATGTGTTCTCCCTTGTTCTAAATTCATTCATCCATGCCCATTTACACTCTCACTGTACCGCACCCCTCCCAATGATCCATCTAGTCTTTGGATCACAATGATAATTGATTTTCTGCGATTTCAGTTTTTTTGTGAGAAGTCCCCAGCACACATCTGCGCTGAATAATGCACACAACCGCACTCCCAACCACCATTTTCACCCTACAACCCCCCACACCTCGAACCCCCCTCCCCCCGGCCTCCCTTCACCCCGAACATACCTTAGCAGCAATCTTCCTCTTAATCAGAACGTATTCCGCGTCGTTGGGGTCCTCCTCAATCCCGTCTGAGCGTGAGTACACTAAGAAACACCCCCCTCCAACTCCCTTCCCTCCCCCCCAACCTCCCGTCACCACAAACACACCTTAGCGGCGATCTTCTTTTTCAGCAGAACGTATTCCGCGTTGTTCGGGTCCTCCTCAATCTCGCCTCCAGCGGAGATGTCGCCCTTAATGGCGATCAGCGCTCCGCACGCCGATGACGGCTTGCCGCGCCCACGGCGAAGCAGCGACCCCACCTCGCCGCTCTCTCCAATGGACACGTGGGGGAAGCCGAAGAAGATGTCTGCAAGGGAGTAAGGAAGAAGCGGAGGGAAAAGGTTTGAGCGTTTTGAATAAGAAGGCAGGTTTGTCCAGGCCGTTGCGAAACTCGCCACTCTCTCCAATGGACACGTGGGGGAAGCCGAAGAAGGTGTCTGGAATGGGGAGAGAAGTGGAGAAATGTAGCACCAGAGGCACGAAGGTTGAGAACGAGGAAGAGTAAGGAAAGAAATTGGTACAAATGAAAGCATCACATTTGTTTCGCACGGGGGTTACAGGATTTCGGGGAGTGGATCATGGCTGTCTTGAACCCGCAGTCTGGCCTTGACGACACAACTCTCCAACGGGTTACCACTTACATCTTTCGCGAGGCTTCCCGTCGGTTTCGCAGGGGAACTCCGGCGAGTGGCTCATCGCAGCCTTGAACCCCGTCTTTCCGCAGTTCACAAGCCCACCCAGCCCCGCGATGTTAAAGCTGAGTCCAAACTCCTTGTCAATCAGGTTCACGATGGGCCGGCAGACCTCGTCACGACACGTGTTGACGAGCGCGATGCAGTTGTCGCGCTTAAAGCCGAGGTTGCGCAGCTCGTCCGCCACGGCGTGCATGAACATCTCCTCCTGCATCGCGTTGGGGAAAGTCGCCGCCATTGTCGCTAGCGCTGCAGGGGCCGCCTGAAGGGGGAAAAACGGGGAGGATGGACCGGGGGACGGGACGGGGGAGGGAGGGGGGAGGGAAGGGGAGGGAGGGGGGGAAGAAGGACAAAGAACCGGATAGTGCGCGGATTAGAAGACGCAACTGCAGCGGTAATGAGCTCAATCAAGCGGCGGGAAGTGGGTGAAGGATTCTCAAATCAGAAACTTGGAGTTCACCGTTCTTAGAAAGAGAACTTATAACACTCTCTGATTAATGCGACTGTGACATTACAAGTGGAAAAAAAGAAGTGTTGGGATTTATCAGGGATCAAGTGCGACTCGTTCATAAACATCAGTCTGAAAAAGGAAATGAGAAACGCGACAGCTTACCCTCTTAGCGCGCGAAACGGCAGCGCCATTAGCGGCATTCCCCACCGCCGGAGCCGCACTGGCTGCTGGCTTAACCGCCTTAGACACCAGGGCGAACGTCGCACCGCCCAGGACTCCGGCGCCGAGCAACGCGGGCACGACGACTCCCCCTGGCAAGGAAGCGGAAGCGGAAGGCGCTGCGGCTGTGGACTCGGAAACGCTCGCGAAAAGCGCCTGCGACGGCTGCGACGTGACGGAGTTGCTGCCGCTGGTGGAAGCCGCCACGAAGGCTGGCGCAGCGCGACGAGCAGACTGAGCCTTGTGCGCAATCTTGACCGCCTTTGCGGGAGCAGCGGCGCGGAGGCCGGAAAAGGCGGGGATGGAACTGCTGAGAGCCGCCATGGCGTCTTTTGCGAGGGGCGACTGGACTGAGCTGGCTGAATGCGCGAGCTGCGGTGACGACTGAAACACTGTTTTGGTCGTGTGAGGCTGTGGAAATGAGAGACAGGGAGTATGAAGGTCTATCTTTGATAACTGATGCTTCTTTGAGGTTGATAACTGATGCTTCTTTGAGGCAAGGGCGAAGTCACAAGAAATTCCCAACTTTTGGCGGGAAACTCGAATGTTCTGTTTGCAAGTCTACTGTACTCAGGATGCCACAAATCTTTGCCACGTCTGCAGTCCGCCTAGGCTTTCGAGATCAGCGAAATATAACTGCGACGTCGTGAGTGCTCAAATGAAGTCCTCGGAATGGTGGCGACCGTAGCGAATTTTAAACAGAAGTTGCAAGTCGCCAGCACGTGTTTCGAGTTAGTTTTGTGGAAAGATTCATGCTCACGTGGATCTGTCCTTCACTGGTCGCACACTCAAAGTGGAGTTGAATGGTGCAAGATTCATGAATCTGTTTGCCAACGTGGCAGATTGACTGGCTTGAAATGGGCACACATTCCACAGAGACTGTTTTGATTGCAATAGAGATCGGATATTAAAAAACAGCATCTTGAATCGATATTATGTTCTCATAAGTATACCAAAATAGTATCACTACTAACCAGCTTTCTGTGGTGGTTCACATTCAGTTCGCAGTTCCTTGCTCAACTACTCATAAATCCAGATGCTGAAGTGGCAGATTGTATTGCTTGATCTGGGCACATGTTTAATAGAAAACGTTTATTGCAAGAGAAATTTCACAACAAGAACAACACATCTCCTTTCCTTGCGATAATCCCATACCGTTAAGTAAACTAGAATCTAATAACTGGTAACAAGGTCACTGCTTCAAAGGTGCCTTCTTCACTCGGTCAGCTATCCTTGCAGGTCCGTCAACGTGCGTCTTGAATCTTCCACGTCCTTCCTCTTCCGTTTCCTGCCACACCAAGTAATAGACAAAACACACCCACTACGTCAGAGTAATAACCACCTCACCTCACTAAGAGAACCATTACCTCCCCTCCCCCCCCCCCCCCTCAACACCACTCCCCCCCCTCCTCCGCCCCACCCTCCCCACCCCCCTCCCCCAAAAAAAAAAACACTGAGTCCTCGCACACTCTCAACATCCAAATAGAATCAATACGGCACATTACCTTCTTCTTCACGATCTGCGTGACATCCTCTCCCACAGAACATGCGCCAAACCGCAGCGCTGCGGGTAGTGCGGGAATAATCACCTCACCTCACCTCACCTCACCTCACCTCACCTCACCTCACCTCACCTCACCTCAACTCACCTCACCTCACCTCAACTCACCTCACCTCACCTAACCTCACCTAGCACACTCTCAACATCCAGACTGAGTCAAGACGGAACATTACCTTCTTTTTCACGATCTGCACGACATCCTCGTCCCGCAGAACATGCGCCAAACCGCAGCGCTGCGGGAAGTGCTTGACGCTGATGCCCCAGCACAGCACATACTTCACATCCTTGAGCAACCCCCTGTGGATGTGGTCACAGAAGTCCCGCACTGTGCACCCTCCACGGTCCTGAGAAGCGGGCAGAAAAAAACAGGAGGGGTGGGGGGGGGGGAGAGATGGGGGAGGAGGGGGATGGGGGGGAGAGGGGGGAGGAAGGGGGGTGCATAATGAAAAAGCATGTGGCTACCAGATGAAGCAAGAGATGCAAATCACCTCCGGCCGCAGCGCTGCGGGTAGTGCTTGACGCTGATGCCCCAGCACAGCACATACTTCACATTCTTGAGCAACCCCCTGTGGATGTGGTCACAGAAGTCCCGCACTGTGCACCCTCCACGGTCCTGAAAAGCGGGCAGAAAAGAAGAAAACATGCGGGATTGGAGAAAAGGAGAGGTCAGAACTGGCGCTCTTTGCTGACGAGACTGGGGCGTGTAGGGCGGAAACGATTGAACCAGAAAGTGTTGCGAAAATGCAGAGAGGGATGGACCCAGGTCCGCAACAGGTCTTCCCGAAACACCACAGGGGAGTACAGGATACTCACGGTGGGGAGCACGAATGGGTCGGCAAAGTCGGGCTGCTGGCCCTGTGGCTTGGTGCACACTCACACGAGCCCCATCGCCTTCAGTGAAACACTAAACCCTCTAGCAAAACCGGGTCCGCAAAGTCAGGCTGCTGGCCCTGTGGCTTGGTGTACACTCGCACGAGACTCATCAGCATCATTGCGACAAGACCTGGTGATGCACTCACGGTGGAGAGCGGTGACTGTGTTTAGGTAGAGGTGGAGTGCGATGCATTGCGGTAACTCACGGTGGAGAGCACAACAGGGTCAGCGAAATCGGGCTGCTGGCCCTGTGGCTTGGTGTACACTCGCACGAGCCCCATCGGTAGCAGTAAGACAAGACCTAGTGATGCACTCATGGTCGACAGCGGTGACAGCGTGTAGGAAGAGGTGGAGTGCGGTGCTGTGCAGGGGAAGAACTTACGGTGGAGAGCACGACAGGGTCGGCAAAGTCGGGTTGCTGGCCCTGAGGCTTGGTGTACACTCGCACACACGAGCCCCATCTCTATCAGTGAGACCTCAAACCCTCTAACAAAACCCTCTCAAGGAGAACTCACAGTAGATAGCACCACTGGGTCAGCAAAGTCGGGCTGCTGCCCCTGTGGCTTGGTGTACACTCGCACGAGCCCCATCTCCTCCCACATACGCGCCAACAGATGATCCATGTTCAGCTGTACATAGGGGAAAGAGGTGTGGGGAAAGGGAGGGGAGGGGGGGGTTAAGTCTGGGCCTTGCATTTGTATGTGCTGCGCGCCCCATCTCCTCCCACATGCGCGCCAACAGATGGTCCATGTTGAGCTGATGAAGGAAGAGAAGGAAAGAAAGGGAGACGTGGTTAAATGGGGAATGGGAGACCGTGTGGCAGCATGAAGAATGAGAAGTGCCTGCAACTTGAGATTGGCAGAGATGACGACGGAGCATGGCTGCCTGGCCAGCCTGTCAACATCGTCTATGCCCATCAAGTCTATCTTGTTGTACACGTAGAGGCACCGCATGTACTTGCAACCGCCCTCTCTTGTATGCCGTGCATACTGATCACACTCAACACTGACCTCGAGATTGGCGGAAATGACCACAGAGTGGGGCTGTCTTGCTAAGCGATCAACGTCGTCTATCCCCATGACATCGATCTTGTTGTACACGTAGAGGCACCGGATGTACTTGCGGTTGCCCTCGATCACGTCGATGAGATCGTCCACTGTGCTGTCCTCGCGGAATAGCACCTGCGGTGGAAGAAGGAAAGTCCAGACAAACACATTCGATACAGGCACTATTGATACATAAACACACACATTCGATACAGGCACTATTGATACATAAACAAACATATTCGATACAGGCACTATTGATACATAAACAAACACTTTCCCTCGATGACGTCAATCACACCATCCAGTGTGCTGTCCTCGCGGAGTAGCACCTGATTTGGAAGGGGACTTGATACAAGCACATGCAATATAAGCGAACCTGACAAAAGAATATACAACTTTTCAATAGAAGCGTTGATCACTGTGCTGTCCTTGCGGAATAGCACCTGCGGTGGAAGGAGATACGATGAAAATGCATTTGGTACAATCACAACCATTTGCACTCAATCACATTAATGAGAACAGTCCACTGTGCTGTCCTCACTGAATAGCACCACCTGGGGCGCAAGAAGTGGTTTTGATACAGACACATCCAGTAAAAGCACTCTCAATACAGGCACATTTGATCCAAGCAAATTCAAAAACAGCCTCAATCAATAAAGCGCACAACCATGGTGTCTTGAACGCGTGCAGAATCTGGTAGCACAGCTTCTCGTCACTGTGTGAGAGAGGGGTGCCAACACCCCCCAACCCACTTCCCCCCACACAGCATACTCACCTCAGCGTTATGAATCTTGAACGCGTGCAGAATCTGGTAGCACAGCTTCTCGTCACTGTGCGTGAGAGGGGTGCCAACATCCTCCCCCCCTGTCCCCTCCTTTCCCCCCCACCTCACGCTCCACACGAATCAACGCACCTCAGCGTTATGAATCTTGAACGCGTGCAGAATCTGGTAGCACAGCTTCTCGTCTATGTGTGACAGAGGGGTACTCGTCCGTGCCTTTACTGCGCACCATGCATGCATGTGCCCTGTGGACGCACCTCAGCGTTGTGAATCTTGTACTCGTGCAGAATCTGATAGCACAGCTTCTCGTCTATGTGTGACAGAGGGGTACTCGTCCGTGCCTTTACTGCGCACCATGCATGCATGTGCCCTGTGGACGCACCTCAGCGTTGTGAATCTTGTACTCGTGCAGAATCTGATAGCACAGCTTCTCGTCTATGTGCGAGAGAGGGCCCGTGGAGTTGAAGGAAATTCCTCCCGTCTTCTTCTTCTTGAAGTAGATCTGATGGCAAGTGGGGGATGAGTGGTGAGGGGCGGAAGGCGGAACGGGAGTGTGGGGCAGCGAGCGAGACAGCTGATAACAGAGCTTCTTATCAATGTGCGAGAGTGGGCCCGTGGAGTTGAATAAAATGCCACCTGTCTTTTTCTTCTTGAACTAGATCTGATGGGGAAAGCGGGGGGCGGTGGTGGGGTGTGGAGTGGTGAAGCGGGGTGTGGTAGAGGAGTGGATTGAGGGAGATGCCACCCGTCTTCATCTTCTTGATATGGATTTGATCGGAAAGAAGGGTGGCTGATTGTTGATGCACAACACAACCCCAACAAGCAGCCGTACGGAATTGTGCGTGCCGCACTGACTCGTTGCCAGCCGCGTGTAGTGAGTCGAGTTTTGAGTCGACCCAAAACTCGACTCACTACACAAGCAGCCGTACGGACATTGTGCGTGCCCCACTGACTTGTTGCCAGCCCAGCCCATTCCGGTGACGCCACCACACCACACCACCACAGTCTCCCAGAAACTCTTCATCAACCCACCAGTCCCGTCTCCCAGGCCGCACAACCTCTCGCTACCCCCCTCCCAGGCTCACATTGGGCGGCTGCTTGTTCAGACGCAGCCCCACGGATTCGAGCTCCTTGGTTAGAATCTGACGGTGGGCCTCGGTCTGAAGGTGTTGAGAGGGGTGGAGGGTGGTGGATGGGTACAGATAAAGGAGCACGAGAGGGGAGACAGTGGCTTGTTGAGGCGCAGCGCAGCCCCACGGATTCGAGCTCCTTGGTTAGAATCTGACGGTGGGCCTCGGTCTGAAGGTGTTGAGAGGGGTGGAGGGTGGTGGATGGGTACAGATAAAGGAGCAAGAGAGGGGAGACAGTGGCTTGTTCAGACGCAGCCCCACGGATTCGAGCTCCTTGGTTAGAATCTGACGGTGGGCCTCGGTCTGAAGACAGAGAAAGGGGAGAGGAGAGCGGTGGAAGGGGGAAGAGGGGGGGTGGGTTGCATTGCGACAAAAACCAAAAGAGTTGACAAAACACAGAAAACTTGTGTGGATTTGCGAAAACAATGTACCTTTTTTTTTTTTTTTTTTTTTTTTTTTTTTTTTTTTTTTAACAGGGTGCTTTGCTTTTGGAACAATTGAACAAACATCACTTTGGTCTGACCTTGGAGATATCGAGCACCATGAGCACGAGGTCAGAGGACGTGGCTGTGCAAGGTGCTTTTTTTCCTGAACTTTCGAAAGCACCTAAGCAGACCAGACCAGAGGCACTCACCTTGGAGGCATCGAGCACCATGAGCACGAGATCAGATGACTTGGCTTGGCTGTGCAAGGTGCTGTTTTCCAGAGCTTTCGAAAACACCTAAGCAGACCAGACCAGACCAGAGCCACTCACCTTGGAGGCATCCAGCACCATGAGCACGAGATCGGATGACTTGGCTGTGCAAGGTGCCTTTTCCCTGAACTTTTGAAAGCACCTAAGCAGACCAGACCAGAGCCACTCACCTAAGCAGACCAGACCAGAGCCACTCACCTAAGCAGACCAGACCAGAGCCACTCACCTAAGCAGACCAGACCAGAGCCACTCACCTTGGAGGCATCGAGCACCATGAGCACGAGATCAGATGACTTGGCGACTGCAATGACCTGATGGGGACGAGGCAGAGAGCGGGAGAAGAGAGTAAGGAAAGAGAAGGGAGATAAGAGGAGGGAGTTGACATTAAGGCGAGGAGCACCATGAGCACGAGATCAGATGACTTGGCGACTGCAATGACCTGATGGGGAGGAGGCAGACAGGCAGAGAAGGAAAAAGAGGAGAGGAAAAAAGAGAAGAGGAGGTGGGAGTTGAATTCAGGGAGTCGAGCACCATGAGGTCAGTCAGATGACTTGGTGACTGCAATGACCTGACTGATGGGAACGAGCCAGTCCGGGAGGGAGGAGAGAGTAAGGAAAGAGAAGGGAGATACGAGGAGGGAGTTGACATCAAGGCGAAGAGCACCATGAGGTCAGATGACTTGGCGACTGCAATGACCAGATGGGGGTGGGGCAGGGCGGGAGAGAGAGGATTGTAGGGATTTAGGCAGGGGAATTTGAGAAAAGGAGAGCGCAAGAGAGTAGGAATATGACGAGAAGGTGAAGAGGGAAAAGCCACCAAACCTGAAAAATGCCCACTCACTCACTCTCTCACTCACCCACTCACTCTCTCACTCAATCACTCACTCTCTCACACAAACACCCCATACAATTCCCCTCCCCCCATCGCCTTTTCCACCCACCTGTCTCCCGCGCCCCTTGCCCTGCGACGCGTCCTCATGATTCCCGGCAAGTCCAGCAGCTGAATCTTGGTATCATTGTGGTAGATAATGCCCGGGATGCACGTCAACCCCCCTCAACTACCACCAACCGCCCCTCCAAACACACCTGTCTCCCGCGCCCCTTGCCCTGGGACGCGCCCTCAATGATTCCCGGCAAGTCCAGCAGCTGAATCTTGGTATCGTTGTGGTAGATAGATAATGCCCGGGATGCACGTCAGCGTCGTGAACTCGTACGCTGCTGCCTTGCGCCCCCCTCTCTCACTGTCACTCTCTCACTCACTCACTCTCTCCTATCTCGCAACGCGCCCCAGACTCCCTCCCCAACCCCCACCCACCTGTCTCCCGCGCCCCTTGCCCTGAGACGCGCCCTCAATAATCCCCGGCAGATCCAGCAGCTGAATCTTGGTATCATTGTAATTAATGATCCCAGGAATGCACGTCAGCGTGGTGAACTCGTACGCTGCCGCCTCGGAGCGAGTGCCAGTGAGGACAGTGAGGAGGGTGGACTTTCCCACACTAGGAAAGCCGATGAGTGCCACTCGCCCGTGCCCGAACTTGGTCACCTCAAACCCCTCGCCCGCGCCTGACGAACCCTGCACACACAGAGTGGGGGGGGTGGAGGAGGGAGGGGAAGGGGGGGAAGGAACGGGAGAGGAACAGACTTATGTGAGCAACAACCGACTAGTACGCTGCAGCCTCTGACTGAGTGAGACTGCGTGCGCCCATCTGAGCGAGTGCCAGTGAGCACAGTGAGGAGGGTGGACTTTCCAACACTGGGAAAACCGATGAGTGCCACTCGGCCACTTGGTCACCTCAAACCCCTCGCCCGCGCCTGACGAACCCTGCAGGCAGTGGGGGTGTTGGAGGAGGGAGGGAGAGGGGGAGGGAGGGTGTGGGGGAAAGGAGCAGACTCGTGAATAACCAAGTGGTATGCTGCAGCCTCTCGACCAATGAAAGCTGATGCGTGCGAGCTGATTGAGTTTGTTAAAGCACTTGTAAGCTGCCTCTTGACTACTCACGCGTTGTGTGAGGAGAAAAAAGGGTGAGGAGAGAGAACACACGGCTAGGAGAAGAATCATGTCCCGGGCTGGGAACGACTGAGTCCGAAAACATGGTGTGACTCGATTTTTGAGTCGACTCAAAAATCGACTCACTACACGCTTGAGTCCGAAAACATGGTGTGACTTTGGAGAATTCTCAAAAGTCACACCAACACGGCTAGGAGAATCATGTCCCGGGAACACTTGAGTCTGAACTGAAAACATGGTCTGGTTCCAGCAGCTGAATCTATAAAACGCATGGCTAATATGGCGTACGGACCGCACCTTGGCTGGTCCCTTTAAGGCACATCACATGATACATGGCGTACAGACCGCACCTTGGCTGATTCCAAGAGCTGTATTTATAACGAGCACGGCTTATATGGCGTACAGACCGCACCTTGGCTGGTTCGAGCAGCTGTGTTCGCAGGCGAGCTAGTTTGGCCTTGAGCTGACCCAGATGGTACTCTGCACGTCAAGAAGGGATACGAGAGAGACAATAACGAGGATGGATGTTCGCAGGAGAGCAAGCTTCGCCTTGAGCTGACCCAGATGGTACTCTGCATAGCGGGGAGATATTCGAGAGAGACAATAACGAGGATGGAATACACATTGAGAGATGGCAATACAGAGGGGAAGCTAGTAGGAGGGAACAAGGGCATTAACGGCATGCCACCATGAGACCACGAGATCATGAGATCATGCGACCATGAGACCATGCCACCATGAGACCATGAGACCATGAGATCATGAGATCATGCGACCATGAGACCATGTCACCATGAGACCATGCGACAATTTTTTAGACGTATCAGAAAGGGAACTTGGACATTGACGGCAAACCAGCATGCGACCATGAGACCATGTGAGTATGCAACAAGAATCATCATTATAGCGCAATGATCATTCAGTGCAATCATTGAGGGATGCGAGTCTGGCTGAATGATTGCACGCACACCTGCACCACTCGTGAAACCCACCCGTGACACCCATCCGCGGCATTCACTAGATGAATGTCCCATCCGTAACGCCCATCCGTGACATTCACCCAAGGAACTCACCTGTGGCTTTGTTCTTCTGCGTGCGCCCCATTTCCAGCTCGATCTCCTTGATCCTCTCCAGGACACCCATGGCTGCTGGCTTTTATCCAATCCAATATCGACGGTCAGTATCAAACGACGGTCTGAAGATTGATCGACGATCGAGATTGTTCGACGGCCCGGATTGATCGACGCCTGAGAATGATCGACGTTCGAGTCTGATTGAGGGTCTCGGGATTGAGACGGAGACAGATCAATCAGAACGGAATGGCCGAAGAAACGGAAAGCACCGTACACAGGGCAATAACGCGTCCTTGCCTGGTCGAATCCGTCGAATCCACTTCGACCGTGAAGTTCGCAGGCGACGAAACCAGGGCAATGCTGCCAGGTCAGCACGACGCGAAATGGCTGTTGGAGCTTGGGAAAATAAAGATGAGCTTCTGGGTGGTGTCAGTCAGGTATGGGATTGTGGCGGTGGTGATGAGGGGGTTCAGGTTCAGGGGGTTTTGTACGCGATAAATGCTGTCTTGTAGGGAATAATTTTAAGTGCTTGGTGTTGTGCATTACATAAAACATTGTGCACTACAGAAACGAATATTTCAACATTACAATGTGCATATCCTCGCCACAAAAAAAAAACATTTGTTGCCATGCGTGACATGCGCCACAGCACGCGATTCGCACCATCACCCATAACTAAGGCGACTGTCCAAGGACGTACTTAAAGCTCGTACCCAACTTACTTCCTTATGCTTTGCCCGTCGCAACAATGGCGACCGACACTGACACTTAAAGCCCATGTCATAGCTTGTCCAGTCAAAGTTCTTCGTCCAGCAGCGCGTGTACAAGAAAACAGAGACGCGGCGCGGCCACCATGGCGCAAGCGGCGCTGACGGCGCTGGACACGTGGACGGCGCGGGATTGGCGGAAGGAGGAGCGCCGGTGGCGCGAAGAGCTGCGCCGGTGGCGCGCGGATGACGTGGCGTTCCGCGCGGAGGAGAGGCGATTCAAAGCAGAAGAGCGGATGTTCCGCGCTGTGCGACACAGGTGTGCTTGCAGCTGGTGTGTTTCTAGCGGGTGTGCTTCTGGCGGGTGTGCTTCTAACATGCGTTCGTATCTCACCCGCTTCACAACAGTGACCTAGCTCATAAAGCCCTCTCTATCCAATTCCGCACCTTCCCGTCTCCCCCAATGCCCTCTCGCCAGGTGGCGCGACGAGATAATGCAGCAGCGCCACGTGGACAACGCCATGCACCTGTGGGATCGGTAAGGAGGAGGCGCAGCAGATTCAGCGCATCTTAGGAGTGTCTCTATGCGGTGCATCTGGAAAAGCGTCATTATCCGGTGCATTTGAGGGAGGAGTTGTGGAGACGAGGCAGGGAAGGGGGAAGCTGGGGAGGGAGAGGGTATAGAGAAGGAGGTAGAAGGTGGGAGGGATGGGTTGCCTTTGATTCATTGTTCTCGGAATGAAACCACCTTGTCACTGAGAGGCCATGTGGATTTTCTAGGTGTCTCAAAATTAGGCCGTGTGTCCCCCATTCGCATCACTGCTTGCCTCTCCTTCCCCTCCTCTGCTCGCCAGCACCAACCAACCAAGCAGCCTTTGCTGGTTCACCTAGCTGCTACCGAGTGTGGAGGGGAAGGCGGGGAGGAGCACATGAGGACGTGGCGTGGCACACCTACGCCCACTCCTTGACACCGTGTGCCCCATTCACAACCTCTCCTTCCCCTTCTCCTCTGCTCGCCGGCACCTACCAAACAGTCTTTGTTGGTATTGCTACTACCAAGTGTGGAGGGGAAAGCGGAGCGCTTGTATCAACACTTGAAGGCCATCGCGTGGCACCAACACCTCACTCCTCGTTGTTCATCCTCCTTTCTCAACTCTCTTTCCCCACACTCTCTTTCCCCACACTCTCTTTCCCCACACTCTCTTTCCCCACACTCTCTTTCCCCTTCTTCCCCGGCCACTGGCACCGGCACCGAGGAGGAGTGCAACTGGCGAAGCGTGGAGGAGGCGGCGGAGCGGAGCACACGAGAGCCATGGAGTGGCACACCAACACCCCACCCACTCCTCGTAGCTAATCCCCCTTTCTTCCACTCTCTGCGCGCCAATCCTCTCCGTGCCATCTCTCCCCCGCCTCTCACCAGCACCAAGGAGTGCAACAGGCGCAGTGTGGAGGAGAAGGCGGAGCACATGAGGGCCATGGCGTGGGTGGCGGCTATCGTGGGCGGATTCACCATGACTGCCCCCGTGGAGTTCACCTATAGTGACCCCGATGCTCCTATGGTAATGCACCACTCTCCACCACACTCTACCGCACTGATTCGCACTCCACCGCACTCAACCGCACTGCACCGCACTCTACTGCGCTGTGCTGTGCTGTGTGGGGGGAGCACAGCACATGAGGGCCATGGCGTGGGTGGCGGCCATTGTGTGGGTGGAGTTCACCTATAGTGACCCTGACGCCCCTGTGGTGATGCACTGCACACCGCACTGCTCTAAACCGCACTGCACCATGCTGAACGGCACTGTTCTCTCCCGTTCCCTCTCGCACCCTTTTCCCTCCCACACTCACCTTTCCCCCCGCACACTTACGTTTCCACCCCTCACACTCACCTTTCCCCCCTCACACTCACCTTTCCCCCCGCACACTTACGTTTCCACCCCTCACACTCACCTTTCCCCCCTCACACTCACCTTTCCCCCCTCACACTCACCTTTCCCCTCTCACACTCACGTTTCCCTCACTTTCCCCCTCTTCGACTGTGCTCTCTCCCACTCCCCCACTCCTCCTCTTTGTCCTGCAGGCCCTGGTCACTGCATACGCCCTCTGCACTGCTCTCGTGGTGAGTCGGCGTGGATAGGCGTGCAGAACACATGCACGGGGCACAGGGCACAGGGCACAGGGCACAGGGCACAGGGCACAGGGCACAGGGCACAGGGGCACGGGGGCACGGGGCACGGGGCACGGGGCACGGGGCACGGGGCACGGGGCACGGGGCACGGGGCACGGGGCACGGGGCACGGGGCACTCTCTCACAGACATGCACACACACATGCATTTGTACATACACTTGCACCTTCTCTTCTCCCTCCTCTTCCCGTTCTCCCTCCTCTCGCCCCTCTCCCCCCTCTTCCCCTTCTCCCCCATCTCCCCCCTCTCCCCGCTCTCTCTCCTCTCCCCACTTTCCCCTCTCTCCCCTCTCCTCCCTCTCATCCCTCCCCTCCCTCTCCCCCCTACCCTTCCTTACCCTCACATGCAGCCATCACTGATGGTGGTAGCAGCGATTATAGCAGTGTGCCGCTTGCCCCCTCCTCCCCGCTATTTCCCCACCCCATCCAGCCATCACTGATGGTGGTGGCAGCAATGATAGCAGTGTTCGTGCTGGGAGCAGTGCTAAGGATGGGAAAGCTATACGTGCACGAGAGGGAGGAGGAGGAGTTTCTCGCCTCTGCATGCTCCTGCCCTCCCATACCTGCCCCTGTCCCCTGCCCCCTGATTCCCCCCCTTCACTCCCTACCCCCTACCCCCTGCCCCCTGCCCCCTGCCCCCTGCCCCCTGCCCCCTGCCCCCTGCCCCCTGCCCCATACCCACTGCACCCACCAATCCAGCCATCACTGATGGTGGTGGCAGCAATGATAGCAGTTTTTGTATTAGGAGCAGTGCTGAGGATGGGCAAGCTATACGTGCACGAGAGGGAGGAGGAGGAGTTTCTCGCCTCTGCCCGCTACTTCGCACTCAACCGGGCGGCGGCGGGCGGCAACAGGACGACGATCACCGCCCCACCAGCTTCCTTGAGGAGCTTCGACCGCTTCTGGGACCTCAGGTGTTCCCTTACAAGACCTAAGGTGTTCCCTTATAAGAGCTAAGGTGTTCCCTTACAAGACCTAAGGTGTTCCTTTATAAGACCTAAGGTGTTCCCTTACAAGACCTAAGGTGTTCCCTTATAAGACCTAAGGTGTTCCCTTACAATACCTAAGGTGTTCCCTTATAAAACCTCAGGTGTTCCCTTATAAGACCTCAGGTGTTCCGTTATAAGACCTCAGGTGTTCCCTTATAAGACCTCAGGAGGACTTCATCTATATTTCTTCTTCCCTTCCCTCGTCCCGCTCCTCTTCCTTCTCCTTCCCGTTCCTTCCATTGCATCTTCCATTCCTTTCCCTCTCCAATCCTGCCTTCCATTACTTTTTGGCAACCCTTTGACTGCCTCACTACCCCTTCTTCCCCTAGTCTTCCCCTAGTTTCTCCTCCTGTGGCTGATTCGCTTCTCACGTCCCGTCAACTGCTTGTATGTTTCATTGCTCCTGTACTCATTGCTTCCGTGTGACCTCATTCCTCCCCTTCTCTCGTATCCTCACCCTCTCTCCTCTCGTATCCTCGCCCTCTCTCCTCTCGTATCCTCACTTCTTCTCAATGCAGATGCGAATCCGACTGGCGATTGACCTTCCGTCTCTTTTCTGCAGGTAACAAATGTTACCAGTAGTAACCATGTGTCATGTGACTCGAAACAGTCCTCATGCTTTTTCTCTGTTGGAAAAAGTCCTATTGAAAAAGTCGGTCCAATAGTAGTAATCTACACAGACTGAAATGACATTGACTTTCAAGTTTGTCGCAGTCAATCTCACCCTCTGCAACTGCCACTCCACAGCTTCCCCCTGCCACACTCCTAAATTCACCTTCCCTCCCATCCACCCCTCTTCCTCCCCACCCCGCACACCACTCGCACCCCCTGTGCAGGAATCACATTCTTCTTCCCTCTCCTCTCTACCATGGCGTGAGTTCCACCCACCCAGGTCATAAGGACACGTGTGTGGCATGGCAAACGCGCATGGCAGGGCTAAGGCGCATGGCATTACACACATGTCCGTTATGAGTTATTCCATTATCAGTTTGGATGCGGACACGTGTGTGGCATGGCAAACGCGCATGGCATGCACACATGTCCGTTCCATTGACGTCTTTGCTGCTTCACACGCATATCATCACACCATTTCTTCCCATTCAGGCCACATGCCTAGAAAACAAAAAGCGTAGGGGTGGGGGGAGGGGGGGGGGAGGGACACACACACACGCACGCACGCACGCACGCACGCACGCACGCACGCACGCACGCACGCACGCACACGCACACGCACACGCACGCACGCACACACACACACACACACACACACCCGCACACGCACACGCACACGCACACACACGCACACGCACACACACGCACATGCACACGGACACACACGCACGCACGCACACACACGCATACACACACATGCACACACACACGCACACACACACACGCACACACACACGCACACACACATGCACACACACACACACACACAACACCATCAGGTTCTTCAAGTTCCACCCCAACATCTGGATCCACATGCATCCCATAAAGTTCACACTTCCTGCACATGACCCACACACACATCCATCATCAGGTTCCTCAAGTTCCACCCCAACATCTGGATCCCCTCCATCTTCTCCTCCGTGCTGCTTGTAGCTCTCATCCAATGGTACACACTACACTCCCTTTCCCATGTGCCGTCCTTGCTTATGAATCTATGTCACCCCCCATAGTATTATGTCGTTGTCATGCATGACATGATTGTGTGCAGTAAGTGCCGTGGTAATGCATGGCATATGTATGTTGCTCCCCACCATCAGTCAGCGCACAACCCACGTGTTTTCCGCCCTTACATATGCCATACACATTCCGTCCTATGCCACCATAACATCCCTCCCATCACGCTCTGTGTGTCAATCAAACTCTCACATGCCAGTTCCCCATTCCAACCATCATCCACCACTCTTTCTGCTTTTCCCAATCCCCCTTTCCCTCCCCTCAAGGTTCTTCCTCTTGCAAAAGTGGGGTCGCTACCTCACCTCTCCACTCCCCTCCTCCTCTTCCTCCTCACACCCTCCTCCCCACACCCCCCGATCACCGCACTCAACCGATGATTCTCTCCTTCTGCACACGCCCCGCCCACCCATCTCCAACCATCCAATAGACTGGCACATACGGCCTTTGCCGCTCCTCCCCCCCTCTGGGGATGACATTGCATCTTCCACCACATATAGTGGTAATATGAGTGGTTATGCTGATGTGGATGGCGAGCCTTACCTTGTTGATTCTGTGAGGTCCTCGGGCGAGTTTGAATTGGAGGATGTGTACAGAGATGATGTTGAAAATGGTGCTGGAAATGGGGTGGAAGGTGATGATTTAGGGCGGCGAGATGTGCAGGCTGGTGGTTATCGTCAGTTGGAGCTTATGCAGGTTTCAGGCTTGTTGGAAGGCGTGGTGAGAGGAGTAGATTTTGATGTGGAGGAAATGGAGCTGGTTAGAGATTGAAAGATAGCATCATGTGAAGCATCAATGATTTTGTTTGTAACAGTTGCCCTGGCAGTACAGTCTAGTCTCTCCAAACGAATTACTGATTTAAATGAGTACAGTATTCAGGCTGATCTTGCTTGCGATGCTGCATCACATTCTTGATTATCTGACGTGTATCACACTTGTTGGGTGGAGATGCGACCTCCACATTTTGGGTTACTCTCCGCCACGCAAATCGGTCTTCATCGCTGCAAGCGAGTTTCACCCAGCCAATGCCCGTCGCCAAGGACACACGACTTGGATCTTCCGAGTTGTGATTCATATCGTTTCTGGGAGCCAATGGTAGATCACCTAGGGTTCACGAAGGGGCGAGTGCGAAGCTCGCAGCAATAATGCGAACGCTTGCGACCTCGCAGTTCACCCGCTCGAAGTTTCTTCTGGCGAAACGAAAAAACTCGACGGAACGTGCGAACATGCGATCCGATTCGCGCTGCCGTGAATGAATGCAATCGCACCAGCCGCGTGAGAAACACAGAACTCACAAATGCGTTTCGGGCTCCCCCAAGGAACAGAACAGACTTTCGCCTCGACATCCACCCGCTGAAGGCTGTACCTTGCTCCAGCCAACCGCTTCCTCCCTCAAAACCCAGACCTTCATAATGGATTTTGGGGGGATGCAAGGATAACTTTGTGCTGTGCCACTGTGTGCCTGTTCCTGTGGCGCGTGTGCGGAACAAGAAATTCATTTGCCCCTCGTCGCTGCCTAACAAGGAGTGAAACATGTGTGGAGGCGTCCCGAGCCCCAACCACACGTACTGTAGTTCTATTTCCTTCAGACTGCCTCCACGAAACGGCGAATTTGTTGGAGACTTTCATTTCCGAACGAGAATAAACCAGAGAGGGCTTGGAGCGTAAGGCGTTTTTCAATAACCCAGTCCCGAGTCAGCGTTGACCGCCTTACCTCCGCTCTACCTTCGCTCTACCATGACTGACGTGCTCAGCTCCCACAGCCACGCAACCGCCTCGTCAGCGTCTTTGGGCTTGCCGACGCACCCGTGGGAGCATATGGACGGCGGCGCGTTGAGTAAAGCCGGAGCCATGGCGGCAATCGCGGAGAGCGAGGTGTTCGAGTCGGGCGACGAGGACGAGGAGAGCCGACTGCTCTGGCAGATCATGATGATCGAGGAGGCGGCGCGAGAGGCGGCGGCGCGGCAGCGTGCGGAAGCGGCAATCACAGCAGATGCCGCGATGGAAACGAGAGAAACGAGGGAAAGCACAGAACCAGCGGAAACGCTAGAATCGACGGAAACGCAAAGTCCGTCGGAAGCGCCAGCGGAATTCACGGAACCGCCTGAAACGGCGGAGGCGGTGGAGTCGACTGAAGAATCAACGCAAGCGGCGGAGGTCGCGATGGCGGAGGTCGCGATGGCGGAGGTCGCGATGGCGGAGACCGCGATGGCGGAGACCGCGGCAGAGGAGTGCGCGAATGAGGAAAGCGCGGAAAAGAGCGCGGAGACGGAGAGCGCGGATGCGGAGCGCGCGGTGGCTGGGGGCACGGAGGCGGAGAGTACGGTAGTCGTCACCCCAACAGCCGCTGACATTTTTAGCGACACCGACGTCACCGCCGTCGCCGCTGCTCCGAACGCTGAAACCGCTGAAAGCGCGAACGCCCCAGGCAGCAGCAGCAGTGGCGGCGGCTTCGGCGGCGGCGGCATTCGCAAGAGCACGAGCACGGGCGGGCTCTTCTCCCTCGATTCCGCAACCGGCACAACTCCTAGCAGCGGCACCGTGACGCCCGTCAGCGCCAGCGCTGGCGCTGCTCCGCACAAAGAGACAGCGCGCGCGGCGAACAGCGGCGGAATTATCAGCAAAAGCACGAGCACCGGCGCCCTCTCCTCCCTCATTTCCGCGCGCTCCTTCCGCATCCGCGGAAAATCCTCAGCCGGAGGGTTGCCCTTCCTCCCCGCGCTCACTGTCCCCGAGTCGGACTCCGCCTCCGCCGATCACGGCCCGCTCTCCTGCTCCGCTCTCCCTTCCGCAGCCGCCGCTGCCCCCAGCGGAAGCATCGCTCCCCCGCTCACACCCTCCCGTCGCTTCTCAAAATGGTTCTCGTTTAAAGCGGATAAGGCGCAGGCTTCTAGCGGGGATAACAATGCGGCTGCTGCCAAGTCTTCCGCGCAGTTTTTGTCAGGGAAGCCAGCGATTGGCGGGTTTTCCTCCGCTGCCGTGTCTGACTCGAGTGACATAGTATCCCTGGGTGTGGGCGGACCCATTGCGGAGTGCGAGAGCGAGGAGGGGAGGGGAAGCACGGAAGGGCGGAGTGCGGTGGAAGAGACGAGCAAGCCCAAAGACACATCCGGCGCGTCTGGGTTGGTTTCGCCAAAGTGAGTAGGCTCGCACAATTGTTTGTACGCTTGCGCCATCCTGATTCCCGCTGACACCACACTAGGTCCACGGCTCCCACACATTCCCCCCTTTCCCTCCACCCTCCCCCCTCCCCCCTCCCCCAAATGGCCCCAGTCATTCCGCCCCAGCTGCACACCATACCCAACCCCATTCCCCTTGTCCCCATTCTCAACCAACCCTTATCCTCGCTCTGTACCCCATATAGACTGGAGTGGACCATCTCACCTTCCTGTGCTCCTATACTCTCTTGTGCCATTCCCATTTGAAGTACTAACGCCTCCTCTGTTGCCCTGCCCTTCCTCTGTTCCCTGCTCCAGGAAACGCATGGTGCCGTTTCGCAAAATGGCAACATTCAAGTGAGAGTGATGATTTGGTGTGCTGCAGCTAGTGCATTGGTTGGAGTGCCAAACTTGTGCTTTTGTGTGGCGTTTTTTTCTATATGCCAGTTATTTACTAGTATGGTAGAGCCATGTATGTATGTACAGGGGTGTATATTTTGTGGACTTGAGCAAACGTTTTTGGATTCCTGAGTTGCAGTTTCCATTTTGTGTCACGGAGGGATGATACATGTGTAATGCAGATTTTTAGTGTTATAGCATTTCTGTGATGTAGTGAAAAGGCTTCTAAAGAGCACCCGAAAAGGCTTCACGCGGACCGCGCGTGACCTCAACCGACAGCCACAACCACTTTCGGTCAACGAGCTTCGCGACATGTTCCGGGACCCAGCAGTTCGTTGGCGAGAAGTACAGTTGCCCCCCGTCTCCCAAATTCGAGCACGAAGAATTCAAGAAGCCTAGTCGCCACCGAAAATGTAACTTCGCCTGAGCTGCCTCACCGCTTCTCGCGCCGCATGTTGGTATCCGGGACGCGCTCCCGTCCCCAGCCAGCCTCATTTTGCACCTATATAACATTTTCCGTGCCTCTGGAACTCTCATCAAGTTCATTCGTGGCTCTCTCGCCTTGACTCAACTGAACTGCCTCTGATCAATTTTACTTCCCTGATCGAAGCCACTCACTCGCTTCAGATTCGCTACCCACACCTCCACATTATCGCCTTCCAGACCTTCTCTTCGCACGAGACTGTTTCCTCCTCTACGGTCGTGCAATTTTCTCCCAAATATGGCCAGTTCAAGGTACCTCTCTTTCCTAGGGCTGCTCTGCATCGTGCTGTGATTCGCGAGCGCGCACGCCCAGGCGCCGGCGAAGCCCACCAAGGCGCAAATAAAAGCGGAGCTTCAGAACATGGCCAACGCCATTACGCAGAAGTTTCCGCAATACGCGAAATACGCCAAGGACATCAACAAGTACATTGGCCTTGCACGTAAGGGCTCCCTTCTATTAATTTCAAGCTCGTTTTTGCTTAAGTTGTGCTCGGGTTCCCCTTCTTACTCTCGCCGCTGCAAGCGAAACTCTCGAAATGAAGGACGTCGAGATCTCATGCTGGCATATCATCCCCTAGACTTCCCCGCGCTGCAAACTCTCCCTGCTTCTCTATGCACGTCAATCCGTTACCTCTTCCTAGGCGTTTCCATAGTGCATGTTTCTTTCTCTTCAATTAGCTAGAAACGCACCCAGATTCGCGCGGCAATTTTAGGCTGAATCTGTCACTCCCTTCTTTCCACGCCCCTCCCATTCCTCGAATCCCCTAAACACCACTTATCACTTCAGCAAGCTAGAGACCCATTATTTTCTGTCCTCCCTCTTTCTCCGCCTCCATCCCTCTCCTTCTCCCCCCCTCCAGTGAATTCCAAGTACGATTTCACAGCGCTCAGCGACGCAACCCTGCTCCTCCCCAGCGACACGGAGGCGGAGGCCCTCGCTAAGAAGGTCCCCGTTAACAAAGCCAACATCCCCCGAATCTACAACATCACGGCGTTCCACATTATTCGCAAGAAGTACACCGTTCCCGCGCTCAAGGTGCTCAAGAAGTCGCAGCCGATCGGCACGCAGCTGAAGCAGGCGATGTACAAGGTTTCGCAGCAGAATGGTAACACGGTTTCTTTCGCCAAGACTCCCAACGCCCCCCCTGCCGCCTGGACTACGATCAAGATCGTCCGGCTGTACTCTGGACCGTACTTCATCGCTCACGGCGTGGATAAAGTCCTAATTCCCACGAACACCAAGGTGTAAATCCTGGGGCGTGCAAACCACCCCAAAGCAGAAGGTTTGCTAGGATTAGGTTTCCGTTCCCAGTTGACAGTCAGTCATGCTACGGGTTCAACCTCTGAACTAGAGATGACTGGCCGTCAACTAGGCACACAGCAGGTTTCTGTGTCTATGCCGTGTTCTTGAAGTAAAAACGAAGTGTTCAAACACGAATTTCTAAGTATGTGGAAACGTCTTCATGAGATGGACGGGGAATATACCGGATATAGCCTGTCACTTCATGAACCAGCACAGACGCACCAAAGTAGACATATGAACGAATAGCAATGAAAAGTTGCTTCAGACATGCTACTCCTTTTCATCTCTGAAAATATGTAACTTATAAAGAGCATGGCCTTAGTCACATGTTCAGAATGTACACGTTTGAGGGTATGTTCCTTGAGTGGAATAACCCGTTCAGTCAGTAACTACTTGGAGAAAACAGTGTACCTGTACTGGTAAATGGTCCATGTAAGGGCCATCTGCCCGCCAGTTATTCCCCACATTCTTGCCCATCCAGGAATGACACGAGTGATGAAGGGCCTGATCAACAAACATCTCATCAAGAAAGGGAGAGCAACAAGTCGTTAATGCATAAAGTTGCAACTTGGTTGCGGTAAAGCTGCAGTGAAGAATCAGCATGCACAGTTAAAAAGGGCTGATAAAAAGGAGCCAGAATAATCAGCTGAACTCTGTCCTGGTGGAGACCTGCTGGGAGGCTACAGTGAAAGAGGGACCCTGAAGCCACGCCTCTCCTGAATCATAGCAACAGTGTGAATCACGTTTTGCATGATGAAAAACAGCGACGAATCCCTCCCATGAAGCCCGGCCCGGCCAGCCGGGCTGTCCGCAGGCTGACGGTTGTTCCCCGTGAAGTTGTTGCAGGGGCTACCGCCGATGATCAAATCGAACGGTCCGTATTTATCCACCAATCCCTCCACATTCTTCATGTTCAGCTTCGTCACATCGTGGTATACTTGGGATAGCTTCCCCACCATCCTGCCCCCGCCCCTGACCGGTGCCTCTGCAGCGTTTTTCCACCACCGCGCCTCGGCTTCCCGGCAGGTGCTATCAGCCTCGATGCTCACGGCACGGATCACAGGGACTTGCGCCATGTGCAGCGCCACTAGCGCGCCGCCGATGCCTGAGAAGAGCGAGAGGACCCGGATGGGGCGGTTGAGGCGGCGCAGCACTGAGAGGTGGAGAGCGACGGTGGGCACGTGAAAGGTGTTGCCTGGGGGCATGGGGGATGGGGGATGGGGGGTGGGGAATGGGGGGATTGGGAAGAGTGGGCGGATGAGTTGGAAACATGATAACTCAGAAGCCATGTAGAGGCGGCGCAGGACTGAGAGTTGGAGAGCGACGGTGGGCACGTGGAAGGTGTTGCCTGGGGGCATGGGGAAATGGAGAGATGGAGGAACGGGGAAAGGGGGATGGGGGATGGGGGGATGGGGAAAAGGTGTATGTAGGTGTATAGTGGAGGACTGTGGGATATGGACAAGAAGGTTGAGTGAGAAAGGAGGATGCAGACAAGGAGGAAAGGATGTTGTCAGAAAAGGACAGCAACGCTGAGAAGTAAAAGGAGGACTATGTGAGCGAGTTGAAATTCTATTGTCAGAAAAAAGGAAACTGTACGCTTGCTCATTGGTTCTTACCGAGCATTTTGTAACGGCTGGTTTTGTTGGCGGTAACCGTAGAGACGTGCCCTTCAGGGTACCCCATCAAGTCCTCTAGCTGATCCACCTCCAGTGGGGCGAGCCGGTCCCTCTCAATCCACAGCAAGTTGAACCTGCGAGGATGGAGGGGTGGGGGGGTTGGTTTGGTTAGAATGAGACAGGATTGGTTGCAGCAGAGAGACGCGACCCCTGGGGGGCTACCCCCTGGAACCTCTTCCAACTGATCCACCTCCAGTTGGGCGAGCCGGTCCCTCTCAATCCACAGCAAGTTGAACCTGCGAGGATGGGGGGGTGGGGGGGTTGGTTTGGTTAGAATGAGACAGGATTGGTTGCAGCAGAGAGACGCGGCCCCTGGGGGGCTACCCCCTGGAACCTCTTCCAACTGATCCACCTCCAGTTGGGCGAGCCGGTCCCTCTCAATCCACAGCAAGTTGAACCTGCGAGGATGGGGGGGTGGGGGGGTTGGTTTGGTTAGAATGAGACAGGATTGGTTGCAGCAGAGAGACGCGGCCCCTGGGGGGCTACCCCCTGGAACCTCTTCCAACTGATCCACCTCCAGTTGGGCGAGCCGGTCCCTCTCAATCCACAGCAAGTTGTACCTGCGAGGATGGTTGGGGGGCATTGGTTGGAACGAGAGCAGAACGAGCCAGAGAAACGTGCCATTGGTTGGAATGAGAAACGTTATGAAGCGCCTCTAAAGTCCCACAGCAAGTGAGGACACTGAAAGGAGAGGTCAGTGGAGAGGGAAAGGGCACTGAAAAGAGAGGACACTGAAAGGAGAGGGCAGTGGAGAGGGAAAGGGCACTGAAAAGAGAGGGCACTGAAAGGAGAGGGCAGTGGAGAGGGAAAGGGCACTGAAAAGAGAGGGCACTGAAAAGAGAGGGCAGTGGAGAGGGAAAGGGCACTGAAAAGAGAGGGCACTGAAAAGAGAGGGCAGTGGAGAGGGAAAGGGCGTTGGAAAGAGAGGGCACTGGAGAGGAAACGGGCGTTGGAAAGAGAGGGCACTGGAAGCGTCCCATCCCCCGCTCCCCTCCCTTCCCTCCCTCTCCCCCTCTCCTATCCCCCCCCATCTTCCACCTCCATCTACACTTGCACTCTGATGCATGTCATAAACTCCAGGCGACTTGTTAGAATCCAGGCGCCTGGAGTTTATGCATGTGTCTTAAACTCCACTCTGATATTTCTCAAAACCAGCAAACCCACTGTTTGAGACCTCCCAAAATTCCTCCCCTCTCCCCACGCCCCCTCCCTCTCGCTCTACAAGCTTACCTCCTGACGTATGTCAGCAGCTCTTGGGGACTCTCTATGGAAAAGGAGAGGTGTTTGAGACGTCCCAAATCCCCCCCCCCTCCCCCCCCGTCCCCCCCCCTATCCCCCTTTCCCCCCCCTTCCCCCCCCTTCCCCCCCTCCCCCCCTCCCTCTCTCCATCTACAAGCTTACTTTCTGACGTATGTCAGCAGCTCCTGGCATCTCTCCGGGGAAAGCCCCTCTGCTGTGAAGCTTCGATGCCACTTTAAACGCCAAGCAAGCACTCACCCCCCCCCCCCCCTCTCCCCACCCCAATTCCCCCCGTTAGCTTACTTCCGAACGTATGTCAGCAGCTCCTGTTGTCTCTGCGGGGAGAGCCCCATTGCTCCGTGAATCTGGAGCTCAACGTTCCATTGCTGGAGCTTCGAAGCCACTCCAAACGCCAAGCAAGCACTCACCTTCCCCCCCCTCACCTCACCTCACCAGCCAGCAAGCACTCACCTCACCTCGCTCTACATACTTCCTGACGTATGTCAGCAACTCCTGGCGTGTCTCTATGGAAAAGGCAGGGTGTTTGAGACTTCCCCAACTCCCTCCCCCCCCCTCCCCCCCTTCCCTCTCTCTCTACATGCTTACTTCCGAACGTATGTCAGCAGCTCCTGTTGTCTCTGCGGGGAAAGCCCCATTGCTCCGTGAATCTGGAGCTCAACGTTCCATTGCTGTAACTTCGACGCCACTCCGAACGCCTGCGTGTTGATAACGTTCAGCTTCGTCCTTTTGTCCCACGAAGGCCACACCGGCTCTGTATCGGGAAACGCCTCGAAAATCGTTTTCGGGCGGTTAAGAACCCAGTCGGGCAGCCACCGGTCGTTTACGGGTAGATTGTGAAGGTACCTGGGGGGTGAGGGGGTAGATATGGAGGGAGGGAGGAGGAGGAAGGTGTGTAAGTTGGTAGGTGGATAAGAGGGTTAATGATGAGGAGAGTGATGATAAGGGAAATGTAATGAGAAGTGGGAAGTGATGAGGGGAGGTGGATGCAGAAATGAAAACTAAGAGAGACACACACAGACACGCACACACACGCACACACGCACGCACGCACGCACGCACACACGCACGCAAACACACACATGCATGACATATGCTCACTCAACAAGCACTCACCCTCTCTGCCTGCGGCACACCCCCAGGTGGGCACTATCCACAAACTCCACAGGGAGCGGCAGACATCGATACATTATGGCCATGCACACTCACATACATGCACATACATACATGCACACTCAGCACTCACCCTCTCTGCCTGCGGCACACCCCCAGGTGGGCGCTATCCACAAACTCCACAGGGAATGGCATGCATCGATGTACTATGGGCATGCACACACACATAAAGCATGCACAATCACCATGCACACACACATAAAGCATGCACAATCACCATGCACACACACATAAAGCATGCACAATCACCATGCACACACACATAAAGCATGCACAATCACCATGCACACACACATAAAGCATGCACAATCACCATGCACACACACATAAAGCATGCACAATCACCATGCACACACACATAAAGCATGCACAATCACCATGCACACACACATAAAGCATGCACAATCACCATGCACACACACATAAAGCATGCACAATCACCATGCACACACACATAAAGCATGCACAATCACCATGCACACACACATAAAGCATGCACAATCACCATGCACACACACATAAAGCATGCACAATCACCATGCACACACACATAAAGCATGCACAATCACCATGCACACACACATAAAGCATACACAATCACCATGCACACACACATAAAGCATGCACAATCACCATGCACACACACATAAAGCATGCACAATCACCATGCACACACACATAAAGCATGCACAATCACCATGCACACACACATAAAGCATGCACAATCACCATGCACACTCACCCTCTCTGCCTGCGGCACACCCCCAGGTGGGCGCTATCCACAAACTCCACCGGGAGCGAGAACAGCATCCCCGACATCTGACCCCACTCTGCACTCTTGATGTTCTCCACGTATATGAACACGCCCTTGGGGTCAGTGACGTCAGCAGCGTTTCGCCTGTACAGCTCGACTCCGGGAATCCCACCGAACCCGCACATGAGCGGGAAATTGCTGGGATTGCAGTAATCGGGGGTTTCAGGTGCGTCGGGTTGAGTGAGGTTGATGACCCGAGTGCTGCGAAAGGAGTGCTCGAAGGAGGGAGCAGGCAGAGCGTTTTGCTTCTGTGGGCGGAAGGGAGGAGGCAAAGGAGGCACAAAGTGTTAGTGGTGGGGTCGCAGTAGTCGGGGGTGTCAGGTGTGTTGGGCTGAGTGAGGTTGATGACCCGAGTGCTGCGAGCAGAGTGCTCGAAGGAGGGAGCAGGCAGAGCGTTTTGCTTCTGAAAGGGAAAGAGATGAGAGAACAAGTGGGGTGGGATACAGAAGGGGAGGAAGGGAGGAAATGGAGGCAGGGGGAAAGGGTGGGGGGAAAGGGAGGGCGGGAGAGGGGCAGAAACTGTAAGAACAGTTAGAATCATATTTGTCACTGTCGGGAGTTCAGACAGTGGCAGGCTGAGAGGGGTTGATCACTCGAGTACCACGAGATGAGTGCACACACAAGGGAGGGAGCATGCGGAGGGTTTTGCAAGGGACCAGGAGCGAGCGGGATACAGAGAAAGGAAGGAAGGAAATGGAGGCAGGGGGAAAGGGTGGGAAGGAATGGAGGGCGGGAGAGGGGTAGGAACTGATAGTTAGCATCAGTTTTTGTCGGGGGTTTCATCAAACAGTGGCACACTGAATGGGGCTGATGACTCGAGTACCACGAGATGAGTGCACCAAGGAGGGAGCAGGCGGAGGGTTTTACTTCTGGAGGAGGGAGGGAAGAGGCACGGGAGTGAGTGGGGAAGGGGGGGCAGAAAGGAAGAAATGAGGGAATGAAGGTGAAAGGAGACTGAGAGTTTGCGGAAGAAGCAGAGAGGGACCAAAGTTTCTGGCGTTGCAGGAAGAGGTGACTTTTGAGTCGACTCAAATGAGGTGACTTTTGAGTCGACTCAAAAGAGCTGACTTTTGAGTCGACTCAGAAGAGGTGACTTTTGAGTCGACTCAAAAGAGGTGACTTTTGAGTCGACTCAGAAGCAGAGAGGGCCCTCTTACTCAGTCGACTAAAAAACAGGGTTGACTCAACTCAAAAAGAAGCTCGAGTCATTAAGTTTCTGGCGTTGCACTGGAAGGGGCGTTTCAGGTGTGTCAGGATGAGTGGTAATGATGACACAAAGGAGAACCACAAAGCTGTATCAGTGCACAAAGGAGGGAGGAAACAGAGGGGTTTCGATTCTGCGGGTGATAGGAACGCAAGGGACTGAATATGGGAGGGCGGGAAGAAAGGGAAGGAAGCGAGGAAAGAAAAGGGACGTGAGAGGTGTCAGGCTGGGTGGGGTTCATCGCTCAAATGCTGTGGGATGAATGCAACAAAAAAGGTGGGAGCAGACGGAGGGTTTTGTTTCTACGGGTGGAATGGGCAGGTGAGTGCCCAACCCAACCCAACCCAACCCGTTTCTGTAAGATAGCTGACCACTTGCCTTGGCAGCATTGCCCCTTCCACCAGTCGCCCTGCGCTTCTGACCCGCTGCTGTCCCAGTCACACCACTCACAGCACCCACACCACCCGCAGCGCCAAACCCGAAACCCAGAACCAGACTCCAGTACAGGTGAACGATAGCTGACCACTTGCCTTGGCAGCATTGCACCTTCCACCACTCGCCCTGCGCTTCTGACCAGCTGCTGTCCCACTCACACCACCAACACCAAATGTAGCACCTGCAGCACCCACAGCACCAACCGCATAGTCCCCCTCACCCTCCTCCTCCTCCCACTCCTCCTCCTGCCCCTCATTCCAACAATTGCCATTACCCGCACCAGCAGCAGCACCACCACCAAAACCACCATTACCACCATTCCACTCCCCTCCTCCCTCCTCCTCCTCTTCCTCCTCGTCCTCCTCCTCATCCCACCAGTTCCCCTCCTCCTCTTTGCACTTCCCCACTCCCTTTCCGTACCCACCATCCCCACCACCCTTCACTCCTCCTCCTCTCCCTCCTCTCACTCCCCCTCCTCCCAATCCTCTCCATCCCCCTACTCCACCCCCACCCACTCCCTCCCACCCCTCCTCCTTCATACCCGCTGCCACGCTGTCACGCTGAGTCAGCATCCTTGCCATCTGTCGCTCTACCCCTCCCTTACCAAACCCCCCTCCCCCCAACGCCCCCATCCCACCACTTCTAACTGCATTGTTCCCCCACCGCTCACCACCGCATCCAACCCCGCTTCCCCACCCCTCACCACTGCCTCTGGCTGTGTTGTTCCCCCACCGCTCATCACCGCATCCAACCCTGCTGGGCCCTGCCCGACCGCTGGGTATAAACGCGCCAGCTCTGGGTGCAGGGGAGTGCGGCGGGGCACGTGAGACAGCAGAGGTGGTGGGTGTGCGAGTGAGTCCCGAACCACCTAAACCTGGAAGGATGAAGGGAAAGGGGGGAAGGGAACAGCGCAAGGGGCAAGGGAAGGGAACAGGGAAAAACAAAAGGCAGGGAAATGGTGAAAAACCGAGCAACTCCCCTCTCAAGTGGTCCTTGTCTTAAATTCGAACTAATACAGATATGCGGCAGACTAATCTCTCCTTCCCTTTTCCCGACCACCAGAGTGCAAACTGCTGCTGCTGCTCTGGGTGCTGGGGAGTGTGGCGGGGCGCGGGAGACAGCAGAGGTGGTGGGTGGACGGGTGAGACCAGAACCACCTAAGCCTGGGAGGGATGAGGGAAAAGGGAAAGGGAAGGGAACAGGGGAGACACAAGCCAAGGAAAAGGGTAAAAAACGACCAACTCTCCTCTCTCCCTCCCTTTTCCCGACCACTAGAGTGCAAACTGCTGCTGCTCTGGGTGCTTAGGAGTGCAGTGGGGTGCGTGAGACAGCAGAGGTGGTGGGGGGATGGGTGAGGCCCGAACCACCTAAGCCTGGATGTGATAAGGAGAAGGGGTAAAGGGAAGCGAACAGGGGAAAGGAAACACAATCTGAGGAAATTCAGAGGTGGTGGGGGGGGGACGGGTGAGACCCGAGGCACCTAAGCCTGGGAAGGATGAAAAGGCACAGGAGAAGGGAAGGGGGAGAAGAAAAAGGAAACGTGGAACAGCACACAGGAAACCAGCAGCAGCAGCAGCAGCAGCAGCAGCAGCAGCAGCAGCAGCAGCAGCAGCAGCCAACAAAGGCAGCGAAAACGAAAACAGCACTCACCAAAGCTGGATGCCCCATCCTCATCTTCATGCAACCAGCCCCCCATGCCCCTCCCTCCTGCCCTCCCTCCTGCCCTCCCTTCTGCCCTCCCCCCTGCCCTCTCTTCTGCCCTCCCTCCTGCCCTCCATTCTGCCCTCCCACCTCCAGCAGCAGCACCAGCAGCACGGCCACTACTTGGACCAGCAGCTGCAGCAGCTCCAGAATAAGCGCCTGCGTCACCCCTGAAACCACCACCGCCGAAACCACCACCGCCAACACCAGCACCCCCGAAACCACCACCGCCAACACGACCCCATCCTTCTCCATATTTCCCTGTCTCATCCTTACCATAACCTCCCCCCTCCCCATCCTCATCCTCCTCCTCCTCATCCTCCTCCTCATCCTCTTCCTCATCCTCATCCTGCTTCTGCTCCTCCCCACCCTCCTCCTCCTCTTTCTCTTGTTCCTCCACCATCCTCTCCTGCACCTCAGCAGCAGCAGCAAAGTCGACAGCTTCAGCCACCCACCTCTCCAGCTCCCACCCCCCATTCCTCGCGTCCTTCCTTGTCCTCTCTACAATCTTCCTCGCTTTCCTCTCTGGCATCCCCATCGTGCCTATCAACCATTCCGCCACGGCCTCTCCAGTGCTCTCATCGAGCTTACTGTTTTGCTCCCTTTGATAACTCTCACCACCAAACCCGCCCCTGTGCTCATTCTCACCACCACCAAATCCGCCCCTTTGCTCGCTCCCACCACCAAACCCGCCCCTGTGCTCATTCTCACCACCAAACCCACCCTTTTTCTCACTCCGACCAGCAAACCCGGAATCAAAGTCGTTCTTCCCCAACTCAGCTGCCCCCTTCCCTCTCTCGTCCCCTTCCTCCCTTCCCACTCCCCATCCCCCTCCCCATACCCCTACCCCTCGCCCTAACCCCCCCCCTCCCTCTTCCCTTACCCCTCCAATCCCGCCCTCTCCTCCCCCTCCGACTTCTCCTCCAACTCCAAATCCTGCTTCTGCACTTGCCCTAACTCCACCACGTCCCACCCCACCACCTCTCACCCCACCGCCTCCCACCGCACCAACTCCCACCGCACCACTTCCCTCCCCACTCTCCACCCTCTCCTTCTTCACCTCAACCACATCACCATCCCCATCACCATCACTGTCACTCTCAGAATCGCCCTCATCCTCCCCATCATCCTTGTACTCACTATCACTATCTTCCTCACAATCTCCATCACTCTTGTCATCGCTATCATCACTATCACTATCAGCTTCCTCCTCCTCATTATCCTTCCCCACTCTCGCCCCAGTTTTCCTTCTCTCCCTCTCCTCCTCCTCCTTCCCCTCTCCTCTCTCGTTCCTCTCAGCTCCCTCTCCCTCCTCTCCCTCCTCTCCTCTCCCTCCTCTCCCTCCTTCATTTCCCTCCTCTTCCTCCTCCATATCCCCCTCCCTCACCTCCCCCTCCTCTCTCTCCTCAGCCTTCGCTCCTGCAATCTCTAGCGTTCCTCCTTCCGCCACCGTCCCCACCCTCCCCAACTCCCCCACACCCCTCTCTCTTCCCCCCATCACCCCATCATCTACTGGCTCTTCCTTCACTCTCATCTTTAAACCACTCACTCTCTCTCCCTCCCTCTGCTTCGCAGGCGTCTCAGGGCCCTTAGCGCCTCCCCGTCTTGCCTCTCCCACTTTCATCCCTTCTTTCTCCTTCAACCCCTCTTTCTCTTTCACTCCCTCTCCAGCTTCCAATCTCACTTGAGCACCGCTCACGCCCACACTCCCCTCGTCCTCCAGCCATTCGTTCACAGCACCAGCATAAGCACCCACAGGAGCAGCACCATTAGCACCAGCAGCAGTAGCAGCAGCAACACCAGCACCAGCACCTGCAAAAGCAGCACCAGCAGCAGCACCACCAACACCCCCACAAGTAACCATTCCTCCTGCCTCCCCCTGCCTTTTCACCTCCTCCCCACCCTTAGTCACCCATATCAGCGGGGTAAAACCATTTTTTCCCTTTGTACCCACCCCACCACCAAATCCAACATCCTTTTTCTTCCCACTCTTACCCTTCTGAGGCCGTGACCCACTCAAGGGAATGAACCCATTACCCCCATCATCATCCCCATCACTCCCATCACTACCACCATCACCACCACCAGCAGCAGCACCACCACCACCCCTTTCCCCTCCATATCCCCGTTCATCACCCCTAGCAGCGACAGCCCCCCCATATCTCCCACTAGCACCCTTCCCCTCGCCTCTTTTCCCATCCCGTTCCTCGTCTCCCCCACGCTCCTCCCCTCCTTCCCCACACTTCACAAATCCATTCCTCCCGTTCCAAACCCCGCTCTTCCTGGAGACAACAAGCCCTCTCTCCCCTCCTCCACCACCCTTCTCCTCCTCCCTCACTAACCTCCCTTTCTCCTTTCCACGCTCTCGCCCTCCCGCCTCCCCTTCCTCTTCCTCCTTGTCCTTCCCATCCACCTCATCCTCCTCTCCTATCACCAGCCTCCCTCCCCTCCGCATCCCTGCCTGTCCCGTTCCCCATCCCTTCACTCTCTCGTCCTTCCCCCTCCCCACTCTCTCTAACACTCTCCTCAACTCACCAACAGCCCCAATCAGCTCATCACACCCCTGCCTCCCACACCACACACACCCCCTACTCCCCACCCTCTCCTCCTCCTCTCCCTCCTCTCCCTCACCCACTCCCTCCTCTCTATCTCCTCCTCTCCATCCCCTCACAGCCCCATCCAGCAACCCACACACCTCCTCTCTCTCACTCACCAGCTCATGTCCCATGGACCACATAAAGCAAAGCCCCCTCACTTTCCTCCCACTCGTCCTCCCCATCACATCCGCAATGTGTGTGATGCTCCTGTTACTGCTGCTCCTGCTGTATCTGCTGTGTGTGCTCTGCGTGCTGTGCCGCTGCCACTGATGCCAACACTGCCCTTCTCTCCTTCCCCCCACTCCTGCTTCCACCACCACCTCTTTCCCTTTTCGCTTGTCTCTTTCCTCTGCCCCTCCCTTCCCACATACTACGCCCAAGCCTGTCTCTCCCTTTCTCCCCCCTCCCTCCCCCCTCCCATCCCTCCCGTGATCATGTGCTCTCTCAGTCACATTACCCCTCTTTTCACAGTAATCCCACATGCTGTCAGCCCAAACATTGACCAAATTCGTCGCTTGCCACCGCACCCCACCCCACTCCACACCTTCACCCCGCTCCCCCCCATCCTCACCTTCCCCCTTCCTCCCGCTCCCACTCCTCCTCCCACACATAAATCCACGCAATGCCGCCCCAATTCCGCCCATCCCACCCGACCCACCTGCCCCTCCCCACCCCCCGCCTCTCCTCCCCCATCCGCCACTCCCCTCCTGCCCCCCTCCCTCCTCCACTCCCTCTGCTCCCCCTCCGTTCACACTCACACCCGGGAGCAGTAAACCATGCAGCACAGCCCACGAAAGGACAGGGGTGGCTAGGATATGAGGAATAAAACGCCCATACTCTAAGTCTGGCGACTGGCAGACATAGAGCGCACGAGGAGAGTGTAGGATCAGAGCTGGCGGCGCATCTGGGTCGCAAATGGGCGATATATGGAAGCCTGTAACGAGTATAGGCTCGTGAACCCTCACTAGGATCACGTTCTCCGGACCCGCACCCCCACTCGAGCTTCTACCCCCGTTATAATCACATCCTGCTGCATCTGCGCCTTGCAGCTGAACCTGGGAGATTATCCCCCATACAGCAAGCCTCCCTTGCTGTATAGCATGCAGGGACAGCTCGCATGATCTGGACGGGTCAACTAGATTGACCACTTTGAATTTGTTCAGAGCACGAATTGGCTTGCCAACAAAAAGAGAGGGGACATGTTTAGGAGGGGACTGGGAGGAGGAGGGGATAGGTCCTAGTGTTGCTGCTGCTGCTGCTGCTGCTGCTGCTGCTGCTGCCCCTGCTGCCCCTGCTGCCCCTGCCGCCCCTGCTGCCCCTGCTGCCCCTGCTGCCCCTGCTGCCTCTGCTGCCCCTGCTGCCCCTGCTGCCTCTGCTGCCCCTGCTGCCCCTCCAAAAGGAAACAAGGCCTCAAGCAACCCCTCCTCTGCCCCCTCTGCGTCACCCCCTGTAAGTGCCAGAGCCATTTCCTCATCTGGTACCCCCACCACCTCTCCCTCTGCCTCTACTGCTGCTGCTGCCGCTCCTGCTGCTGTCGCTCCTGCAGCCATTTTTGTGGGTGTTGCTGCTGCCGATCGCGCCATGCCTGTGAAATCGTGAAAAGGAAGGGCGTGGAGGAGGGAGGGGAGAGGCGGAGAGAGGAAATGCGGAGAGGGGGAAAGGGGGAACACAGTCATAAATTGCCCATCCGATTAAGGTGCCTCGAGAGTTCTGCTGCCACTCCTGCAGGTGCTGCTGCTGCCGATCGTGCCATGCCTGTGAATTTGTGAAAAGGAAGGGTGTGGAGGAGGGGAGAGGAAAGGCGGAGAGGAGGGGAACACATGCATATATTGTCCATCCTGTTAAGGAGCCTCGAGAGTTCTGCTGCCACTCCTTTGCGGGAGGGAAGAAACCGCCCAAACCAGCCAAGGGTGGAGCACACAAAGCATCCAGTGGAAGCTTACTAGCCAGGGACTAGCCAGATGTGTGTGTCGTTAACATCACACACACCTGGGTAGTAAGCTTCCACTGGATGGTCTGTGTGCTCCACCCTTGGCTGGTTTGGGCGGTTTCTTCCCTTCCTGCATCAGCCGCTTGACCACTGCTCCTGCTCCACTGCCCCCGCTGGCGGGAGCAGGACGGGACAGGGCGGGCGGCAGGGAGCAGGACAGGACAGGGGGGGCGGCAGGGAGCAGGAGAGGACAAGGCAGGGCAGGGCAAGGCAAGGCAGCAATGAAGGGGAACAGGGAGAGGGGGGAAACCGGACGCACGAGAATATTTGTCTGTTTGTCTGTCTGGGGTCGCCTAAGAGGCTGTGTTGCGTTGCCCCCCTTGTGTGCCTTCATCACATCAGATGATGCTCCATCAGCACTGCTCGCGATGTAGTTTTGAGACGTCTCAAAACTAGATTACTATCACGCGGATTATATACACATCAGATGATGCTCCATCAGCACTTTTTTTTTTTTTTTTTTTTTTGGAAATGTAACTATATTATCAAACATAGATACATCCACAGTCGTAACTGTATACCTGGAGGGCCTATGCTACACCACAATGGGATGTCGCATATCCCCCCTTGGAGGTCTATGGTGGCTGGTGGCATGTGCGCGGGTTGCGCCAGATGGACAGAAATTGACCCGACCAGCATGCAGGACCATCCACGTTGCAGATTCCCTGCAGTTGTTCCCTCTCATCCTTTGCCACATGTCGCCATCTATCTGTTCTCATACCGCAAGCCACCTCACCCGTGGCCTTGCCTCTCCCTCGTGCTGCCAGCACCACCCTCGCATGTGTCATAAAATCCAGCACCGCACCGCGACCCACTTTCTTCCGCTCGAAAACTTCAGCCCTCCAAACTGCATTGCATCTTGCCAGCCAAATCTGTCGCAGCACCGCCGCCGTCAACGTCATCTCCGGGAAACCTGACGCTGTCCCCCCTTCCCCAAAAAGCAAGTCACCCAGCGAGTCCACCTGTCTGACCGGGTTCAGCATGCGCAAGGAGCGCTTAAGCGCGCCAATCACTGGCTGAATGACCGAGCAACTGTAGAGACAGTGGGCTAGGGTTTCCTCCTCCCCACAGTGCGCGCAGCTGATCCTGTTCTGGAAAAAATCCAACCTCCCCCCCACCTGGAGGTTCTTGCTGTGTATCCGGAGCAACACATCCCTCGCCTTGAGTGGGACGCTGATAGAATCACGTGTATCGATCTCCCTTTTCCAGTCAATCTTCTTGCCCCACGCCACTTCCCACTCCGCCTGCCTCCACGAACGCCCCACCGCTTTGGTGAGCGTCGCCCGTATCTTACGCAGAGGCGCCAGTCCACCCTCATCGAACAGCCCACAGCAGGTCAGCAGCTTCACTTTCGGGTCACCCGCCGGTCCTAGCAGCCTTCCCTCTTGGACGATTAATGGCTGCAGATTACACGCTTCGAAACAGGTCTCCCTGTTCCTTGCCGGGGCGAGAAGCGTTCCACCATCGCCGACCTCCATGTATGAGGCAAGGATTCCCCCCTTGTCTAACCCCTTCACTGCCCACGGAGGCCCTGTAAGCTCGCCCCGAAGGATGAACTTCACCACCCCTGACGCCGCCACCACTGCCTCTGGTGTCACTGGCTCCTCGACCAGCTTCTTCCACTCCGGTGGCGTGGCCACGTACGCTTTGCGTGCCATGACCGCCGCCTCCTTAGATCCCAGCTCCACTGTTAGTATCGCTTCATCCTTCAGCACCCTGCTACCCCTCAAGCCGTCGGTAAGCAAGTCACGTAATCGCGTGCAGAGGAGACTCTCCGTCCCCAACTGATGACCAAAGGGGCTATTTCCTCTGTGCATGATGTGCCGGTTGAAACAGATGAACTGTCCCTCCACCTCCCATCTATTCGCAGGTTCCGGCAGGGACGCAAGGGGCGACTTCCAGAAGACTTTGACCGCCGCCTTCCATCTCTCACTCCCATGCTCCCACCGTTTAATCGCAGACGGATGTGCGTGAAGCGTCGCCCACCCTTGTGGGAAACTCGGCGCCTTCTCCGCCAACCACCGTCGCGCTCCATCCTGTTCACCCAGAAGCTTGCCTATTCTGCGGATAGCCAGCCCGTCGAGGCAGAGCTTCGGGTCCAGTTGGCCCAATCCCCCATCTTTCCGCGGGAGGCAAGCCAGATATGCACTCCAGAGAATGAAAACCTTTTCCTCCACTGCCTCCCCCGCCGAGACGAAGGCATGACAGAGCTTTCTTATCTTCTCCCACAGCTCGTCTGGCGGCGAGTACACCTGCGCCTGAAACATTAGCACCGGAAGGACATAGCAGCTGATAACCGCTACCCTCGCCGTCGTCGTGAGGTACTGCGACTCCCACTTTTTAAGTTCCTCCTTAATCCTCTCATAAGCCCTCTCCCAGGACGGGCCAGCGTCACCACTTGGCGTTATCCACACACCCAAGAGGCGTTCCGGCTCGCCCTTCTCCGACCACTTGTATGGTATGCCTGTCGGTGCCGTGGTGCCTCTGTTACACCCCAACGGTACCACCACGGACTTGTCGCAATTCACCTTCAACCCCGACTGTTTGCCGAAAGTGTCTAACACCCCCACCACCTTCCGCAGCTGTTCCTCCCCTTCCAGCAGGAACGATGTGTCATCCGCATAGCCCACATAGGAGATCGGTGTCTCACCAGGCGGGCCCACCCCCAAACCTCTGCGCAGTGTCTCTCTGCAAAGCGGCTCCAGTGCACACAGGAATAAGTAAGGCGCCAGAGGGCACCCCTGCCTGACCCCTCTGTCCATCTCCACTCTGTCGCTTAACCACCCGTTGACTATCACCCTTGTACCTGCTCCTGCATGCAGGCCCTTGGTCCAGCCGATGAACCTGTCCGGGAACCCAAGCTCCTTCATAACCCTGAACAAGAAAACCCGCGACACCGTGTCATACGCTTTCTGGAAATCGACGAGCAGCAGCAACCAGTCATTGCCGCCCCCGTTCACCGCCTCCACCGCGTCCGCAACCACCGACACTGCGTCAGCCAAGCTTTTCCCAGGTAAGAACCCATGCTGCTCCTTAGACAGCACCTTGCCCAGCACCTTCTTTAACCTTGAAGCCATGATTTTGGTGACGAGCTTGTACATGACCGATAGCAGAGTGATAGGCCGGTAATTACCCAGATTGTCCACCGGTCCTTTTTTATGCAGCAGCACCGTCACAGCCGTTGATAATCCTTCCGACATCCTCGCCGTGTTCGTGAAATCTCTAATGAACTCCATCACGTGTTCCTTGAGCAGATCCCAATGCAGGATGAAGTATTCCGCCGGGAGACTGTCTTGCCCAGGGGACTTCCCCTTCGGCAGGCTCTCCAAACCCTCTTTGACCTCCGCTTCCGTCCAGTCAGCGCCTAACATGTCCGCATCCGCGGGCGACATCCTCGCTCCCTCCGAGAACCGTCCCCAATCCACTTCCTCCTCCGGCACCACCTCCCTGAAGGCAGTCCTGAAATGCTCCGCCGCCGCTCGCAGAACCTCCTTGGTCCCTCGGAAGGTCCTTCCCCCATGCGTGATTTCTTGTATCGACGTTCGTTTTTTCCGCATCTTGATCTTCGCCGACAGGTAGGGTGACGGGACCTCCCCGTTCAGCTCCACCCGGATGCCCGCCAGCACCTGCAGTCTGTCTCTACTGCTCCGCAGGTAGGCCTCCAGGTGCGCCTCTTTACAGATCAGCCTGTTCTGCGCCCTTTTGTCACCCGGGTGTCTCATCACCTTGTGCCGAAGGAACTCAACCACCCGCTCAAGGTGAGTAACCGTTGCTCTCACCCTCTTTCTTTCCTCTCTCGTATACTCCCTAAGGCCGACACTGAGTAACTTCAGCTTCTTCCCCAGGTCGACCCCTTCCTCTTTTCCCAGCTTCCTCAGGATGCTTGCAGTCACTGTACTAACCCCTCTCCGCTGTGCTTGCCTCGCCTGCATCCTCCACAGACCCGGACCCTGCTCTACCGGTGCGTTAACCGCCAGCCCGACCTTAATCCCAAACCAGTGATCAGTCAAGCTCCTTGGTACTTTTATGTGCTTCGCCTCCGCCAGCAACCCCAGCAGCGAGAAGGAGACCAACCCCCTGTCGATGCGCGTGCTCGCCCCAGTCGCCCTGTCACGGAAGGTGTATTCCGGTCTGGTTGGGTGCAGCGCTCGGAAGGCATCCCTGAGATCCGCCGTCCGCCAGAAGCTCAGAAGTCTCTGATTTTCATTGCCCGAGCCCGATCGTGATGTCCGGTCCAGGTCCGGATCCTCTACCAAGTTCAGATCCCCCATCACTACTAGGTGAGTCGACGGCGGCTGTGCATCGACGAACTGCGCCAGACAGCTCCGAAAAAACACCCCCCTGGCACACGCCTGCGCAGGAAGGTACATCGCCACCAGCCTGAAAGAGACCTGTGAGTACTCCACTGTGACCCCTACCAGTCTCCCCGATTGATGGGTGACTACGTCCGTGAGCTTGACCTCTTCATTGAAGGCTAAAACCGCAACCCCACCTGCTCTTTCACTATTTCCCACCACCGCCGCTGATGACGGTTTCAGCTGGGTCCAGAAGTTATGATCTTCTCCTATCCTTGTGTCTGTGAGCACCACGACATCTGCCGCTGTTTTAATCCAATGTGCATGCTCCGTTCTTTTGCCGTTACTTCCGAGGCCGTTGACATTGACCTCGCACAGTGTGAGATTTCGGTTGTTATCCATTAATCCACTGGTAAAAGACCCCCTCGCATCCACGGGGTTGAGATAGAGACACCACTCCTACCAACAACTGCTCTTGCGTAACAGGTACCGCACCACACTCCTTCCGTCCCCACCCTTTACTGCTCCACCGTACTTTATTTCCTTGACCGCCTCTGATACTCCAGCATGAAAACTCCTTGCGGACCGGGATCAAATTCATCTTCCCCCGGCTTCTCCTGCTTGCCGAACCCCCTTGCAGAAGCGCGGTGCAGTGCTGGACCGATTTCACATGCACCAACGCCTGGGAGAAACTGGAGCCGTACACCTTCCCACACGCCTCCTGGACACACAGCCAGTCTTCCCGGCTTCCCCCCGTGGAGATCAGCACCAAGGCAGGGTCGCGCAGAATCTTCTTCACACGAGCGTCGAGCGGAAGGGACGCAGCTGCTCACGCAGGAAGCGATGCGGCTGTCAGCGAATCCGAGCGGGACCCCGACAGCCTGAAAAACAAGGTTAGAGCACCACTTGTTACCATTAATCGCATGCAGTCGCTCCAGCGTCAGATTCCACTTTCCGATATTCTCCTGACGTTCCGTAACATAATCATCATGGAACTTTGTCATGTGCATGCCGTTGCAGAAATCACAGGAAAGCGATGGAAAATGGACAAGAAGCTGCCTGTGGTGCACCGAGTCAGTCAGCAGGTGCCACCAGCGATACTTATCCCCCGGGTGGCCTTTGACCAAGCCCCTGATCTTGTCTGTGTCCGCACCAGTAACCGGATCAACCACCCGGTGGAAAGCCGAACCGCTCAAGAAAGGGGTTCTGCCACGCTTCTCCAGCACCGCCGTCACCAGGTACTCATAAACCATCTCCGGCGTTATGGCGGCAGGCACACTCTTTAGGAGCACTTCGACCGAGTCTGGGTGCTTCGCGCGTTCCATGATGTACACTGGGTGCTGCTAGTCAAGGGTGATGCCTACCCCGTTCAACATCTTGTGCTCAACCCTGCGGCACCACGCGTAGTTCGCGTCCGACGCCTGCTGAAAGGTAACTTGCAGCCGTCCGTAACGCTTCTTTGACAGCCACGCCGGTAAGAGCACTTGACACTTCGTCGTTGTCAACACATGCGCCGACATATACTTTCTCCACAGCGCCAGCAGACCCTTAACCGTGTCAATAGTCCGCTCCACCTCCTCTTCGTACTTGATCGGGATCAGCAGCGTGATTGAAAAGCCAGCACGCGCGGCGATCTCCCCCGCCTTCACGGGGTCAAAACGTTCCTCCGGGTCATCGCTGAGGTACCCGTCATCCTCATCCTCCTCTTCTTCTTCCCCTTCAGCAGGAACCTCTGGAGCTACGGCCGGGGACGACACCTCATCCGTGTTCTTCTTCTCCTCCCCTGCTTCAGTAGACCCCTCCGCAGTGCGATCCTCCAGGGACGAGAAATTCAAATCATTCAACTTCTTCACCAGCGAGATGCGCGTTTCATCCGCGAAAGGGCCTCCCACTTCCTTCAGCATCGGACGAGGCGTCGCTGGCTCCGAATGGTGACTCTTGGACGCGGACTCGCGAACACCATTGTCCGTGGGTTTGCTCACTGGCTGAGCAGCTTTCTTCGGCTGGCGCGGCATGGTGCAATGATGACAACTGCCAAAGTTGAAACCAGAAAATCGTGATGGGAAAGGTCCCGCTGGACTTGACTGGCTAGTTCTGAGCACCGACTTCTTATGAACACGTCGTTTAGGCCTCGCCTTTTTCCTTGGTTGCTTTTTCTTGGGAGTCCTGCTCTTGGTAGAAAGGCGACCCTTGATAATTGGAATCCGAGATGAAACCTTAGCATGAACCTCGGTAATGCACTGCGCTGGACAAGTCAAACTCGAGACGCAAGCCTGGCAATCAAACCTAGATACTGTCAACGGCGGGAAATGGTAGCCTGACAATGAACCATAGAATACCATGCTCTCCATTTGAGCACAAAATTAGTATCCTTGTGTTCCTCTTGTCATGTAGAATCCAAATCCGTTATTAAATCTAGTATCTGGTAAGAAATTGATAGACATTGGTCCAGTTAAAGTAGCCTGACAATATCCATGGCGGAGAAGTTAACCTGACTCTCCACGGTAAACAACGGTGCAATAGGAATATACGGAGGTCAGGTGTGTTTTGCTCCATCAGCACTGCTCGCGATGTAGTTTTGAGACGTCTCAAAACTAGATTACTATCACGCGGATTATATACACATCAGATGATGCTCCATCAGCACTGCTCGCGATGTGCTCCAGTCAAGGGGGGTGGGGTGGAGGCACCTCAGAACATAGCCTCCAAGCCAGGCCTCTATAATGGTTCCACCTTCATACCTTATCCTCGTGCTCGTCGACCGTGTTCACACACTCCCCGCCCTTCACACTCCACACGAGTTGACTTTTGAGTCGACTCAAAAGTCGGCCTCTATTATGGTCCCCCTTCATACCTTATCCTCGTGCTCGTCGCACGTGTTCACATCACACACTCCCCGCACTTCACACTCCACAGCTTCAGCAGCCCGTGCGCTCGCGTTGACACCACCTGGGGGTAAGCGAGAAACAGGAGAGAGGAGAAGCAGTGCCTCGTGCTGCTCGACCGTGCTCACATCACATCACACACACTCCGCCCTTCACACTCCACAGCTTCAGCAGCCCGTGCGCTCGCGTTGACACCACCTGGGGGTAAGCGAGAAAGAGGAGAGAGGAGAAGCAGTGAGCAGGACCGTGCCATGCTGACAGCGGGGGCAGTGGGAGGACAAACGGAAAGGAGTGGAGCATGGGAGGCGGAACACGGGAGGCGGAACACGGGAGGCGGAACACGGGAGGCGGAACACGGGAGGCGGAACACGGGAGGCGGAACACGGGAGGCGGAACACGGGAGGCGGAACACGGGAGGCGGAACACGGGAGGCGGAACACGGGAGGCGGAACACGGGAGGCGGAACACGGGAGGCGGAACACGGGAGGCGGAACACGGGAGGCGGAACACGGGAGGCGGAACACGGGAGGCGGAACACGGGAGGCGGAACACGGGAGGCGGAACACGGGAGGCGGAACACGGGAGGCGGAACACGGGAGGCGGAACACGCGGAGGCGGAACACGGGAGGCGGAACACGGGAGGCGGAACACGGGAGGCGGAACACGGGAGGCGGAACACGGGAGGCGGAACACGGGAGGCGGAACACGGGAGGCGGAACACGGGAGGCGGAACACGGGAGGCGGAACACGGGAGGCGGAACACGGGAGGCGGAACACGGGAGGCGGAACACGGGAGGCGGAACACGGGAGGCGGAACACGGGAGGCGGAACACGGGAGGCGGAACACGGGAGGCGGAACACGGGAGGCGGAACATGGGAGGCGGAACATGGGAGGCGGAACATGGGAGGCGGAACATGGGAGGCGGAACATGGGAGGCGGAACATGGGAGGCGGAACATGGGCATGGATTGCCCATCCCTTGCACGCAAGGGCTGTCCGTCTCGCATGGATTATGGGAGGTGGGATGCGGATTATGTTCCGCCTTGCACGAATTTGCTATCAAACTCGCCCGTGCGTGTTCGTCATACCGTCATCCCGACTACCCTAGCTTCGAGTGCCGTACGTTCGTCTGTCCTCGTTTTGTCATGCCATAAGTCGTTGTCGTTTTTCACTAGGTCGCACTAGGTCGCGTTGGGTCGCATTAGGTCGCTCCAAGTCGCATTAGGTTGTTCCTAACGCGGCGCGGCCTACGACACCCCGGTTTACGATATCTTAAGCGCTTAAAAAATCGCCTTCCTAGACAATCTGTTATCCACGTGACGACAAGCCGGCTTACCTTACATAAGTCGCGTCGTTGCGGCCTGTCGATCCGAGCGGCCTGCAAGACCGTGCGTGCTCCTACGGTTCCGGTTCTGTCGGCAGGTGCGCTATCTATTTCACTACTCAATGCTGTTGTTGCGGCGCGAATATGACGAAACGCAGGAATAAGGTGAAATGGAAACGGAAATGGAGCACTGTAATTACGTTGATAGCGCGCCCGTGGCTGTGAGTGTTTGCTGAGATTGGTGAATGGCTGGAGCTGAAGTGTGAGTGTGCGCGGCACACTCACGTTTGTTCACGAAAGTCGTTGGGATTCGTGTGGCCCTCACGAACGTCATCCTCCAATCCCACGCGTTATTTCACATCGTCCAGTTACCGCGAAACACCTGATTCACACACCACCAGCCTCCCCGACAAGCTGACAGCATATGCCATACAAACAGCATACAAACATCATCCTCCAACGGTCACCACCTTGCTTGCCGCACAGACAACGCAACACAACACAACACAACGGCCTCTTTCAAGTCGAGACTACTCGAGTCGAGAGTCCTGGAATGCATCATCGAGGCTTCCGCGCGATCGAGCTCCCGTTAGACTGAAGGCTATTCGTTGGTCGAGGTCACTCAAGGAGCGCATTCAGTTGAACTGAGACTTATCTTACCTGTCGGACCGCATTCGCATTCTCCGCTCGTAGTAGGTTTCACGTTAGCCTTCGCATGATCTTTTCGCGTGAACCCGCCTCGCGACTCTTCGATTTTCAGCGTCCCTGCCTTCGTTTGGATACCTTGCACCGTACGGGACGCAGATTGTACCGTACGGACGTCACAGAGGCAGTTCCATCTTCCAAGGTCCAAGATCGGCTGTGTTGAAGAGGCAAGCAGCATCACCTTCGTAGCAATCAGCTCCATAATCTCATCTTCAGCGAAACTTCAATTAATATAAGGTTGAGAACTCTCTTTCCGGAAACTGAGTCCGTCAAACTAGTAATAAGACAATTTCCGCGGAATGGCTCGGATTCGTCCGACATTCGTGCTGTTCGGCGACTCGTTGACGCAGCACTCGTTCGGCGAAGGCGGGTGGGGAGCAGCGCTGCAGAACCAGTACGCGCGCAAGGTGAGCCTCTTCCTCCTCCACTGATCGCCTTCTTGAAAGCCCTGAAAAAAACGGTCAGACGGCTCAACAAATCCGTGCTCCAATCGACGGCTCATCGCATCCGTGCTCTGCTCGACGGTGAAGCATGCCTGTGGTAGTCAAGATTCTCGAATAGGAATCAACGACTCATCGAATTTGTGTCGCTTCCAGCGTCAACTGTGACGGAATGGCTGGTTCTCCGTCTGCAACCAGGTCACGACCTGCCACCACCGACGCATCTCCTTCTCGCATCATGACTGCTGGCGCGCCGTCGTTGCACCATCGAACTCCCCGCTCGCCCGAAGGGCCCTCCTCCCTTCCGCTGGAGCAGCAGCAGCAGCCATTTTATCTCCAGCAGCAGAAGCAGCAGCAGCGACAGCAACAGCAGCAGCAATATAATCTGCAGCAACAGCAGCACCAGCAGCACCATCCGCAGCAAGAGCAGCAGCAGCATAAACTGGAGCACCAGTCGCACCAGTCTCATCAGTCTCACACAAAAGAGCGATTCGATAGACCCATGCGCTCCCATCCCGTCCTCCACTCCGCCTCCCCACAATCCCTCTTCCACAGTCCGAGTCAAAAGTACTTCGTACCAGCTTCCAACCCTTCTCTCGCTTCTCTCCGCCGACCCAGCTCCCTGCTCCCCCCCTCCCTCCGCTTCTCCTTCCGCTCGCCCCTCGCGTCCTGCATCCTCGGAGCTCTCCTCTCTCAGCTGCTCTCCCTCCCCTTACTCTTCCTCCTATTACCGCTGCCTCCCCGTCTTCCCTCCCAACAGACCCCATTCCAGCCTTCCCCCCCGATCTCGTTTTCTCATAAATTCGATTTGCAGCGCTGGTTCGGTTTAGGCCAGCAGCAGCAACAGTGGCAGCAGCAGTTGCCGCAGCAACAGCAACAGAAACACTACTACCATCAGCAGCAGCAGCAGCAGCAGCAGCAGCAGCAGCAGGTGTACCCGCCTCATCACCCCCCCGCACATTGACCCGCACCTGATCGCCCTTCCCCTGATTCAACCTCCCTGGATTCATCTGAGGAACGTTACACTTTGTCGGGTGAAGGGAGGGAGCGAGCAGCAGTACAGGAGGAGGGCACTCAGTCCGTGACAGGGCAAAATGCTGCTCTGGCCCGAGGTGCACTGGGGGGGCGAAGGAGGGCCCAGGACAAGGGGCCACTGCCATTGTCACCATCATCATCAGAACCAACCTCTATAGTGTCATCTTCATTAGCAGCAGTAGCCACAGAAGCGGACGCAGCAGCAAAAGCAGCTACTGACACAGAAGCAGCAACCGCAGCAGCAGCAGCAGCAGCAGCAGCAGTGCGTGTGGCAATGTCACCACCACCAGCAGCATCACGTTGGTCCCGGCCTGCCTTTGTTCTGTTCGGTGACTCGCTCACTCAAAGGTCCTTTGGTGCCGGCGGGTGGGGGGCTGCTCTGCAGAACCAGTATGCCCGCAAGGTGGGGTTATGGAAGGGATGTGGTGTGGTGTGGTGCGGTATGGTGTGGTCTGGCATGCCTTTGTGCTGTTTGGTGACTCGCTCACTCAAAGGTCCTTTGGTGCTGGCGGGTGGGGGGCTGCTCTGCAGAACCAGTATGCCCGCAAGGTGGGGTTATGGAAGGGATGTGGTGTGGTGTGGTGCGGTATGGTGTGGTCTGGCATGCCTTTGTGCTGTTTGGTGACTCGCTCACTCAAAGGTCCTTTGGTGCTGGCGGGTGGGGGGCTGCTCTGCAGAACCAGTATGCCCGCAAGGTGGGGTTATGGAAGGGATGTGGTGTGGTGTGGTGCGGTATGGTGTGGTCTGGCATGCCTTTGTGCTGTTTGGTGACTCGCTCACTCAAAGGTCCTTTGGTGCTGGCGGGTGGGGGGCTGCTCTGCAGAACCAGTATGCCCGCAAGGTGGGGTTATGGAAGGGATGTGGTGTGGTGTGGTGCGGTATGGTGTGGTCTGGCATGCCTTTGTGCTGTTTGGTGACTCGCTCACTCAAAGGTCCTTTGGTGCTGGCGGGTGGGGGGCTGCTCTGCAGAACCAGTATGCCCAAAGGTGGGGTTATGGAAGGGATGTGGTGTGGTGTGGTGCGGTATGGTGTGGTCTGGCATGCCTTTGTGCTGTTTGGTGACTCGCTCACTCAAAGGTCCTTTGGTGCTGGCGGGTGGGGGGCTGCTCTGCAGAACCAGTATGCCCGCAAGGTGGGGTTATGGAAGGGATGTGGTGTGGTGTGGTGCGGTATGGTGTGGTCTGGCATGCCTTTGTGCTGTTTGGTGACTCGCTCACTCAAAGGTCCTTTGGTGCTGGCGGGTGGGGGGCTGCTCTGCAGAACCAGTATGCCCGCAAGGTGGGGTTATGGAAGGGATGTGGTGTGGTGTGGTGCGGTATGGTGTGGTCTGGCATGCCTTTGTGCTGTTTGGTGACTCGCTCACTCAAAGGTCCTTTGGTGCTGGCGGGTGGGGGGCTGCTCTGCAGAACCAGTATGCCCGCAAGGTGGGGTTATGGAAGGGATGTGGTGTGGTGTGGTGCGGTATGGTGTGGTCTGGCATGCCTTTGTGCTGTTTGGTGACTCGCTCACTCAAAGGTCCTTTGGTGCTGGCGGGTGGGGGGCTGCTCTGCAGAACCAGTATGCCCGCAAGGTGGGGTTATGGAAGGGATGTGGTGTGGTGTGGTGCGGTATGGTGTGGTCTGGCATGCCTTTGTGCTGTTTGGTGACTCGCTCACTCAAAGGTCCTTTGGTGCTGGCGGGTGGGGGGCTGCTCTGCAGAACCAGTATGCCCGCAAGGTGGGGTTATGGAAGGGATGTGGTGTGGTGTGGTGCGGTATGGTGTGGTCTGGCATGCCTTTGTGCTGTTTGGTGACTCGCTCACTCAAAGGTCCTTTGGTGCTGGCGGGTGGGGGGCTGCTCTGCAGAACCAGTATGCCCAAAGGTGGGGTTATGGAAGGGATGTGGTGTGGTGTGGTGCGGTATGGTGTGGTCTGGCATGCCTTTGTGCTGTTTGGTGACTCGCTCACTCAAAGGTCCTTTGGTGCTGGCGGGTGGGGGGCTGCTCTGCAGAACCAGTATGCCCGCAAGGTGGGGTTATGGAAGGGATGTGGTGTGGTGTGGTGCGGTATGGTGTGGTCTGGCATGCCTTTGTGCTGTTTGGTGACTCGCTCACTCAAAGGTCCTTTGGTGCTGGCGGGTGGGGGGCTGCTCTGCAGAACCAGTATGCCCGCAAGGTGGGGTTATGGAAGGGATGTGGTGTGGTGTGGTGCGGTATGGTGTGGTCTGGCATGCCTTTGTGCTGTTTGGTGACTCGCTCACTCAAAGGTCCGTTGGTGCTGGCGGGTGGGGGGCTGCTCTGCAGAACCAGTATGCCCGCAAGGTGGGGTTATGGAAGGGATGTGGTGTGGTGTGGTGCGGTATGGTGTGGTCTGGCATGCCTTTGTGCTGTTTGGTGACTCGCTCACTCAAAGGTCCTTTGGTGCTGGCGGGTGAGGGGCTGCCCTGGAGAACCAATATGCCCGCAAGGTGAACCCATCTGCAAGGTGAACCCTCTGCAAGATGGGGTGCTGGAATGGAACACGAATACAACGCCCTGTCTTTGCCTTCGCTTCCATTCTCTCTCTCTTGCAGGACGAGGTGTGATGGGGTTACAGCCGTTGACGGGGTGCAACGGGAAGTTGCCACACACTGCGACTCCAAACACATCGTTGCCTTCACATTGCTCGGTGCTGTTGCTGTGCTGTTCAGGTGGACGTGGTGGTACAGGGTTACAGCCATAGAGGGTGCAACACACGCTGGGTACTCTTTTTTCCTGCCCAAGCGCATTACAGAATTCTCAAAAACACCTCTCGTTTCTATGCTCTTGCGTGCAGGTGGATGTGGTGTTACGGGGTTACAGCGGGTACAACACACGCTGGGCGCTCTTCCTCCTGCCCAAGCTCTTCCCCAAGGTAAGAGTTTCCCCAGGTGGGAATTTCCAAGTTGACACTTCCCAAGGTGAGAGTTCCCAAGGTGAGAGTTCCCAAGGTGAGAATTTCCCTCCCCGTGTCCCCATATCCCTGCATCCATCCACATCAGAGTGACAATTGAGTCGACTCAAAAGACATCCCTAAGTCCATACCCCTGCATCCATGCACATCAGGGTGACACCTCGCTTCCGTCTCCCGCCCCGATGATGGTCTCTTTTGGAGCCAATGACGCCCCGCACTTCCACAGAGAACGAGGCAAGCATCACAGCACAGTGCGCAGTGTGATCCAGTGTCTGCTGCAATTTCTCCAACCTGATGTTCATATCCCTGCGTAAATATACATCAGGGTGACACATCGATTCCTCCTCCCGCCCTGGTGACGGTGTTCTTTGGCGCCAACGACGCCGCGCTGCAGGGAGAACGAGCGGCAAGCAGCACAATCTGAACCAGTGTCCGCTGCATTTCCTACCCTATGTCAACGTCTGTGTGTACATTACATGTAATCCAGGGTGACACGTCGATTCCACCTCCTGCCCTGGTGACGGTCTTCTTTGGCGCCAATGACGCAGCACTGCCAGGGAGAACGAGCGGCAAGCAGCACGTACCGATTCCCGAGTTCAAGGAGAATCTGCGAGTCATAGTCACTCACCTGCAGGTATGAGTTGAGGTTTGAGGCATCTGCAGGTGTGGTGCGGCTCTCACAGGGCTCTTACATGGCTGCCAGGGAGAACCAGCGGCAAGCAGCACGTGCCCATTCCCGAGGTCAAGGAGAACATGCGAGTCATGGTCACTCACCTGCAGGTATGATGTTAGGTCATCCTTCATAAGAATAATAATAATCATCATCATGCTTAAAAAAAGTGGATGTTTGCATTATAACTATGCAAAGATTCACCTACCAACATACCTGCATCTGCATGCATGCACCGAACGTTCCTCACCACTACATCAGTTCTGAAACAGCCATCCTTCATCTCACTTCTCCAGCTCTCAATTGATCGTCTTCCCCTCTCACCCCAATCGTCCCACCGCTCCCTCCTTTTTCTTTGTGCTCTCCTCAAAATTCCCGTCTTTCCTCTTTAACCCTTCAATATTACCTTCCCTCCACACAGTCGCTGGGTTCCAATGTGCGTACCCCTGTGGATGATTCTTCAGGCGCTTAAAAAACTGTTCAAAACATTGCGTGTGATGATCACTCCAACCACCTTCTTGATCTCTACCACCAGGCACTTGGTCCCAACGTGCGTGTGGTGCTCATCACTCCGCCCCCTGTGGACGAGGCTGGTCGCCTGGAGTACGCCAAGTGAGTCCTTTCTTGAGGCCCTAGAGGGGTGTCTTCCCTCGTTTTTGGTACGCTCCTCTGCCTTCCCTAGAGGGGCTCATCACTCCCTTGGACACTGCTGTCTTCTCTTGCCGTGTGACAAAGCACCCCCCTGCATGGTGCTCATCACTCCCCCCCCTGTGGATGAGGCTGGTCGCATGGAGTATGCCAAGTGAGTCTCCCACTTAAGGCCCTCGAAGGATTCCTTCCCTCTCTGATGGGTAAGCCTGCTCGTCACTCCCTTGAACACTGCTCTGTTTTGATGCCGTGTGACAAACAACCCCCCCTCCCTGGTCCTCATCACTCCGTCCGCCCCCTGTGGATGAGCCTGGTCGCCTGGAGTACGCCATGTGTGTCCCTGCATGAGGGTGTCGAGGGCTGCCTTCCTTATTTTTGAGTCGACTCATTTTTTAGCCTATTTTTGAGTCGACCCAAAAATACGTCCACCCCCTGTGGATGAGCCTGCTCGCCTGGAACACGCCAAGTGTGTCCCTGCATGAGGGTGCCGAGGGTTGCCTTCCTTGTGTGATGCGTGAGTCCCCTCGTCACTCCCTTCGACTCTGCTCTGTTCTCATGCGATGTGGCAAGGGCCCCCCTGCCTGGTGGCTATCACTCCCCCCACGTGCTCTTGATTATGAACGGCGAGCACTGCATGAAGGAGCCGGAGCACCCAAATTCTTCACGTTTTGCACATGTTTTCAGGAGTGCATGAAGGAGCGATTTTCAATCATTTATCCCACTCCTGCCAGAGCGACGTACAGAGATCAGTGTATGAAGGAGCCGGAGAGAGCTTGCAATTCCTGATCCCACTCTCTTTCTCTCACTTTCTCTTTCCCCCTTGCCTCAGAGCAATGTACGGCGAGCAGTGCATGAAGGAACCGGAGAGGACAAATGAGGTGACGGGCAAGTATGCGGCGGCAGTGAGGGAGGTGGCAGAGGCGTGTGGGGGCGTGCCTCTCATTGACCTCTGGACCGTGCTGCAGCAACAACCCAACTGGCAGGCACTGCTCAGGTCAGCACGGACACATGCACAAATACATGCACACGCACACAGACACACACACAGACACACACACGCACACACACAAATACACACACACACAAACACAAACACACTCACACACACGCACGCACACACGCACACACGCACACACACACACGCACACACGCACACACGCACACACACACGCACACACACGCACACGCACACACGCACACGCACACACGCACACACGCACACACACACATGTGTGCTGGTCATGTGGTGGATCTCCAACGGGGAAGCTGATGGTAGTACTAGTCAATCATGTGAAGTATTTTGAAGGGAATACTAGGTGGTTGCAGGGTTGGGCGTCATGTAAGTTGTAGTATCTTCTCATCCCGCGTTCTTTACAGGCTCTCTCCTGTGGAACCAGTTTGTCATGTCTCTTTTGTTCCACCTTCCCCTTTTTGAACCATATAGTCTTTATTCTTCATGTTTCTCCAGTGACAAACTTCACTTTGCCCCTGTACACCCATAATCCTTTTGTGTCTGTTCCCTCCACTTTCCAGTGATGGGCTCCACTTGGCTCCTGCGGGAAACAAGGTGTTGTTCGAGCAGCTGTCATTGCTTCTCCAATCAAGTGCTGATTGGACGCCGCCTTTGGTGCAAGAAACTATGCCGTGGGACTTCCCTGAGCATATCAATATTGATGGGGAAAATCCTGGTAATGCGTTCAAGGACTTCTAAGTAGAATGTCATGGATGGATTTGTTTTGTGAAATGGAAGGTTTTTGTAAGTGTTTATTGATAAAGCTGGCGACGCATGTGTTCAGTCAGTGAAACCATGATCAAACCAGAAGGCTTTGGTGTGCCTGCTCCAACCTGGTCTCAAAGTTAGCGAACAACGGAATGATTGGAATAGAAACGAATGGGGTACAAATGAGCAACCCTAGAAGCTGTACCCCCTAGAGTGCAACTCACTATAGCCTATCATATCAATGTTCAACATTTGACACACCCCCATAGGCTAAGTGAGGGGCATCAAAGCAAGCAAGGTGAACAAACGGTCACAAGACCAGTCAAACCAAGAACCAAGGCAAGCTCAGGGTGGATCTCAAGGACACCACACAAATTCCGAGCGCAAGCAAGCGGCCACAAGGCCAGTTCAAGAGTTCACTAGGATATAAATATAAAGCACAACAAGCAGAGCAAGCAACAGGACTACACCAACCGAGGGCCTACCTCAACAAGCCCCAACTGCACACAGAACCTGTGGTGGTCACCAAGCGCCAAGGCCTTGGTGAAGACGTCTGCAGTGTTGGCCTCTGAGGCCACAAAGTCCAGGCGTGCCTGACCGCGTCGCTGCAGCTCTCGCAGGAGGAAGTACCTCACGTCAATATGCTTCACTCTGCTCTCCAGTCGAGGCTCTCGACACAGGAGGATCATGGCCTTGTTGTCAGCGTACAAGGTCGGTGCAGAGCGAGGCCGCTCACCAAGGTCAGCGAGCAAGAAGGTCAACCAGCGAAGCTCCTGTGCCGCCATGGCACCAGCGTAGATCTCTGCCTCTGCACTGGAAGTAGCCACAGACGGCGACCGTGTAGACCTCCACGACACAGCACCAGCTCCCAGACTGAAGCAGTAACCCTGAGTCGAACGCTGAGTCTCCACGTCGTCAGCGTAGGAAGAGTCGCAGTGACCAGTCAACGCCACTGGCTGAGTCCCTCCAAGCACAAGCCCCAAGCCTGATGTAGTCGCCAGGTACTTCGCCACCCTCACAGCAGCTGTCCAGTGGACAGGGCGGTGTCTCCCAGTCGCAACAAAGCGAGAAAGGATGCTGAGTGGAAAGGCGAGGTCCGGTCGAGTACAAGTCATCAGGTACATGAGGCAGCCCACCAGCTCTGCGTAGGGTCCACTGGACTCAAAGGGCTCGTCAGGAAAGGGGCCCGTGAGTCTGTGGTCAACAGCAAGAGGAGTGGGCTGTGTGGTGGAGAACTGGAAGTGGAACCGCCGAAGGACCTGCTGCACCATGTGTGACTGCGTCAGTGTGATGGTGCGAGCGGCTCTGTCCCGGGTGATCTGCAGGCCAAGGTAGCGCTGCAGCTCACCCAGGTCAGTGCACTTGTGTCTCTTCTGCAGTTCGGACTTCACCTGAGCCAGGGCTGCCCTGTCTGCTGTAGCAAACACCAAGTCGTCGACGTAGACAAGGATAAAGAAAGGAGAAGAACCCGCTCGAACAAACAGCGACGGGTCGGCGGAGGACGGGCTGAACCCAAGGTCACAAAGCGTGGAGCGAAGAGTGTCGTGCCACTCACGAGGCGACTGGCGGAGACCGTAGACTGGTCGCCTCAGGCTCCACTGGGTCCCAGGTGGGAAGGTGTCAGTGAAGCCAGGAGGACGGCGCAGCCAGATCTCCTCGTGCAGTCGGCCCTGGAGGAACGCAGTGGAGAAGTCGAGGGAGTGCAGCTCGTAGTCTCGCTGCGCTGCTATGTGGAGTAACACCCGAAGAGTAGTCATCTTCGGGGTCGGGGCGAAGGTCTGGAAGAAGTCAACTCCCTCACGCTGACTGAAACCCCTAGCCACGTAGCGCGCCTTGAACACCGGCGGTGCTCCAGGCGGCCGCTTCACCTTGAAGAGCCACATGCCATCGACTACGTTCGCCCTGGGAGGGGGAACTGCGTCGACGTAGGTGCCTGTGGATCTCCAAGACGCCAACTCTGAGTCCATAGCCGCTTTCCACTGAGAGGCCCACGCCCCTGACACTGCCTCGCGGTAAGTGCGAGGAGTCGGTATGTCAAGGGCGTCGGGGTCTCCCTCAGGGGAGAGCAGCATGGCACAGACAGAGGGAGAAGCGGCTGCCCAGTACTCCAGCTCAGACTCTCTGTCCTCTAGGACGTCACAGCCAAGGGCAAACCCACCCCCGACGGACAGAGGACGGTAGGGAGGAGCTGGCACCACACGGGTGGCGTAGTCAAGGCGGCTGGCGGCAGCAAACTCAGCGACAGCGGCAGTGAGAGCCGAGACAGACGACGGAGGGAAACGAGGGTCGGTGACAAGAGTGGTGAGGACACGTGCGGCAACAGGACGAACAGCGCAGTAGTAGTCAGAGATAGGAGTGGGGAGGGCAGGTAGAGAGGACGGAGGAGGAGACGGGAGAACGGACACAGGAGAAGGAGAACGACGACGAGACGAACAAAGGAGGGCAGTGTGGAGGTCAGTAACAGGGGACGAGTGACGAGCACGCGGAGGACAACGAGTGATCAAGTCGCGACGGACAGAGGGAGGAGGAGACTGAGGAGGAGGAGAAGACCAGACCGCCGGACGGTCGTCAGGAGGAGGCAACGGAGGAACAAACACAGGAGGAGACTGGGAGCGGACAGGAGGAGAGGAGGAAAGGCCAAGGGCCCGCAAGCCACTCACAGGCGGGAACAACCGCCGCTCTAGAGGAAGCTGCGGTGGCGGCTGCGGCCGCTGCGGCTGCGGCTGCGGCTGCTGCTGCGGCTGTGGCTGCGGCTGCGGCTGCGGCTGCTGCTGCTGCTGCTGCTTCTGCTGCTGCTGCTGCTGCTGCTGCTGCTGCTGCTGCTGCCGCTGCTGCTCCAGAAGGTCCAGCACCCGCAGCTCCTGCCGCTCCCTCTCCAACCGCTCCTGCTCCTCACGCTCACGCCGACGGGCAGCCTGGAGACGCGTGTCGTGGCGGTGGGGGGGCGGGGTGGACTCCGCAGAACCAGGGTCTCCAGCGTCAGTCTCCTCAGACTCAGCACCCCCAGAACCAGTACCGCCAGTGCTAGGACCTCCAACTCCAGCACCCCCAGAACTAGCACCGCTAGTGCCAGCACCCCCAACTCCAGCACCCCCAGAACCAGCACCTCCAGTGCCGGCACCTCCAGCTCCAGCACCCCCAGAGCTAGCGTCACCTGCGCCAGCACCTCCAGCTCCAGTACCCCGCGACCGAGCACCCCCAGACCGAGCACCGCCAGCGGCTGCACCTCCAGCTCCAACACCAACCGAGTCCACAGTAACCTGTCGCGGAAGTGCCGAAGGCTGCTGAGGGGACTGTGAGGAGGACTGCGGGGAGGGAGACGCTACCTGACGCGCGACCGAGGGGAGAGGGGTAGCGTGGGACACACCAGACGGGGCAGGACCAGGGGGGGGCGGGGGTACCGGAGGAGCGGGAGCAGGTGGAGGAGAGGGTGCGAGGAAGAGAGGGGGAGGGGGGTACCGGGAGACCTCGACAGGAGTACCGGGTGTAGTAGGACACGGACTCGTCAAACCGGACGTCACGGGAATCTAGGAACTGGTGGAGGGGAGGGTGGTAAAAGGACCAGTCAGCAGAGTCCACTGGGAAACCAAGGAAGACACAGGGGACGGCGCGTGCCGAGAGCTTGTCCGCGGAGGTGTCGCGAACAAGTGCAAGGCAGCCCCAGACTCGAAAGGCCGACCCAACACCAGGGGATCCAGTCCAGAGACTGGTCGGTGAAGCCTCGGGCCGCGAGACACGCGGCTGGAGGTTCAGCTGGTGTGCGGCGTAGCGAACCGCGTGAGGCCACAGAAAATGGGGCGCACGGGCATGAATCATGGACGTGCGGGCGATGTCCATGACCAAGCCTATGCGGCGCTCAGCAACCCCATTCTGCTGTGGGGACTCTGGCAGCGTCCAGGACTGGGTGATGCCCTGTTCGCCGCAGAATCCGCCGAGAATGCCGGAGCGAAACTCGCCCCCACGGTCGGAGTGAAGACAACTGACTCGACGACCACGAGTGCCCTCAGTGGCTAGAAGCCACCTGATCAGCGTAGCAGTCACCTCGGACTTCTTCGCAAGAGGAAACACTGTGGTGTACCTGGAGAAGTCGTCGACGACCACCAGAAAGTAGCGCTCCCTCCCAGACCCCTGCGTCGGGGCAGGGCCCCAGACGTCCAAGTGGAGAGTCTCGAAGGGAGCGGTGGCCGGATGAAGGGAGGAGGAGTGGGGAGTGGCACGTAAGCGACCGGCGACGCACGGAGAGCAAGGAGGGGCAAGCGAGGGAGGGAGCGACGGGAAGGTGCGTGGGAGACCTGTGACTAGTCCCTGACTGAGCATGCCACGAAGGCGAGGGATCGACGGGTGGCCAAGACGGTGGTGCCACAGGACGGTGCGGTGGGCGAGAGAGCGACAGGAGCAAGACGCAGCGACTGGACTGGACACAGCGACCGGACTGGACACAGCCACCTGACCGGACTCTGCTACCGGGGGGGACGAAGCAACCTGACCAGACGCAGCTACCTGCGGGGGCGGAGTGTGCAGGACGAAGAGACCTGAGTGGGGCTCTCTGGTGAACGTGGCAAGAACTGCCCCGGTGGAAGAGTCCGTACAGATCGCAGTCCTCCCGTGCGCAGGAAAAGTGACTGTGATCCCCCGGTCCTGAAGGTATCCAACACCCACCAAGTTCCGAGAGAACGAGGGGATGTAGAGACCAGTGAGGAAACCAGAGGGGACAGCCGGGCACGGGAGGGTGGTCGAGCTACGAGCAACTGCTGGTCCTGAAGTAGGATCAGCCAGGGCAACTGGGACTGGAGCCGAAAGAGGTGTGACAGTGGTGTGGTCGCGGAAGAAACACTGAGACGCGCCGGAGTCCAGCGTGAAGGAGAGCGACGCAACAGCAGTCGTCACGGCTGGGCTAGTGACTACACAAGCACCTACACTAAAAGCACAAGTACCGACACTAGCAACAGGCAAAGGTCCTAAGCTAGGTACACGTAAGCCAAGAGATCCGTACGTGACAGAATAAACAGCATCCATAGACATATCAAACACAGGGAAACCACTACGAAACTGACCGGGCCAGATCGGGGGAGCCGACTCAGGCCCAAAACGCTCACGGTAAAGGTCGTCGAGGCGGCTGTAGCAGCGCTGTGCAGAGTGGTCAGGACGCCAGCAGGTAGTGCCAGCACCAGGGCCGGTCAGGATCCGGTACTGGCAGGGGCCGACGTCGCGGCCACCGCGACGAGCCCCCCAGCTGGCTGGGCCGCTGCTGCAGCCAACGCGACCTGAACCACCAGGCCCCCATGGCTGCTGAGGGCGCCACAGCTGCTGAGGGCGCCCCTGCCGCTGCGGAAGCCACTGCTGAAAAGGCCGCTGCTGCTGTCCCTGCTGCTGGAGAACCCTAGCGGACTCCATGATAAAAGCTAGCGGGGTGCAGGAGCGGCAGGCTAGGAGCGACAGGAGCGACAGGCTGCTGTGAAAAACGAGAACAACTAGGAGCGCAAGGTGAAACTAGGCGAGGAACGGCTGGAGCACGGAGCAAACTGAGCTAGAAGCGCCAGGTGAAACTAGGCGAGGAACGGCCGGAGCACGGAGCAAACTGAGCTACGAGCGAGGAGCGAGAACGGCTGGAGCCAGAACGGCTGGAGCTAGAAGCGGCGAGCTAGGGCTGGCTGGAGGTAGGAACGGCCGGGGCTAGAGACCGTAAGTGCGGCTGTCGGCTGCCGCTAGTAGAGCCACTGGCAGGGGAAAGTACGTGCGACAGTAGGGGCTGCAGTACTGACGGCTGCGGGATGTAGGCAACTGTGTAGGTCGTGCGGCAAGCAGGAACGCGGGCGACAGTCGCAGGCCCCCACTGTGAACCCCCCCTTTTTTTTTTTTTTTTTTTTTTTTTAGGGTTTAATTTATTTATTTATTTTCTGGCACTAAAGCACCCCGGGGCGCGCTGCCTGCAGGGTGTGCTGCCTGCGGGGCGCGCTACCCGCGGGGCGCGCCTCCTGCGGGGCGCGCTACCCGCGGGGCGCGCTACCCGCGTGGCGCGCTGCCTGCGGGGCTGGGGTGACGAGCCAGGGAGGGCGCCTGGGCGACGGGCTAGGACGGGCGCCTGGGCGACGGGCTAGGACGGGCGCCTGGGCGACGGGCTAGGGCGCAGGCCTGGGCGACGGGCTAGGACGGGCGCCTGGGCGACGGGCTAGGGCGCAGGCCTGGGCGACGGGCTAGGGCGGGCGCCTGGGCGACGGGCTAGGGCGGGCGCCTGGGCGACGGGCTGGGGCGGGCGCCTGGGCGACGGGCTGGGGTGGGCGCCTGGGCGACGGGCTAGGGCGGGCGCCTGGGCGACGGGCTAGGGCGGGCGCCTGGGCGACGGGCTAGGGCGGGCGCCTGGGCGACGGGCTAGGGCGTGGGCCTGGGCGACGGGCTAGGGGCGCAGGCTAGGGGCGCGGAGGGCGCTAACGCGCGGAGGAGGAGGGCGCTAAGGCGCGGAGATGGCGCGGAGGGCGCGGTGGCTAAGGCGCGGAGGGCGCGGAGGGCGCGGAGGGCGCGGAGGGCGCGGAGGGTGCTAGGGCGCAAGGGCGCGGAGGGCGCGGAGGGCGCGGAGGGCGCGGAGGGCGCGGAGTGTGCTAGGGCGCAAGGGCGCGGAGGGCGCTAGGGCGCGAGCTAGGCTAGGCTAGGCGAGAGGATCGACACCTACTCATGATACCATCTCAAAGTTAGCGAACAACGGAATGATTGGAATAGAAACGAATGGGGTACAAATGAGCAACCCTAGAAGCTGTACCCCCTAGAGTGCAACTCACTATAGCCTATCATATCAATGTTCAACATTTGACACCTGGTTATCTTGTGGTGGATGCAGGTTAGTGGTAAGCGCAGCAAAGTGTGTAAAAATTGATTGGTGGTTGTGTAATAAGGTATGGTTCAGTATTGATCTCCATTCCATTTTGGGTAGCACAGAGCATAAGGCACCCCACAACATCCTGAAGAATCCGAGTTTCCCAACCCAACCCAACCCAATCCAACCCAACTTTTGCCTTTCCTCCAGCCATCATCATCACGCAACAACAGCGACCACTCATCACACGAACCACACTTGACTGGAGAATTCTGGCTTTGATTGCTGGTTGCTGTTTCTCGGCTGCTGTTTCCTACTCATAACTGCTACCGCTGGCTCTGATAAGCCCACTTCTCAGAGAGCGGCCATCCGTGAAAGCCGCTGAGTGAAGGACTACGTTTTCTAGTTTCCGCCGCCATGTCGACACCGAACAAGCGGAGAGAGATGGATGTGATGAAGCTGTGAGTTGGTGGTTGGAGTTTATCGAGAGACAGATTAGGGTTTCCCGGTTCAGCAGCAGGACTTGACTTCTGTTGTTCTCTGATAGTGCAGGATGATGAGTGATTATAAAGTCGAGCTTATAAACGACAGTATGATCGAGTTCAGCGTCTACTTTCACGGACCTAAAGAGAGTAAGCTTTTCGCCGTTTTCTCAGTTCTGCTCGCTCTCCTGCTCGGCAGATTCTTCTCACTTCCTTTTTAAACTCAACGCCGGCAGGTCCGTATGAGGGAGGTGTCTGGAAAGTCCACGTTGAACTCCCTGATGCGTATCCCTACAAGTCTCCGTCGATTGGATTCATCAATCGAATATTCCACCCTAACGTCGACGAATCGTGAGTTGTTGTTCTTCTCGCCGTCGACAAGCTTCCCATTTTCGTCGCGCAGTGTGGGTAGACCAGCGCGCTACTAACGCGTATTTGGTGTATGCGTCGGCGTTTTCCAGGTCTGGCTCGGTCTGCCTAGACGTCATCAATCAAACATGGAGTCCAATGTTCGGTGCGTGATGTGCATAACTCATCTAGGCAATCGGTTCTTTCCCCATCCATCCAAACCTTATTGTTCTCTTCATTCGTCTCGCTAATCGTCTCTATTTGTCTCTCCAGTCGTCTCTCCTATTACCGTTCACGCTACCCATCCTTCCTACCCATCGTTTCGTCACGGCAGACTTGATCAACGTGTTTGAGGTGTTCCTTCCACAGCTCCTGCTGTACCCAAATCCAACCGATCCTCTGAATGGCGAAGCCGCGGCCATGCTCATGCGAGACCCAGAGCAATACAAGCAGAAAGTGAAAGGTAGTGTCTTGACCTCTGTTCCTCCCTATCTTCTTCTCTCTCTCTCTCTCTCTCTCTCTCTCTCTCTCTCTCTCTCTCTCTATCTATCTCTCTCTCTCTCTCTCTCTCTCTCTCTCTCTCTCTCTCTCTCTCCCTCCCTCCCTCTCTCTCTCTCCCCCCCTCCCCCTCGCTCTCTTTCTCTTTACAAATTTGCGCCATGGCATAGAAAGGGGATTGGAACCAACTCGTTCCCTACTAGTGATTCACACCATTCTGTAATCAACGGTTTTTTTGCCATCTTTTCCTCCCTCATACCCTGCAGAATACTGCCTACGATACGGCAAGGCAGAGGATTTAGTCAGAAAGCACAAGGTGGATTCTGACGATGATGACAGTGAAGATCTGAGCGACTATGATGACAATGATGCTTCCAGCGACGAAGAGATGGCTGGGCCGACGGATTTATGAACCGGCCGGCATGGCGCTTCCATACAGTTGCCTCTTTCAGGCAACTAGGGTTATGGCATACGAGTGCCGCCTCTTGGCTGTCCTCCTCCTTGTATATATGTTTCTCTGATATATTCATCTTATAGGAGCCGCTGCTTCACAGACCTTCGATTCCTTTATATCACTTGCTTCCATTGCAGATGCGCTGTCGTATTCGTCACTCCCTGACTTCTCTTTCTAACAGCCTTCAACCCCTTCTCGTCCTTGTGGAGCCTGGCTTTTGAAGCCTTGCCCCTGCACTCCTCCTTCCTCCCTTCTGTTCAACTTGCACAGCCTCCACCCACACTCTGTTCTTCCACAACCTGCAGCACCCACATTCCTCCCTGCTCTCCACTTCCCCTCTCGCCACTTTGTTCATCAATGACGCATTGATTCGGCTTGCCTTCAGTGTCCGAGATCACGAGTCACATGAAATGTGAATTGCCCGTCGATCTTCTATTGAAACGGTTAAGGCAGGTGTGCAGCGCGTCCCGTCCAAACATCATCCGAACCACAGGCTCTTTGAGCATGTGCGTCATCAACTTGGCTTGGCACCAAGGACTCATCTCTCCCTTGTCAACTTTGTCCTACGCATGATCCTTCAGTCCCCATAGCTGTTTGTATCCATCATCTAAATAACACTGTACGATTGCAAACCACTCACATGCAGGATGCTTCGGCACCTCATTCCAAAAAACTCATACGGTACGATCCATGCATCTCAACATCAACAATCTCATCTCGACTCAACCTTGATCCAATCCCGCTGAAGCCGTTGCACCGTTTTTGGCACAAACCCACAGCCCCCTACTCCAAGCCGAGTCACCTTCTTTCCTTCCAGAATCGGCAGCAGCCAAGCATGCTGCATGTTGTTGCAGCTGAGATCCAACTCCCGCAGCGCGGGAACCAGGCTCAGATGCTCCACAAACAGCTTGCTCATTCCTCTGCACTGCTGCAGCCTCAACCGCTCCAACCGCTCTAGCGCTTGCAGGTGCACAGCGGCCCATTGGCTGATTGCCGTTCCTGACAGGTCCAGCGACTTCAGCTGTGTCATGCCTTGAATCACCAACCTCACAGCCTGGCTTGCTGCAAACGTGCAGGAAGCCAGGCTGAGACTGGTGAGCAGGGAGAGGCCACTCAAGCCCACCAGGTCAGAATCGTGAATCGTCGTGCCGGTGATGCGGAGGGTTTTGAGCTGCGTGATGTTGGAGAGGGATCGCAGTGCTGTGGCGCTGGGCTCTGGTGCGTGAATCTCTAGGTGCTGCAGGCCCGGCAGCGCAGCCACCACCTCCCATATGCTCCCGTCGATGCGATTCCTGGGCTCGTCGCTGGGGTCTTCACTTGCGGCTGCAGCCCCGTTCTTGGGAGGCCTTTGGAAGGTTCTGATGATCTTTGGCAGGCGGGATTGGGAGAAGTCTAGGCTCAGCGGGAAACGGCGGAGCAGGAAGGAGGAGGCGGGGAGTTGGTCGTTGGATCCCCAGTCCTTGATGACCATTGTTGGCGCCAGCAGCAACCGCTTTAGGTTCTGCAGTCTCCTGAGGTGATTCCATCCCTGCGAAGTCACCCCCTTGCTGTACGTGCAAGAGAGGACCTCAAGTCTCGCCAACACCCCCAAGTGCTGCAGGATAGAGTCCGTCACTCGGCTCACATGCAGCTCTTTCAAGCTCTGAAACGGCTGGATTCGTCTGACGGGATTAGACGGAGCAGGCAGGTTGCCTTGACGGCTGGCCGATAGATTGATAACACCGGAGGGGTCAGGACTTGCGATGACGAGCCGGCGGAGCGGAGACAGGCACGGGAAGAGCCGCAGCGCGTCTGAACGGATGGAAGTCTCGTGGAAGTGAAGAGCTGTGAGAGAGGGCAGGCGGAGGAGCAGCTTTATGGCGTTTGGTGAGACGGGGTGGAGTTTCTGGAGGTTGAGAGTGGTGACGGACGGTAGCAAGTCTGGGTAGCAGTGGGGAGTGAGGTAGAGGTAGTGAACGAGTTCGAGGTTAGAGAGGGAGAGCTCTTTTGCAGTGGGGTCCGGGTGATCAAAGAGCTGCGAAACCACCCGGTTAATACCTCGGGTAGTATTCTCCAGTGTTACATTGGCAGGACGAATGCGGAGCACATGATCAATCGCACTCTGCAGTCGTGCCCTCACCTCTGCTTTGCTTGCTACCCGGCCGGCCGGCCACTGACGTGGCCTCCCCACCTGTGGTCCTCCTGCTCTCCCCGCCCTGCCTTTCCCTCCTCCCTTGTGTGCATGCCTCTCGTCCACATCCGTAACCGCTCCTCCTGAATCCACTCTCGCTCCCCCAATGCTCCCGGCAGTGCGGGCGGCAGTAAAGTGTTGCTGGGGTGGAAAGTAGGGGAATGGGGGAGAGGCGAATGAGGGCACGAGCGGAAAAACGAGGAGGGGATGGGGGAGGGTTGGGAGAAGGCAAATAGTGGAAACTGGGGATAACGAGGGAATGCGAGGGAAATGCAGTCATGAATGGCTGGGTGCGGATTAGAAAACTGGGACGGTGCGAGAAACAGAGGAAACTGGGAGCTTTTAACTGAAAAGGAGAAAACGGGAGGGGAGGGAAAGGGAGGAAAACGGAGTGAATGGGAGGAAAACGAAGGACTATCAAGCAAGTGGTAGGTGAGGGTCCCTGACACGAGGTGCTTGAAATTCGGTCCTTGTCGCATTTCCTGATGCTTCTCATCCACTCCAGGTAATAACTGTCACCCACTCCCTCTTGCGTGGATTCCTCACAATCGCCCCTCAGTGGTCACTCTCCCCTCGCCCCGCGCACCTGCTCACCTGCACCATGGAAAGATTGTCAACAACTTCCTCTGGCACCGCTACCTCCCTGGCAACCGCTTGCCTCACTGACTGTGAGTCCACATCGGCCAGTCGCCCCTCCCCTGCGCCTTGCCCTGCCCCTTGCCCTGCCCCTTGCCCCCCCCCTTGCCCCGCCCCGTGCCCTGCCCCTTGCCCCACCCCTTGCCCTGCCCCTTGCCCTGCCCCTTGCCCCACCCCTTGCCCTGCCCCTTGCTCTACTCCTCGCTCCGCCCCCTCCTCTGCTGACCCTGTGCGGGACCCTTCCCCTTCCTGGGCTTCGTTTCCGTGCTCCCCCTCTGCATCGTCCCTTGCTCCTTTCTCTTGCTTCAACCCTGTCTCTTCCTCAAGTCTTCGCCTCCATGTCTCGTTCTCGGAACCCCCCAGCCCATCTCCCATCGGCTCATCCATTCTCCTCGTCGTTTCCTTTGCCTCGTTCCTCACCCCCTCTCCCTCCCCCTCGATCTCCATTTCCCGCTGATTCCCCCCCTCCTTCTCTGCCTCCTCTGTCATTCTATCCGCATGAGCCTTCTTTTGAGCCGCCTCAGAAGTAGCCTCTCCCTCTTTCTCCTCTGTCATTCTACCCGCGTGAGTCTTCCGGTTTTCAAGTCCGAACGACAGCATCCTCACTGCCTGCACCATTGAGCGGATAGCCTCCGCGTGACCGTACAAAGCCGCTAGATTCTGCCACGTGGCAGATCCGACGAAGGGATTAGGGACGGCAAGGGGAAAGTCGGATGACATGCAGTGGAGATGGGGACAATGCATGCGAGGGCATTGCTGGCGTGGCATAGGCCGCGCGTCACATCCGTCTTACAGTGTGGGTTTGTAGTATGGGGCATGGCGTTGCACGTGCGATATGCACGATGAGATGTGTGTAGTGCATGGCATGGCATGGCACAGAATGGGATGGCATGGCATGGCATCGCACTCACCTGCATCATTACCGTCGGATGCGAGGGAGAGCCATCCGCCATGCGCGCGAGCTTACGCGTTCACGTCCGTCTTAGAGTGTGGGTGTGTAGTATGGGGTATGGCATCGCACGTGCGACATGGACGTTGAGATGCGTAGGGCACGGCATGGCTCGCATGGCTTGGCATGGCATCGCATGGCTTGGCATGGCATGGCATGATGGCGACGCGTGGCGTGGCCTGATGTGAGCGTGTGTTGTGCCATTCACACTCACCTCCATCATTATCATCGGATGCGCGGGAGAGCCATCCGCCATGCGCGCGCGCTTGCGTGCTCCCTCGGCCTGAGACAGCACCGCTTCCCTCAGCCACCCCTCTCGGAGCACGGTAGCGAGCGACGACATCGCGTCCACCTTCCGCCCAATCCACTCCTCCAGCTCCCGCATCGCCCTCTCACCCTCCCTCACCACTCCCTCCAGCTCCTCTTCCCGCCGCCTTCCCTCCGCTAGAGCCTCCCGCGCTTTCTTTAGTTCGTCCCAGCTTTCCTTCTCGTCCTTTCGCCCCTGCTCGTTCCCCGCGGTTCCAACGCGCAAAGTGGTGTCCATTTGATCTGTCAAGTCCTTCGCAGCGTCGTTACCCTTCGCACGGCGTGTCGTAACTATTCGCGGACCAGTCACCTGGAGGCGACCGCGGGCTTTCGACCGATGGGGCAAAGTCACCACCGTCAAGGAGTGATCGCTTGGCACGGCGAGGAGAGAAGGGTTTCCCAGTTGGGAGGGTTGTCAGGTTGCTAAGCGACAAGCTTGCGTGCAAAAGCGCGTAGAAGAAAAACGACAAGAAATGAATGACGATGTGACGAAACGCCGCTACGGGCGCATGCAACAACTACAGCATCACTTAACCTAATCCGTTCACAAAGTGCGGTGCGGCCTAATGAAGCTGTAGGTTAGTGACTATCGTTTCGCCGTGCCTTTGATACATTTGAATGGCTAAAGAACGGGAGGAATATAGGGCCATTGACGGGCAAATATTATCGAAAAATGATTCTTCTTGAGAAAGACGGCTTTGCGGGTTGGGAGAATTGTTGGGTGGTTGTGTGCCCAGCTTGTGGATAAAGCGAATAGAGTAGTAAGGTAGGCGAGGGAGAACAGAGCACGAAGCGTGATTGCAAGGCGCAACAGCATCACAACCACCCAACAATCCTCACAGTCACCGTCACAAACAGCTCTGAGGAGAGAAGAAAATCAGGACCTCACATAAAATGCGTCCTCAAAGGCAACGCGGCGCCGCGTATTTTGCTTATTGGAAGCAAATTTTGAAATTCAAAACTTATGTTTCAAACCCGCTTCAATGAGCTCTTTTTTGTCTAACAGTAAGGTTTACCGGAAAGTGTTCGAATAGTAAGACACAAATGCACATAGCATATGTTTCGGTTTAAATTGAAGATCAACTTTCAAATGCTTTAGACACAGCTTCATAATTTTACCAAAATTGAACTGATTTGGACGTTGAACAGTTCATGTGCATGTGCGACACCAATGAATTTGCCAAACATGTTCATGTCACCTTAGGCTAAAATTCCAACAATTTTACTATAATCTTTGTTTGTTACAGAAGAAATCCGTACATCCACTCAGTGACGAAATCGCGTCCCCTTTCGTGAGCAAACACCTGTGTCCCACTGTTACGAGTGCAATTGAGTGAACGAGCGAGAATTGCACTATCGAAGCAAGAGTACAATGAGCGAAGGTATGAGCGAAGAATATATAGCGAAACTACGGTGGTAACGGTAATGTGAAAAGTGGGGTGCGCGACGGGCCTAGTGCCGAGGTTGGGAGATGTCGAGGCGGAGGTCCGGAGCACGGGTTACCAACCGAACCGTGAGGTTGGGTCGCGTCGTGAATGGTGGCGGGAATGGTGTCGAAGCGAGTGTCGCGAGTGGTAACGGATTACTGTTGGGTGCTGCTGGCGGGAACAGTGGTGTACGCGCTGAGCAGGGACGCGAAGTAAGGAAAAAGGGATTTTCCTTACACTACCCCCCTCCCCAAGGAGGCCCCTCTTTACGAGAGCGCGTGTACTTCTCGGAAGTTTCGGCTTCGCAGATACTCAGTGAGGACAGGGTGATTCTCAATTCTATCCAGGGGGACCCAGTTGTCTTCGGTGGGCGTGCGGTCCTTCCAGCGGATCAGGAATTCGATTCTGCGGGCTCCCCGTGGGTCACGTACTCGATGGCTCAGTATTTTCTCAGGCGTGATGATTGGCTCAGTCGGTGGTCGTGTCATGCTGGCGGGGCGGTTGCGAGGCAGTTGGCTGGTGGATGGTACGTATGGGCGAAGCAGGCTGACGTGGAATGACGGGCTGAAGTACCAGTCAGCAAGGAGGAGGAGATGGGCGGTGACGGGTGTGATTATGTGGCTGATGCGAAATGGCCCGCAATATCGGGGGCGGAGTTTTGGGGTGATGGGCAGGCGGAGGTTTTGAGTGTCGAGTAAAACTAGGTCGTCTGGCTGGTAAGTGACAGGTCGGCGGTGGCGGTCAGCGTTGCGTTTAGCGATGATGTTTGATTTTTTTATTGCTTCTGCTGCTCGGGTCCGTGCTGCTTGCAGTATTTCTGCGAACTGTTGCGCGCGTGGGACTGTGTTGTCGGGATTCGGGGTCATTGGTACTGTGGGGTCTTGTCCGTAGTTCAGGTAAAACGGTGACTGTTGGGTCGTGGCGGATGGCGAGTTGTTGTACGCGAATTCGATGAGTGGCAGTTGCTGTTCCCACGTGGTCGGGTCGTCGCACGTGGCCCGGATGAGCTGTTCCATGGTCTGATTTGTCCGTTCTGTCTGTCCGTCGGTTTCGGGGTGGTATGATGAACTAAAATGTAGTCGCGTGCCGAACTGCTGCCACAGGTTCCGCCAGAAGTTGCTGGTGAATTTCGTGTCTCTGTCGCTGATGATCGATGCGGGTATCCCGTGTAGTCGAACGACGGTAGAGATGAAGAGGCGGGCCGTTTCTTCGGCTGTGATTGACTTTTTGCAGGCTGCGAAGTGTGCCATTTTTGTCAGTCGATCGACGACGACCAGGATCGCGTCATTCCCACTTGCTCCGGCCGGTAACCCCGTGACGAAGTCGATCGTCACCTGCTGCCAAGCACGCTCTGGGGGTGGTATCGGCTGCAACTGTCCTGCCGTGATGACTTCATGATCTGGCAAGTGGGACACGATGCCACGTGTCGTTGAACGTCGATCAACATTTCGGGCCAGTAATAACACCGCTGCAGCTGCTGCCGTGTTTTCTCTACCCCGAAATGTCCCGAGGTAACTCCGTCGTGTGCCTCCTGTAACAGTAATTCCCGTAGCAGTGTGTACCCTGGTACCCAGATGCGGTCGGTCCCGGATTTTACGTAATAGACTCCCTTGGCTGCTGCGAACTGCTGCGAATTTCCTCCTGTGAAGTATGGGTCTGTTTGATACCCGTGAGTAAATAGTCCTGTCAGTAGCGGGCTGGTCTGGGCGAGTAGTATCGCGTGGATTTGGGCAGTGGGGCGGGTCAGTGCGTCAGCGATGTTGGATGCTCCCTTTTTGTAGGTGACCGTGTAGTGGAAGTTTGACTCGAGGAAATCGAGCCAGCGGATCTGTCGTGGGTTGAGGTGGGGCTGTGCGCGGAGGTACTGTAGGGATCGGTGGTCTGTCCGTACTGTCACGTCTGCGCCAGTCAAGTAACAGCGCCAGACCTTGAACGCATGCACGATCGCGAGCATTTCGCGGTCGTGTATCGGGTATTTTTTCTCGGGCGGATGCAGCTTTCGTGACTCGTAGGCGATAGGCTGTAGGCCGTTGCCGAAATCCTGTAGCAGTACGGCTCCAATGGCGATGTCGCTTGCGTCGGTTACGACTTCGAAGGGGCGGTGTGGGTCAGCGATGCGCAGTACGGGCGGTGAACAGAGAACATGTTTTAGGGCAGAGAAGGCATCATGCTCTTTCTCCCCCCACGTAAAAGTAACCCCCTTCCGCAGTAAATCCGTCAGTGGGGCAGTTAACCGTGCCATATCGGGGACGAACCGACGCACATAATTAACGAACCCTAAAAAGCTCTGCAGCTCCGTGATGTTCGTCGGGGGGTGCCACGCTTTTACCGTGTCCAGCTTCTTTGGGTCGATCTCAACTCCAGCCTCCGAAATAACGTGCCCTAAAAATTCTAACCTATCCTGGAAGAACTCGCACTTGGAACCCTTGGTCAGTAATCTGTGCTCGTCTAGAACCTTAAATACTGCTTCCAGATCTGCTAAGTGCTGCTGCTTATCCCGACTGTAAACTAGGATGTCGTCGAGGTAAACTATCACGCATTTATCTAAGAGCGGCCTAAACGCCTCGTTCATGGTCATCTGAAAAGTCGCCGGTGCGTTGGTCAGCCCGAATGGAATTACAGTGTACTCGAATGACCCATACCTAGTTCTAAATGCTGTTTTTATGCAGTCCGATGGTTCGACCCGAATCTGGTGGTAACCTCCCCGTAAATCTATTTTTGAAAAAACCCGTGCTGTTCGCAGCTGGTCGATCAGTTCGTCAGCGCGGGGAATGGGGTATCACGACTTGATTGTTACCCGGTTCAGTGCTCTGTAATCGATGCACATGCGAAACCCTCCGTCTTTTTTCGGTGTGAACAGTATCGGTGCGGCGAATGGTGACGAGCTCGGTCGGATGATTTTTTTCTCTAACAGGTAGTCTAACTGCTTCCTCAGCTCATCGAGCTCGGGCTGTGTCAGTCGGAACTGTCGCTGTACGGTTGGCTGTGCCCCGGGTTCTAACTCTATGCGGTGGTCGTGTGCTCGCTGAGGTGGCAGTCCCTCCGGTAAGTCATCGGGAAAAATCTCCGGGTACCGTTTCAACAGCTCCTGCAGGTCGGGCGGTACCGCTGTCAGCAATTTCTGAAAATCGCTCGGCTGCTCTGCTTCTTCTACCAATGCTATATCCACTGCGTACACGTCAGCTCCAGCGGCGACAGCCCGTTTCATCGTGATGGCGTTGACGTGGACCGTTGAAGACTCGGGCGACTGCCAGCGAGGTAGCACGACCCAGTTACCGCTACTTTGCACAGTGCAGCTACCCATCGTCCAGTCGATTCGCGGGTTACACCGTCGCAGCCAATCACGTCCTAGTAAAATGTCGTGCCCATCCAATGTCGTCGCGAACATTTCCTGTGTAAACCCAAAGTTCCCCCCGCAGCGGACCTTTACTCTCTCCACCTTCTCCCGTATGGCCAGCGGCGTTCCATCTACTAAGCGTGCATCTATTTCCGGTAAACACCGACTAAGTGTCAGTTGCAGCTTCCGTGCGGTTGCGGTATTAACTAAGCTGTGGCTTGCTCCTCCGTCTATAAAGACCTTCACTGCTGTTCCCTGTACTTTCCCGTGAATCAGTACTGGGCAATCCGTCGCTGTACCCTCCTTATTCATCCGAGCCCGATCGATAGCGTGAATCGGTACTGTGACTCGGTGAGGGTCGGTGTGGTTGGGCGAGCAGGCAGTCTCGTCAGTAGTTGGCCCGATTCCTACTGACTGCTGGCGTTTCCCTGCCTTAGAGACTCCCTCCCCTGCTCTGCTTCGCGGCGCCTCAGCTCCTCTGGGCATTCACTCTTACGATGGCCCGGCCTATTGCAAGCGAAGCAGCGCCCCTTAAACGGCGCGGCAGCTGCGTTCGTCGCAACAGCGTGTACAGTGGCGTGCTCGATTGGTCCCCGGGGGCGATGTCCGTAGTAGGACCCCGGTCTCGGGCGGCGTAAAATGTCGATTTTCTCGGCGAGCGCGAGAATCTCGTTGAAATTCGAGAGTCCGCGTAGCATGATTTCGTGCGAGATGTCCGGCTTCAGCCCTCCGACGTAACGGTCCACTCGCTCCGCTTCGTGCATATAGCCGACTTGCTCGCATAATGCGAGAAAACCGCTCGTGTAATCTTGGACCGATCCGAGCTGCCGCCAAGTACGCAGTTTCTGACGCGCCGAAATAGAAGCCGCGATCGGCTCGAAACGCGCCCGAAGCCCTGCGCACCACGCATCCCACGTGCTGTATTGGGCGGTTTCGCAGAATGAACTCCAGGTGAGAGCTGGGCCCGTGGGCCCTTCCTCTTGCGACGGTGACTCGTAGGCGCGTGGCGACGTCACGATGACTCGCCACCAGTCCATGGCGGGGCCCCTCAGCAGCGAGACGGCGTATCTGATCTTCGCTGCGTCCGACTCGACGTAGTTCGCGTCGAAGAAGACGTTCATCGTGAAGACCCACGATTGAACCGTCGGACCTCCACGTTGGCTTGGATCGAAACAGGGCGGGCGCTGCGGCTTGAGTGGCATTGGTGCCATGATGTCGTGGTTGCCACTTGTTGCTGCAAACTCCACGTGCCGACGAGCTTCGCGAGGCCCACGCGGGCTTGGCGCGGCCCGATTTCTCTCCATGCCAGGCATCGATTGAGCGGCGCCATCACTGGCTGCGCCTGAGCGCTGTCCCACGCTGTCGTTTTGCGTCGGTGTGCCGGATGAGATGACGATTGGTTCTTCTGATTGCGCAGGTGCATTTGCGGGTGCTTGTGATGGAGCTGGTGCATTCACCGTTGATTGCTGGCGGGCGGAGTCACGTTCCGCCGTGAGTGTCGCGATTTCGAGTGCCGAATCTTCGAGTTGACGCACGAGACGGTCGAGCTGCTCCTGCGTCAATGTCGCAAGATTAATGTCGGCCATGGCGGGGGTGTCGAGCAAACTCAGCGGGAGCTTCTGTCGTGGCCGTGCGTGCTTACGAGAGAGCACTTCGAGCGGCGGTGCTTGTTCGCTGAGAGACGTCTACCCCCCCCCAAAAAATTGAGATAGTGGGGAAGCGAAGGTGTGGGTGCGGTCCGAGAAGAGATCGTAGGCTCTGATACGAGTGCAATTGAGTGAACGAGCGAGAATTGCACTATCGAAGCAAGAGTACAATGAGCGAAGGTATGAGCGAAGAATATATAGCGAAACTACGGTGGTAACGGTAATGTGAAAAGTGGGGTGCGCGACGGGCCTAGTGCCGAGGTTGGGAGATGTCGAGGCGGAGGTCCGGAGCGCGGGTTACCAACCGAACCGTGAGGTTGGGTCGCGTCGTGAATGGTGGCGGGAATGGTGTCGAAGCGAGTGTCGCGAGTGGTAACGGATTACTGTTGGGTGCTGCTGGCGGGAACAGTGGTGTACGCGCTGAGCAGGGACGCGAAGTAAGGAAAAAGGGATTTTCCTTACACCCACACCCCACCTATTCGCGATTAGCAGTTCGCGAAGAAGCCCCAGCCCGTCCCTCACTCGAAACCGATCCACTCATTTTACTTCCGAGTGGTTGCTCCCACAAGGCTGCAGAGAAAGTCAGTTATTTTCCTCATGCCGTGCTTTTCTGCTCGCTGATAGGAAAATAGGGCACAGCCAGTGCCCACTGCCCAGCATGGTCATGCCACGCTCGGCAGCAAGTGGCGTCGAGGGACCCGCGAAAACACGGCGAATGGAGGAATCCGATCGGAGAGCCTTTTGCCGGCAGCTGCCATGCGAAACCTTTTTACCTTGTCGTTTCATCCGTCGGACTGCCGAGCGAGAGAGAGCGCAAGCCGCATCGCGTCGCGTTCCAACGCGGAATTTCACGATGAGCGTTACGCAGCCACGGCGGCGATGGCTGCGACTCGCAACCGCGTGTCTGGCCGTTACTATCCGCGGACCAATCCGTTATTACTACCAGTCTGATTGGCGCCGCCGCGCGGCGGGCCTTGCACGGGTCGGCATTGCAGGTACTTCTGTACTCAGCATGCCAGGCCGCGGCATCTTTTTGTATCAGAACAACACGTTGGAGCGCCTCGCTGCTGTAGTAATCGACGCGCTGAACGATTGGTATTCATTTACCTTGAAGCCAATCCCCGTGTCATGCTCTGTGGGCATCTCCTTGTAGTGAGCGACGCGCTGAAACCCAATCGCCAATTACTCAGTTACTGACTCGAAGTTCGCGGCCCTACGACGACATTCGCCATCATGGCGGCGACATTCGCGACTCACTCCCCTGCTCTTCGCCTCGCGCTCCTCCTGCTTCTCGTCTCCGGCGGCGCGCTTCGACCGGCCGAATCGGAGTCGATCGGAGAATCAAATCCAGCCGGCCCGAAGAAGCGCGTGTCCCTCACGCGCCCCGCGCACGCACAGCTGATGCAGCGCCGACACCAGCAGCACCACCACCAGTCCTCCGCCTCAGTCCTTCGCGGCGGCTTCGGCGGCGGCTTCAACGGCGGCGTCGCGACCGTTTCAGCAGCCGTCGGCTTTCCCGTAGTCCGCTCCTCCGCCACTCACGTCACCTCCCACGCCACCACCGCCGCCGCCGCCGCCGCCGCTGCCGTCGCCGCTGGTGCCGTCACGCCGGCCGGCAGCCCGCCAATCAAGTACCACGGCGGGCCGGTGGTGGTGGGCAATCCGGCGGTTAACGTTTACCACATCTACTACGGCAGTTGGGGGGCGGGGTCGGGCAAGGAGGTGATAGACGCGTTCGTGCAGGCGCTGAGTAGCGACTCGGGCAGCCAGGGCAGCGCGCTGACTTTTGAGTCGACTCAAAAGGGGCCGGGGTCGGGCAGGGAGGTGATAGACGCGTTTGTGCAGGCGCTGAGTAGTGACTCGGGCAGCCAGGGCAGCGCGGGGGACGCGAGTGTGAAGGGGTGGTGGGCGACAACTGCTGCTTATTACCAGTCTGGCTCTGGGGGGAAGAAGAACGTGAGCTCCAAGGTGAGAGATGGAGGAGTTTCAGGAGCAAGACACTCCTCTCCACTGCTGCACTGCACCCTCGTTCATTCCTTTGTTCTCAAAACTGCACTGCACTGCGTTTGAAATTCCCCAAAAGTGCTGCGCTTTATGGGGTTTGGCCATTCACCTGCGCTGCGCCATTCGTTCATTCCCTCATGCACGATCCTCATGCCGCCTGCCATCGCTGTTCTTCTTGGCCTTGATTGCAGGTTCGTCTGGCAGGCACAGTAAGCGACAACTATTCGCGCGGAAAGCAGCTGACAGACAATGACGTGCTCGCTAGTACGTGCTGCTCCCTCCCAACCACCCATTCCGTTTTGACTCGACTCAAAACAGCTGACAGACAATGATGTGCCTGCCAGTACTTGCTGCTCCCTCCTGGCCAATCATTCCTTTTTGAGTTGACCCAGTACGTGTTGCTCCTGACCACTCGTTCCCCGTGTGCTACTGCACCCTGCATGGGTGTATCCATTCCTTATCACATCCCCTCCTGCTCCCCTTCGCCGATCACTCGTCCTGTGCCGCTCATGCAGTCGTGAAGAGCAAGGCCGGTGCGGGCAAGCCATGGGCGCTGGACCCCCACGGGATCTATGTGCTGCTCACCAGTTCAGACGTCACTCTCAAAGGCTACTGCACAGAGTACTGTGGATGGCACACCGAAGACTCGATCAACTCCTCGCCTCTGCGCTACGCCTTTGTGGGGCACCACGGGCAGTGCCCCGACGCGTGCGGGGTAGAGAGCACGTCACCCAACGGGAAGCCGGCTATTGACGCTACTATCTCCACGCTCGCGCATGAGCTCACCGAAGCTGCCACCGACCCGGACGTGAGTGCGGGGTGGTTTGACGACAACGACGAGAACGCGGACAAGTGCTCGTGGAATTATGGCAACACTAAGACTGGTTCCCAGCAGAACGGGCAGAGCTACAAGTACAACGTGGTGGGGCTGAATGGGATGAAGTTCCTGGTGCAGCTTAACTGGGACCGCGTGAAAGGCAAGTGCGTCCTGCAGAACGCCCTGCCTAGTGAGGGTGGTGGCGGGGGAGGCAGTGTGAAGATGAGGTGCGATTGCAACTGTGCTAGTGCCAGCAACCCCATGAGCTGCCAATGCTCCTGCACCAAGACAGGGTGACGTGTGGAGGAGAGGATCACCTGTGTCATGTGAGATTACTCAATCGGCTCCTTCCTTTCCCCCCACATCTTTGTGATTCTCCTTGTGTAGTACCGTATGTTCCTTCACACAGATGGCTGTTGTGGTGTTCTTGGTTGTGTTACTGGTACAAGTATAAACAACAGTGTGTGGAACAGTTGATACTGCAGCTTGTAAAGCTTGGTTCAAGCAGCCTGAAGCTATCTGGGGCTCATGTCAAATGTCAGGTCAGAGCTGGCCTACCATGCATGGTTCTGTGATCTTGAATCTTGATCATATATCACTGTGGTACATGTGAAGTGGAAACTGCGATTGGTACATTGCACTACTTCCAATACAAACAGCCTCAGATCCACGTTTTTGTCATCTACTATTCTTCTGAAGCTGCCTTAGCAGACTGAACTCGTACAACAGGGTTACCACCAGATTCTGACTTGATGCTCTTCAGAGGAACAGACTCGATGTCAGCTGGAATCGTCTTCGTTGGCGTTTGGGTAACGGATTGCTGGTACAACACTCCACCAAATATACACACTAGCAGGGCCACTAATCCTGGCGCTTGGGCATGCTTGTCCCATATCAGTATGTTAATGAGGACAGTGAGAAGCTTGTTTGTGACTCCAACAACAGTGTAAGCAGTTGCTGAGACTGCCTTCCGTGCAGCAAAGCCGAAGAAGCTTATGGTCAGGCCGAAAACGCAGGAGAGTGCAACAGGGAAGAGAGTACCCATGCTGAATATCCGGGACAGACCATAGGCAGCAATTTGACTTGGCTCATTCATGCCGATCAGTGCAGGAGGGAAGAATATCTGCACAACGTATCGCAAAAGAGTATTAGCAAGCATGCAGAGAGTGTCAATGAAAAATGTGGCGTCTTGAGTCTCACCAGAGCTAGCAGATTGTTGTAAAGCACCAGACCCCATGTATTGAGCCCTATGCTCATAACGACTGACTTAATGTAAACCATCTGCACATTAAGCTCGATAAATAACAAGGCAAACGCGATTCCGAAGCATAATGCAAGAAGAACAAAGACACACTCACCTCGAAGGTAATGACGATCAAATATGCCCAAGCCCACGCGTACGCTGTGACGGTGAAACCCGTGTCAAAGACGACGTAACCAAGTGCGCCACCGAATATCGTCAACAAGGACAAAAATGTGAAACCAGATGGCCATGATCTTCCCATGAACACTGAGTCTGCTATTGCAACAAGCAGCGGTGTAGAGGATCGGAACACAATGAACGTTTCGACGTTTGCATGTTTGAGGAGCTGAGTATTTGTCCATATCGCAACGTAGAACGTCGCTGCTGCTGGCAAAAACTTCACAACCTTCTCCAGGCTCAGAGAATCGTGCTCCAACACTTTGAATCTTCCCAGCACGAGTGTAACAACGGTGCACACTAGGTACTGAAGTGCGGTGAGAATTGCTGGGAAGGGAAAAACAGTCACCGCATACTGCAAACGGAAAATTGGTCAGGATATTTCTCAAATGCGATAGCCGACAGCCAGTGAATGCGTCGTAAGACGTACCTTATTAACAATGGCCAGCAAACTGGAACTCAGCGCATAACCAATAACAACCCAAGCTACTCGAAGCTTCTCTAACGACGACTGATGCCCAGAAACCGGAGATGTTGCTACCTCCTTGGATCGTGCTTCGGCCATCATCTCCTCCACCGTAAAGCCAGTCTGGTTTCTAGACAGGCTGAGAATGCTTTGGTATTCCTTGCTTGCTTACTCGGAATGATATCGCCAGGCTTGCCCTCTCCGAATGATATCCGTGTGCAGACCCATCAAGTCTTCCCCAGGATTCAAATCTCGAGGGCCATTCCGCAGTCAAATCCCAAGACCACACTCCCAAGAGCGGAACTGCAGAGCCCTCATATTGGATACACCATTAATTAAAACGTTTGCTCGGCTTAAATACAGTTGTAACACTTTTACCAGCAAGCTTACAATCGCAATTCACAGAGCGGCCACACTGCCCACGTGGGTAGTCTTATGCAACACAGTTATGAATGCTTATCAGCTTACGATTGCTAAGGAAGTAATGTGAACACGAAGTGCCAAAAAGGCATCATCTGCTAGGCGCACCAACATGTCAACCCATGCCAACAGGTAAGCCGATTTTCGTCTGCCTAAGTGACAGGTTGATTACATTCTGTACATAATGCTCATGACTTGATTCGTACTGTGAAGGAACCTGCACAATTACAGATACACAGAGAGCATGTTCAGATGTAATGAACTCAAATTTCGGACAGAGATAACGAGTCTAAAGAACATCCCAAGAAAAGCATGGATTTCCACCCAGCCGAAACAACCCATGCCTTGATTTCAAAAACGGCAATGCCATTCACTTACAACCAGGAAGCGTAGTGACCTCCGCCGAGACTGTGCATGGTACTCCAAGGTTGGTAAGCGCCCCCTTAATGAGTCCACAAGGCAGATACAGAAACTGCCCTGCAACAGCAGATGCCTTCATGCTGCCCGCCACTGCTCCTCCAGCTCCAGCCATGCGCTCCGTCGGCGATCGAAGGTTGGGACTAGGGTTTGGAAGAGGCGTCAGCGCATCATACGATGGAGCATCTGCTGATATTCTGGTGAGCCATCTGAACTTGTTGTCTTGCAGCACGAACACTCCCTGGACGGGGAACGAAAGGTTGCAAAGAAAGGAGGGATAGGCTAATTAGGACCCGGCACATGTAAAGAAAACTGGCAATGAGAAGCAAGCCCAAGTGGAAGAAATTGATGGGACTAAAGCCTACTCCATGGCTGACATGGGGGCATTCATCATCGTCCTCAGCACCTCAACACGAAAGCAAAAATCACTGCTGAACATGCAGTGCATTGCACATGTAATATGTGCATGCGGACTCTGCCTGTGCCTTATGCCCTGTACGAATTGCGCGCTGTGGGTTGACTGTGCATAGGGCTGACCGAGTCTTAAAACCTGAACTCGCCGTGTCCGGCGCTCTAGATCGGCCATGCTTTCTGCACAGGATCAGCAGTGCCTTTTACCTGCAGTGCTGGTGTATGTAAATTTGCACCGTTCCCGTACTGACTGTGCTTTGTGCTCTCCATTACTCTCCACCTACTGTGCCTTGCACCTCACTATCGACTATCCTGTGTGTCCCTGTATCGACTAGAGCTTGCACCCTCTGCTGAATATGCCTTGCTCTTGCTGATCATGCGCCTTGTTCTCACTCTGTGGTTGGTCTTGAGGTTGTCCACTTGCTTCTTGAACACCTCGGCCCAAAAGTCCTTGCAAATGAACTTTATCACATCCAGGTGGTCCGTGAATCGGGCTCTGTCCTTGGTGAACCTGGAATAGGGGTGGGTTGGAACGGGATTTGAGGGACTCGGAAGGACGTGAGGAAATCTGAGAGGTTACATCAACTGGGGGAATAAAACATGTGATTACACAAACCACCTCCGAACGCTTCTTATAGAGCTGGTGAATCTTCTTGACTCGTTGGGTTGATGCCCAGTAACTGGCCCTCATGTCTTACGCTGACAAATGGCCACCCGCGCTTGCAGCCCCCATGGTTGTCTAGTGGCCTGCAGCCGCGAAAAGGTTTCACACTCGCTTTAGCCGCTAAACTTCGTTCACAGCATCATTGAGGCCACTTACCTCTCTACTAGTTGTTGACCCACTTGAAAGCCAATCGCCTCGATCCGACGACCGGCGAGCTCTGGTCGCAAGTTGGACTGCCGCGCATAAGTCGCAACGAGCTCAATGTTGAGAAAATCTAGGCAGCTCTCCGCGATCTCCCGCGAGCGCGGAACAAGTGCCATAGATCACCAAGCAAAAGAAGGTGGATACCTTTGGAGTGGGCGTTCGCTAATGCCGTTGAACTGGGCCTGGGTTGGTGCGCATGCGAACTAACTTCTGAAAATTGATGAAGCTAAGCTGTTGTAGGCTGCGGAAAAGTGTTGTGCGTGACATAGTCCGAAAGCCTTGTCAAATTCGAGTGCAAACCTAGATTGTTACGAGCTGAGGACGTGTTCCAAGTAGAATATTCCCGGGATCAGTTCGGAACTCTGAACCTTCACACCATTTCATCCGACACTGGTTAAGATCGATTTGCAGGCTGTGCAAATACCAAGTCTGGCACACAAACGAGCTTGATTTCACACGCGCGACACCAGGGGTTTCTCGCGAAGTGCCCTGGGAAAAAAAGGGTGGTCAATGCCATCACGACAGATTTTCGTTACACACCTGGCAACCATCCCGACGAAGAGAGCCATCTCGCAACTCACAGCACGGTAGTTTGGCGCCAGTTTTCCTGACGAAACATAGGTGTTCGCTAAACACACTGTCTGAGAACTGTAGGCGGATGTCACTGAGGTTACCAGCGCGATCGTTTTGTGATATTGTAGAGCACGAACGTACAATTTGTAGCACGTCCTACTCTTCACGCATCACCCAGAAACAAAACACCGAGGTTCACTTTCTTCACTTCTACTTTCGTTCAATCCCTCCCCCTGCTTTTGTTTCTGCTGATCAGTTGGGTCCAACAATGGCTGATCAGCTTGTTGTAGTCGGCCTAGCTCCAGTATCGTTTGATAGCTTGAAGAGGCTGCAAGTGAAGCTGAAGGGAGAGGAGGTTGACGATGAGGAGCAAACACAGAAAGGTCCCCAAACACAAGCATTGAAAGAACGACTTCTGGATCTCCTAGGACCTGGCGTTGCCATAGAGATCGTTGAAGATTCAGTGCTGGATGTGATATGCACTGTACGTAACGGAATTTGCACGTTCGTCTCTCCCTGGCAACCCTCCTGACCCGGAATAATACATTTCGCAGGATTCGATGAAGAAGGCCGTCAAGAAAACTTTGAAGAAAGAGAAGAAATCAATGAATGTGAGTGATCTCATGGCGGTTGTTGCTCCGCGAGTTCCATGTCGTCGAACTGACCTTATCCCGATCACAGATATCAGTGAACAAGAAGGTTGATGACGTAGTGGACCACGAGGTGCTTCGGAGCTGCTTGGAAAAACTCTGCGAGGGCTCCCTAATTGGCAAAGGCTGGTCAGCTTGCAAGAATGGCTTGTATTTGCGGTCGAATCTCAGGTGTGGCGACGATAATACACCCGCGCACTCCGTCAGACTGGTGAGCTGCGTTCATTCAGAGTTGTGTCACGCTGGTTGAATAAAGCTGATAAGATCGCGCTGTAGAGCATGCACTTGGAGACTCCAAACAAGATTGTCTTGGTCCTACGGCCAGACGTCATCAAATTCCGTCACATGAAGGTCTGTGAACTGCGTGCAAGTTGCCAACTACTCATCGAATTGCTTGCTCATTCATGGAGACACCTTTATTGTTGCAGATTATTGAAGTATTGCCAACGGCCTTCAGAGAGAAGTTTTCCCAAGGAAAACCTGTCGATTTAGAGGAGTGGATGGACACCCAACTAGAAGAAACGTCTTCCCAGTTTCGCTGCTATTGTATCCCAAACCTTGAACATGGTCAAATTATTGGTAAGATGAGCATTTCCATGTAAATCACCCCAGGAGCATTAGCTCACAATGTTTCTCGTCGCAGGTTGCTCTAAGGACGATTCGAGTTCTGGTCCCAACACTGAATCCAGGACCTACTGGCGAAAGGTGCACCATAATGACGCATCCTTCTGTATTAACACCACTCTCACCCGAAAATACTGGTTGGCAGAGAGGAATCGAGATTGGAGACGACTTTTTTACTGTGACGATCAAACTAGATCATGGTGAAAGGCTGAGGTACGTTACAATACAACACAGCATTTCATTCAAACATAAAGTTTCGTCCCTGACTTGTTTTGTACAGGCTGCCTTCCACATGTGTCCTCACTGAGGCTGGATTTATGCCAGTCCCAGGAACAATACGATCAAGGGAGATGCAATCCATGTTTGCGAGCATTGGATCTGATTTTTCCTTCAGTTTTTTTGGGGCTGGGAATGTGCAATTTAAGGTACGGCAACCTTGCAGAGTCACATGCTCCACAGCTTTTATTGCCAGCACTTACATGGTTATAAATTCCAGAACACAGAAGCGGGCTCGTTGCCAGTCATGGTCCAAACCACCGCATGGACAACAGCTAAAGGGATTGTTGGATTATCCTCGGCTGATGCGTTGTCAGCCCGAAGCCTCGCGTTTTCTCGGCCTTTACGTAATAACTTGACTGTTTTGACGCTCATGACGTTTTGTATTCGAAGTTTAAGTATTTCTTTTACAGTTTCGGGCTTTCGACGGCCAAAGCCCGCCCTCCCTATTATCCGCGAGCCACCAAAACCTGTCCACAGTGACGTTCAAACTGATAAGAATGACGACGAGCCAGCTGAGGAGAGACCAGAGTTGGCAAAGAAACCAGAACCCGTGCCAGCTGTTGTCAAGCTATCCATACCCACGTTTACAGCATGGAAGCAGCGAGTCAGTTCAGGTACGTTTCTTCTTCTCTGAAAAACATATAGATTTAGATCTGTACCCCTTTTAACTCTTTCACTCCTCCCCTTCCTCTCCGCCTCTCAACCACCCACTTTGTGGTTTCTTAAGGCTAGACCATTTGATCCTTTCTTTTCTTTGTTTAGAAAACTGTTCGTCTTCTTCAGGGGTATCATCAAAACTAACGAAGTCTTCCACTCTCAACACTAAGGATGCTTCGTTGAAGCAGTCATCTGCCGCTGGTACACTTTCATTGTCTTGTCCGGTTTATACCACAAAATGTGCCCAGCATAATTACTGTGAAATGCCTTTTTGACAGCCTCCACAAAGGAGAATAAGGAGCCAGCGGTGTCTGCAGCAAAAAACAAGAAGGTGTGGAAAAAAGCGGATGTGGGTGCGAGTTGGTAGGAGCCTGAGGGCAGTGAGGAGAAATGAGAGTGGTTGGGGGACAGAGAGCAACGGAGGCATTTTTTGCCGCTTCATAATATCATGAACCTAGTGTCGTGTACTTGTATGCTTTCACTTGTGGCAGTTGGATGTAGATAAGCCACCACCTAAGAAAGCCAAGACATCACATACCCCTGGAAAGGTAAGGGTTTGCAAGCAAGTGCTAGAATCCATATGTCCCTAAATTGTGTGTGCTATGCAGGCTTTGGATGCTTCCAATCAATCAAAGACTCCTGGCAAGAAGACACCAGAGGCAAAGCCTGAAGATGATGACATCTCCACCTTAGTAAGCATTGCAGAATCATTTCAACATGGTGCATGGGGTACCACGGAATATTCATGGTTTTTCTTTCAGGTGAAGGAGAAGTTTAAAGAAGGGAAGCTGAAGGATATTACTCTTCCAAGGTTGAAAGCATTCATCACCTTGCACAAGCTAGGAAAAGTCAGTGGAAAGAAAGATGAGCTCCTCCTGTGTGTTGAGAGGTTTTTAACTGCAGTTTAGTAGGCATGGCCATAACACCTTGCAAGTTCACGAGGCAAGGCAATGCCGGACCAAATTCTATCTTCAAGAGAGACGCACATGATCAGTTGTCTTGGGTACTCACCAGTTACATTTGCCACCTATTTTGGCTGATACGGTAAACGTTTACTCGTTTCAGCTTGCAATCAACTGATAATTTGAATGAAAGGATTTCTCCCTTCCAAGCTTGACAGCCTGGGAAGCTCGGGGTGCAAAAACAATCAGGTCCTTCTGTGCAGTTGAGATGAGGTTAAAATTGTTCCTCCTGGGAAAAAAGGCAACATCCAAGACCGCCCTGACAGAATCAAGTAATTCACAGAATTGAACACTCCGTTTGCAGCCTATCCATCTATACCCAATAACCTCAGCTGCTGAACTAGGTGTGCCAAAGCTGAAGCAGTGCGTTGGTCATCACGCCAAGGCCTGCAACAAACCACTTCGCGAAAACCAACCACCACGAATCCTTGGGTCCTGGCTTCATTCCCTTGGCGAGAAGATGGCCAAGAGCGATAAAGATGAAGACACCAGCAGCCATGCCATTTCCGAAACCCTTGATCCACTCCCTTGCCACCTTGTTGCTGGAGGAGTCAAGAGCCAAGCCAATAGCAATGCCAGTAGGAGCAACAATGGAGGCCCCTAAGGCATACAAAAAGTGGTTAAGTCCACTGCGGCGTGTGTCCTGTACACGAAGAGTGACACCAAGGGCCATGCCCTCGAAAAACTGCAAACACACGGAGGATTCGAGTTAAATTCTTACTCGCATAAAGCATATGACATTCGAGTGAAAGTGTTGTGATTGAATCACGCAAATAGCTGGGTTGGAACTACCAACTTTCAAATCCCAAATTACCTCATTCACACCGATTTGTGCAGTCATGGCCCAGACTTTGGAGACAGTAGACGCAAGTCCGACAGCAATGCCCTCAAAGAAAGCATGGAAGCAGAGGCCGAAGAGGACGAGGATAACGTCGACAATGGTGAGAGCCTGAATGTCAACCTTGACGACAGCGTTTTCCGCATCAGCATCAACCACCTTCTGCTCCCCAACTCCCATTGCGCCAGCAATGGTCGGTCCCAGTTCGTCCTCCTGACAGCAAAAACAACTCAAGTGTTCATGAAATGATCCAAGAATGTAAAACCCCCAAGCGTGCAGCCACTGAATTTTGCAAAGATAAATGTAGTAAACGTTATGCTTACCTTCAAGAGAGCCTGTGCGCTTTATCCACACAGACTTGACCATAAGGTCGCACAACCATGTGAGGTAAATACCCATCACAATGACAAGCATGCCGTACGGATAGTCTGCAACAGGAGAATAACTAGTGCTTTTCAGTTCAGAGCCTCGTGTGATTGATAATCTCAGCAGAAAAGACAGTCACGTCCACAACGGATGGCTGTGCACTTACCGTCTCCTGCCAGTTCCTCGAACTCCTCGAACGTCTCCACAGCGAGGTATAGGAGAGACATGCCGATGAAGAGGCCAGTAGAGAAGAGAATACCGAACTTGAGAAACAGCGGGTGCACGGGGATGAAGTACGGAACCCACACGCCCATGAAACTGCACGCGAAGAAGACGAAGATGGCACCCGCCTTGTTGGCATTGAGAGTCTTGGTGTCATCAGGTTGCTGCCAATCAGAAAATAAAATTTCGGAAAGAGAGACAGAGACAGAGACAGAGATAAGAGCTTGAGCGTGTTCCGTCAGTAACATTGCGTGAACAGCACTATCGAATTGAAGATATAAGCATCACTTACGACATCTGTCTCTTCTGATTCTGTGGCAAATGCGACGGAAGCTAAGGCTGCGACGCAGACGAGAGCGAGCAGCTGTTTCTTCCAGGAAGCCATGGTGCTCGTGAGAGAGACGAAGGGGACTCGTCTTCGAGAGGAATCAAGCGAACCAAGGGAACCTAGAGAGTGGAGCAGAGAATGAAGACGAGGTGACAATGGTTTCGTCCTAACGATAGACAGCTAGGACAAGCAGATGTAGAATCTGCAGATAGATGAGTGACCACTCAAACGGCGACGCCTTTATATGCATTTGTCCGACCACAGAGGAGGCTACAGAGGTCCCCGTAGAATCGCTCAGGGGGTAAGATCCTCGCTCTACCTCGCTCTCTGTGTCTCCCTCCCTCGCTGGAAACCAGGCAAACTTTTGGCGGCAGGGGTAGGCTGTAGGGACGGCTGCATTCGGCGTGGATTACTAGTTCCGAACGCAAGCCTGTAATCCCGATTCGGTGACATGGCTTCATTGCTGGCGAGAAATCGCGACTGTCTCTCCTAGAGCTCGTAAAAATTGGTGAGGAAGGTTGAAACATCTTATCGCTTGGTAACTCAAGAAACCAACGAGTCACGCCGGAAGAGCGTGGAGAAGGCATGGATCTGGTGTGGGTCACTTCATTCATTCACTTGATTCATAGACGATTCGAAAATTGGCCTTGGGGGAAGGTACTATTGAACTGACAGCCACGCAAAAAAGCGGCTTCATCATTCAGCATACAGTGGCAGTAGTGGCGAGGCGAATCGTGCGAATCGTGTTTCCATGACACCACACGACACGACACGGCGTAGTGCCGTACGGCTTTGCACCGAGACGGGCTGCACTTGGGTAAGGTATTTCTGTAGTGTCATCTCTCCCGCTCTTTACACAGCTGGCGCATGTGTAGGAGCCAAGCTACCAGTGAACGGGAAGAATAGTTGACACCGCACGAGGCGGAGTCACGACATAAAAACGAGGAAACCACGGGGGAAACATGCTTTCTGGGTGACAAGGCGAACTTCCGAATACATCTTGTGAGACACAGCGCTGCATTTTGCTCTGGATTGAACAGCAACCACACTGTACCACGCCAATTTAGCAAAAACATATATCTACCGTTACAAACCTGTTTGAAAGGTAAAAGAACCCGTAGCTTTTCGAACCAATCGTTTTTTGCCAGTATTTCTGGAGCTCGTCACAGTATATCACGCGGTACAGAACAACGCTGAAGTCTGAGGTACGATGCAGATGGGTAGAATGTGCCAACTCTACTTGTGGATGTTGCTGGTGGATAAACTTGTGGTTGCCAAACCGACAGCCCCATGGCGGGAAACGAAATGGTTCGACCAAGGAATCCTCCAGAGAACTTGGACAGCACAGCGAATGTATATGCACCACTTAGGCTATACGCTCTATACAGACAATTGCAAACACGAAACAGTGACCCGATTACTTACACTAAAAAAGCTGGTCAGTAAAACACCTGAACATTAAAGCTACTCACGTATACAGCATGGTACATTGCTACTGCATCCTAAGAGGAAACAACGATACCAATCACATTCTCCCATTTGTTTGTGTTTACTCAGAACGATCACCATCCAGTTTCTCAAGCCATGGCAGGATATGGGATGCAGCTATCTCTGGCCTGTCATCATGCGGGCAATGACCAACATCAGGAAGCGGTACCACCGCCACTTTGTCATTTCCCCTTTGCTCCTCCAAGCGCTTGAACAGCTTAGCCACCTGATCAAGCACAGGACAAAGAAACGGCTCTTCATCATGATTACGAGTCAGCACATCAGCACCCAATGCATCACCTCAGGGATCCTTGTCCCCACAACACCAGTATGGGAAAATCAGAAGCGCACCGACATGCACCAACATGCACCAACATGCACCAACATGCACCAACATGCACCGCACAGCACCCACACCCTACCCTGCGCAACACACCTTGCCATCGATGGGCGTCCAGGGGTCCTTGTTGCCCCACAGCACCAGCATGGCACATTAAAAACGTACCAACACGCACCGCACAGCACCGTACAACACCCTTGCAACACACCTTGCCATCAATAGGCGTCCAGGGGTCCTTGTCCCCCCACAGCACGAGCATGGGCACATCCTACGCTCACCCACATGCACCGCACAGCACCACACAACACCGTTGCAACACACCTTGCCATCAATAGGCGTCCAGGGGTCCTTGTCCCCCCACAGCACGAGCATGGGCACATCCACCATCTCCACTAACTCCTCTGGGTGCCGGCCTGTGGGCAAAACAGGAGGGGAGAGAGCAGGTAGTACGGTGAAGCAGCAGCAGCACAGCACCAGCACGAGCATGGGCACATCCACCATCTCCACCAGCTCCTCTGGATGCTTGACCTGTGAGCAAAACAGGAGGAGAGAGAATACGGTAGCATGGTGAAGCAGCAGCAGAGCAGCATCAGCAGCACAGCACCAGCATGGGCACATCCCCCATCTCCACCAGCTCCTCGGGATGCCGGCCTGAGGAGGGGGGGGTGATGACAGCAAGCAAGTGGCGGGACAGAGGCAAAACAAGAAGGAAGAGAGAGAGGGTAGCACTTTGAAGCAGGGGTTAATATGCTGACCTGGCGCCTGACTTGCAGCCAATTAATATGCTGACCTGGACCCTCCAAATGCTGACCTGGATCGCCTGTGAAGACCTTGACAAAGACGTCTAGAGCCCCGTCGTGTGTGGATGGCTCATAGAGAATGTCAACCTGTAGGCCAAGAGACGAGGAAAAAAAAGCAGGATGGTGTATGAAAAGATAAATTAGACGCAAATTAGAGGGAACAAAAAAACTCGCGAGGGGAAAAAATTAAGGTTATGAAAAAAAAAAAAATGTGAAAAAAAAAGAGACATGTGGAAAGAAAAAGTGAGGTGACAGGTGGGTCAGCAAAATAAGAAGGCTCGAACCTACCAGCCGATCGCAGACTTGTGAGCCGTCTCGGTACACCTGTTGACTGAGTATCTTGCGCACATTGGCCTTGTTGCGAAACCTGCAATAATGTGGATATGTTTAGAAGAAACGTTAAAGAAGAGCTACAGACAACAAAAAATAGACGACATGAACGGACTGGCACCGTTACCGCTCATTACCACTCACTACCGGTCACTACCACTCACCGTTCAAATAAGAATGGAGCAATCTTAGGCTTCTGCAGCAGGTACTCAATGGCCACAAACAAACATGGGCGACAGTGCTGTCAGCACTGCATGGCATTGTTGTAGTCAGGGCTGGCATCACACCACTCATTACCACTCGCTACCACTAACCTCTCAAACAGGAATGAAGCTATCTTGGGTTTCTGCAGCAGGTATTCAATGGCCACAAACATAGGCGACAGTGCTGTCAACAATGCACCGTCCCTGTCAGGGCAGGCGTCCTTACCACTCGTAACCACTCGATACCACTCCCAACCACTCACCTTTCAAACAGGAACGAAGCTATCTTAGGTTTCTGCAGCAGGTATTCGATGGCCACAAACATAGGCGACAGTGCTGTCAGCACTGCATCGTCCCGCATCAGCCCCTTCCTGTTCATTGCTCCCGCCACGTTCAGCAGCACCAGACCCCTGAAATGAGTGGGAGATAAACAACAATAACAGGCCTATTGAACTTTTATGAGAATGGTCAACCAGAGGAACTTTGTTTACACATCCATACACAAACTATAAAGCACGATGTTCATATATATGTGTAAATATGTACACTTGAGTACATATATGTAACTATATGTGTGTACGAATGACTTTAATAACTGCAATAGAAAACAAGGAAGTACAGTAGAACAAGAGCAACTAATTCTAAACTCTATCAAAGACTTCAAAGATTCACCAAGAATTGTCAATGGTTTGAGAGTTTATGGGAAGATCCCTTTTGGTGATTACAGTAGCACGAAACGTGGCAGAAAGATTAGGCAGGGGTGTATCTAAGAGACTTCTTGACGAACTTGGCCGGAATGGCCTAGGAATTTGGTCATAGTCTATTAGAAAAAAATTGCCGATTGTACATGTGTTCATCACACGAGCGCAATTTCGGGTTGCTGTAGACATGGTTAAAAATTCAGATGATAAATCGTGGAGGCACAATTTACCATCCGGTTTTCTATCATTGTCTGCATCAGTCTGAAATTGCATCGTCTGATAAACATATATGCAATCGGCAACATATATCCTAACAAAATATGTCCTAACTTCGAGCCCATTCCGGCCAAGTTTGTAAAAAAAAAATATAATTACACCCTGTCAACTCAAACTCTCAAACCTTCCAGACTTCGTTTTTTAACTCTTAAACTCTCAAACCTTCGAGTTCTTTTCATGCCTCAGAACAAGAATAACCAGTCAGAAACCTCACCTGATCTTCCCCTTCTCTGCTCGCCGCATGATGCTTCCCTCCCCCTCGCCATCGCTCTGTCCCTCCCCATCCGAGAGGGAGAGAGGCGCAGCAGCAGAGGCGGCAGCAGTGAGGGAGGTGAGAGAGCCGATGGAGTTGCCTATGAGCACCGCAGGCTCGTCCGTGAACTCGAGCATAAAATCTGTATGTGAAGAATGGGGATTGGGGGGCAAGAGGGGCAGGAACGGGGGGAAAGGTGATCGAAGGGAGGTGATAGAATTGCCAATGGGCACTGCAGGCTCGTTTGTGAACTCAAGCATGAAATCTGTATGGGAAGGAGGGAAGAGGGAAACATGGGGAGAGGGGGAAGGGGGAGGGGATGAGTGTGGGGTGCAGCAGAGGAGGCGAGCAGTGAGGGAGGTGAGGGAGTTGCCAATGAGCACAGCAGGCTCGTCCGTTGACTCAAGCATGAAATCTGTAGGTAGGAGGGAGGGAGGGATAGGGTGATGGGGAGGAAATGGGGGGTGGACATGGGGGGTGGACATGGGAGTCAGCACCTACCGTTGATGATGTCAGCCCGTACAATCAATCATGTCAGCACTTACTGATGACATCAGCACCTACGTTTGATGATGTCAGCCCCTACAACCAATCATGTCAGCACTCACCATCAAACCTCAGCACCTACCGTTAATGATGTCAGCCCAGAGCTCGGGTCCGTATTCGATGCCGCCCGGCTTGTCAGAGTCCCCAAACCCTAGCAGGTCAACGGCGTACACCTTATGGTGGTCTGCGAGATGTGCTATAAGGTTGCGGAAGTGCCCTGCACTGCCTCCTGTGATAATGGGAGAAAGCAGGACGAGGGGAGCCAGAGGGGAGGGAAGAGAGGAGAGGGGACAGTGCGGATAGGGAGGGCGAAGAGAGGAAGAGGGTGAAGGACAAGTCGATGAAGGGGGTGAGGAACATGTCAGCAAGGGCGCTATATGATCCCGAGCAGGTCGACGGTGTACACCTTATGGTGGACTGCGAGATGGGCTATAAGGTTGCGAAAGTGCCCTGCACGACCTCCTGTAGTGTTGGGAGGAGGAGCAAGAGGGAGAGGGGAAGAAGGGGGTTGGGAAAAACGGGTGGGAAGGACAAGCAACTGAAAGTGCTGGCTGATTGAAAGCAGGATCTAAGAGTCGTCGTTGCAGTGTGATAAAAAATGGCGCCGCCTTCTCATGCACCACTTAAAATAGGCGATGCAGTGTGGGCGAATTTGGATGAGTACGGCCCATGGCCGTGCAAGGTGATCTCTATCAAGGAGCCCCAGATCACCTTGCACGGCCTTAGGCCGTACTCATCCAGATTTGCCCACATTGCATCGCTTATCTTAAGCGGTGCATGAGGAGGCGGCGCCATTTTTTGCCCCGCACTGCCTCCAGTGGTGTTGCGAGAGGAGAGGGAGGGGAGGTGGGATTAGAAAGGGGGACAAGGGGGTGGGAGAGAAATGGGATCAGCAGCATACACCCTATTGGTAGTCTGCAAGATGCGCTTTAAGGTTGCGAAAATGCCCCGCGTTTCCTCCTGTGGTGTTGGGAAAAACACGTGAAGGTAAAAATCGTAGAGTATATGTGCAAAGTACTTATGTAGTGTAACGATGCACGCATTCCTGCATGTTGAGATACGAGTACATCTAGAGTCACCTCGAAAGGGGGGGGGGTCCGAGAGCATACCAAAGCCATGCACAAGGATGACGGGTTTGCCACACCCTGCCACGGCATAGTGAATGCGATGACCCCTGCGGAAGGGTGGAGAACGGTGGGGAAGGGTGGGGAGTGTGGCAATGTTAAGAGCGTAATGTGTGGATGGGGCAGAGAGATGCACATGCAGCAGACTTGAAATGACGGGTTTGCCACACCCTGCCACGGCATAGAGAATGCGGTGACCCCTGATGGAGAGGCGATGGGTTGGAACGAGAGAAATTGACACGAGAATGGGTGGGAGTGAGAGAAAGAAGACGATTTTTGATTCAACTCAAAAATCGACTTATCAAACGAGAGAGATTGACAGGAGAATGGGTGGGAATGAGAGAGATAAGATACAGGCAGACTACACATGAGAGTGGATACCCATCCACTGCGAGTGCAAGCAACAAGCTCTGATCTTTTTGAAAGCAGTTGAAAAGCAGCCCTTGATTTACGCACCTCCACATCCACGAGTGTGATCTGAAAGGAAGAGCCAGCAACCTCTCCTCCTCCCCATGCACTGCAGAGACAAGGTCCCTCACTGCCACCCCCCTCCACCATCACCCTTCACTTCTCCACTCATCTTCTCTTTCAGACTATACCGTGGACTCAAAACAAGGACCCAATCCCACTCACCTCCACATCCACGAGTGTGACCGAAACGGGAGTGCCAGCAGCTTCTCCTCCACCCCATGCACAGCAGTGACAAGATCCCTCACTGCCACCTTCCTCTCCGCCTCCACCACCACCCTTACTTTCTCCTCTCTTTTTCTCTTTCAGACTATAACGTGGACTCAAAACAAAGACCTAAGACCACTCACCTCCACATCCACGAGTGTGATCTAAACGGGAGTGCCAATAGCCGATTTTCCACCCCATGCACTGCAGCCACAAGGTCCCTCACTGCCACTCCCCTCTCCGCCTCCACCACCACCCCCACCCGCCCGCCCCTCAGCCCGCCCGCGCGCAGGGTGGGCGGCAGGGTTTGGACGGACGTGACCCCTGACAGCTGTAGCAGCTGATCTTCCAACCTGAAAGGCGGGCAGGAATTGGAAGGGTGCGGCGGGAGGGGGGGGGGGGGGTGGTGGTGGAGATGAGTGGGAGGAGAGTGAGACACAGGCACAAACGAACCATGCAACTGTTCATGCGTTTTAAGTCGAAACATGCAATCGAAATAACTTGCACAATACAGACATTGTCAGGAATTAGATTAACCATGTTTGAGGCCAGTGATACCACTGCATACTTGTGTGTCATATGAGATTGCTCTATAATGAAGCGTGAGTGTGGAGTGGAGTGCACCAGAAGGATGATGCAAAGCCAAGCCAGGCCATGCCACGTCATGCCACACCATGCCATGCCATCCCATGCCATGTCATCCCATCACATGCCATGCCATGCCATGCCATGCCATGCCAGATCATGCCATGCCATGCCATGCCATGTGATGGAGTCACGGACTCACCAGGGGAGGTCCGACTCATCCGTCACTCCGTGCACACTGCAAGACGGGATGGAAGCAGGGAAAGAGGAAGTGAAGAGAAGAAGTGATGAGAGCGGCTGAGGAAAAGGGATCAAGGTAAAGATGGGAAACAGAGAAACATCAATTTCTGCCTGTTGTATGACAAGCTCTCCAACCTCAACAGCAAGTCACACTCAAACGCGTACAATCCAGAAAACAACCTGTCACCCTTCACAGATACACTGGATTCTTGACTTTTTCATACAAGATTTTGAGGCATCCAAAAAGAAAGGACTAACGACAGAGCTACTATGACTCACGTCAGATTGACGAGTTTCGTCTTCTGAGCCACGGCCGTAGTTTTTCTTGTCGTCTCCACCACTCCGCCAGTCGTTCCCGCTTCAACCTTCCGCTTCCTCTCTTCCTCCGCCTCCGCGCTTCCCGCCGCAGAAAGCGGCTCCGCGTCCGTTCTCTCCCGCTTTGACATGGCCGTGCATACGAGGGCTGCGCCGCCGGACGGTCTGCTGACGTGTGCTGCGCTGGCGTGGTCTTCGTGGCGCAGGTCCACGTGTCGTCGCAGGATAGATGTAAGGGGAGGCGAGCTAAAACTGGAACGGAATTTCTGCTGCGTGGACGGGCGAAGGGATGCGGACGCGGGGGTTGTGGCGAAAGTGGCGAAATAGGCGATAGGCGAGGTGAAGGCTGTCGCCAACGAGGCCGTCGCCATCGTGCCGGTGCTCGCTCAAACGGTTGAAGAGAAAAGAAAGACCCCGGGAAAAAACAAAATGACTAGAATAGCTCGGATGACCAGGATAACGAGGCGCAGAACTGGCTGGAATATCGACGGCGACTGCACGAGCTGAGACGAATGTGGCTACGAGACACGGAGACGGCGGAAGGATGGTGGAGAGAGATGGCAGGCCGTATAAGAGAAGACGACAATGGATGTGGAGACGACTGATAACGAGTGAATTCAGGGTGCACGAAGGTCGGCACAGGTTCAGTCCCAGCTTCTGTGCTTACACTCCAGCTAAAACGGAATTCATCGTTGCTCTACGGTGCTACCCAATCAGGCGAATTCGCGAACTGGGCAACCAAGACTGGAGGAGAGCTCTTGGTAGACACAGCAGGTGGCGAGGAGGAGGGCGTCGCGTCTAGCGCTTCGAGAAGTACGAGGCTGACACAGATGACGTGGATGACGCGGATTTCGAGAATGTAAGATTGAATAAGAAGCAAGGACTTAGAGAGCAACACGAGGTCCAGGGTGAAGTGTGAACGAGGAGTGTATAGTGAATGGTGTCAGACATACATCCCGAGACTGCCACGTGTGCTAATATCTAGGCTGACAAGGAGGAACTATTTACTCCTGCTGGAGCTGATACAAACGGGTACAGCCTTGCTGTCGGGAGGCGAGGCTGACGTGTGTGGGAGTCGAGCCGACCAATCGAATGCTGTGTTCAGCCTCAACACTTACAGCTTACAATGACGTTAAAGAATCTACAGTCCTCGCTAGGAACTGAAACGAATTACCGTACAAGGATGAGAACAGCAAGTCAGTTTTAGCTTTATAATCAAGACTTTACACCGACCAAGTAGTCCCCTTATGTATAAGCACAGAGCTACTGCAATACTGAGCATTTTTTTGGTTGCAATCACACAAGAACTCTGCGAGTGCTGGGCACTGCCGCTCACCAATGCTCTAGGACACCCACTATTGAAGGACAGCCTAACGAGCACTGCGCACGCGAAGCTGCATACTAGAAAATAACATCCTCTTCGATGGCCGTTGCAGACCAGGACTTGTCAGCAATCGCCTTGGGGGCCTTGGCCTCTTCAGCTTCTCTCTCCTCCTTCAACTTCTTCAACTTGTCAGCCTCTCTCTTCTTGTAAGCCTGCACCTTTTTCAGGCGGAAAAAATCCTCACGCTCCAACTCATCAAGCTCTCCCTTGATGTACGAAATCGTATTCTCCAGGCGAGGCACCACCACATTCTCAAGCGCATTGACACGGCGGTTGGTCGTCTTAATGGCCTCGTCCAGCGTCAAGAAGGATGTCTGTAGAGATGCCAGTTCAACCAGCAACTCAATAGCACGGACGAACGCTGACCTCGCGAGCTGGATCTGCTGTCCTCCTCGACCCAAACCAGTCAGATCGTTCTTGCTGTCGCCTGCCTCGGCGAAATGTTCAAATTTAGGCAGCTTCACGCCAGCGACATTGTCCTGCTTCGCGCGAACCTTAATAATGGCCTGATCCACGTTCTCAAAAACGACGTGCTTGACTCTGTCTCCAGCGGCGTACTTCGCTTCAGTCAGCGCGAAGGCTGAAGACTTCATGATGTCACCCATGCTCTCCTTCGTCTCCATGATCTTCCTCAATATTTGCCTGAACTGCATCGTCAACGCATCGCTCTTCTTCTTCAGCAGCTGATGTCCTTTCGTGGCACCAATGAGCCGGGCTTTGATTACCGTCAAAACAGTCACCGTGGGCACAACAGTCAGCCGCTGACCTTGCGACATGGTAACAGCTGGCTGATATACGCAACCTCTAAACGCTTAAAAAAATCGATGTTATCCTCCCTCCAGCAAAGTCGTAAGCCACTGCTGTGAGTTCTGCACGGTAGGGAGATGCACCAATGATCAATAAATGGACCAAGCAAATGTTTACCTAGGAGGTGTGAAAACGAATGGACACCTTGCTTGTCAAACGTTCACCTAGAAGCTACAAAAAATGTGCTGGGTTGAAATCCACGAAGAAACAGTCAGAAGGGACGAACTTGAATCGGGGTTTGGCGCTACTTGCTTCACATTGGCTGTTACAAAAGTGACTCGCAAGTTCGTGTGCACTCCTGATTCGTCAGCCTGACCAGCTTCCCACGACCCAAGCTGGGAAGTTCACACAGAGGCGACAGAGTTTTCTGGTTACCATACTGAAATTCGCTCAGAGTCGATATCGCCACCAGCGGATGTAGGTAGGGCAGAACCACACCCTCCCTCCCCTTCCACAGCCCTTTCTTTCCTTTCCTTTATACACGATTGCATTCCTCCCTTTCTGTTTTCAACTCCTCTTTTATCCCTTCTGTTCCAGTCTTCTGTCTCACCATTTCAGCTCTCCTCCCCCCTTGCTTTCAACCTTCCCTGCATTCATCCCACCACATCCATCTATTTTTTGCATGCAGGTTTTGGCTTCTCGCTGTCACAGTTTCATACAGTATCCCTCGCGCTTCCTCTCTTTTCGCATCCATGGCTGCCACGACTGTCGCATTAGCGCGACCACCCACTAGTCTTTCCTCTAGATCCCTCGGGACTACCTTTGTAACCGGGACAGCTTCCTGCCGAGTTAGTCTAGCGCCGTTTCGCCTTCCTCAGACTTCTTCATTGCAGTCGAAACCGAAGGGTGTTGGGCGAAAATCAGACCAAAGATGTCGGCAACGGGGCGGCGCCATGACTTCTCAAGCTTTCGTTGACTGGACTGCCGTTCCTGCATGGTATGTATTCAAACGATACAAACAAAGTAACCCAACAACCCGTTTTAGCCTCGCACGCCGTCTCGCTTGTCACGCATACGTATTTCCTCATAATGTTTCTAGACACAACCTGGGATTCCTTATCTTCAATCCGTCCACTCATTCCCCCTTCCCCGCTCGCTTGCCCACAGGCTGGTCGCGTGTACCTCTTCAAGTCGTTCGGGCCCGGAATGTACCTCCACCCTCGTCAAGAACCTCGTACTCTTCCCGAGACACAACCCCGGTTTCCATCTTACCCACCATTCCCGTCCGCCTTTCCCCTTCCAGGCTGGTCAAGGTCCTAGCTGAGCGCGTGTATCCCTCCAACCCGTGCACGCCCGGTACGCTCTGAGACATCTCAACCGTCCCCTCATTCCCGCGCTTTTCCCTTCCGCAGGCTCGTCAAGGTCCTGGCTGAGCGTGTCTACCTGTCGAACCCCTTTGGGCCCGGCAAGTACCTGGATCCGAACGCGCAGGCGTGTGTGTACATCTGCAAGCCGTGCGTGTACATTTGCAAGCCGTGCGTGTACAGTATATCCCTTTCATTCCCACCCGTCTCTCTCCCCGGCTTCCAGGCTGGTCAAGGTCCTGGCAGAACGCGTGTATCCCTCCAATCCCTGTGGGCCCGGCAAGTATCTTGATCCAAACGCGCAGGCATGTGTGTACATCTGCAAGCCGGGGTATTCATACGACTACGACACCAAGTCGTGCGTGCGCATCATGCCCGCGTGCGGCGAGGGCTACGTGCTCAAGGGCGGGCGGTGTGTGCCCAACCACGAGTGCGACCAGGGGTACTCTTATGACGCCTCGCTTGATGCGTGTGTGCTGCCTCAGGTGAGCATTTCGGTGCCTTAGGTGAGCAATTGCGTGCCTTGGGTTGACTAGGAGGGGAATGGAAGTACTGTGCGGCGAGGGTTACGTGCTCAAGGGCGGGCGATGTGTCCCCAACCACGAGTGCGACCAGGGGTACTCGTATGACGCCTCGCTGGACGCCTGTGTTCTGCCCCAGGTGAGCTTGGGAGTATTTCGGGTTGACTGGGAAGGGAATGGCAGTGTCTTACTGGGGGGAGGGCTTCTGCTCAAGGGCGGGCGCTGTGGGCCCAACCACGCGTGCGGTTAGGGCTACTCGTATGATGTGTCGCTGGATGCGTGTGTGCTGCCCCAGGTGAGCGTCTGATCTGGGTCCATCAGGTGCTGCGTGGAGCTTGGGGGTGGGGGGCCTTGGTTGGGAGTACCGTGTGGCGAGGCTATGTGCTCAAGGGCGGGCGGTGCGTGCCCAACCACGAGTGCGACCAGGGGTACTCGTATGACACGTCACTCGATGCGTGTGTGCTTCCCCAGCTGAGCGTTTGGGTGTCTTGGGCTGAAAGGGGAATGGAAGTATCTTACTGGGAGGGCTTCGTGCTCAAGGGCGGGCGCTGTGGGCCCAACCACGAGTGCGACCAGGGGTACTCGTATGACGCGTCACTGGACGCGTGTGTGCTGCCTCAGGTGAGCGTTTGCTTGTCTCGGGCTGACTTGTCTGGGAGGGGAATGAATGAATGTACCTTGTTGGGAGGGCTACGTGCTCAAGGGCGGGCGGTGCGTGCCCAACCACGAGTGCGACCAGGGTTACTCTTATGACGCATTGCTTGACGCCTGTGTGCTGCCACAGGTAAGTGTCTGAGTAGGCGCCTCAGGTGTGGAGTGGTGCTAGGATTGTGGCGCATTGCTGCCTTGATTGGGTTGGGAGTAGCGTGCGGCGAGGGCTGCGTGTTTAAGGGGCTGCGTGCTCAAGGGCTGCGTGCTCAAGGGCTGAGTGGTTGGGTGGGCATGTGGTGTCTCGGGTCGACTTGACTGGGAGGGGAATGGAAGTAACCTATTGAGAAGAGAGGGCTACATGCTCAAGGGTGGGTGGGTGGTGTGTGCCCAACCACGTGTGCAACCAGGGGTACTCTTATGACCCCTCGCTTGATGCTTGTGTGCTTTCCTGTCTCAGGTGAGCGTTTGACATGGGCCCCTCAGGTGAGCGTTTGACATGCGCCCCTCAGGTGAGCGTCTGACATGCGCCCCTCAGGTGAGCGTTTGACATGCGCCCCTCAGGTGAGTGTCTGACATGCGCCCCTCAGGTGAGTGTCTGACATGCGCCCCTCAGGTGAGTGTCTCTTCTGGGTTCCTCAGGCGCGGAGTGTAGCTTGGATTGGGGAGGTTCAGTAGAAAGGTCATGAGAAAGGAGTACAACCTTGGTACCCTTGAAAGGCCACGTCAGCATCGCCAACCTGGATGCTTGTGTCTTGCTCTTGACTGCACCAATGCAACCCTCTTGCCATCCCATCATCCAAAGGTTACGATGAGCTGCTCTAATGGATCCCTCCACCTTCTCCAATCCTGCATTATCTCTCTTCTTTTTGTGACATCCTGCCTCTTTTCATTTCTCTGCCTGCTGTCTGTCACTCCTTTTTTGTTTTCATGACTGCCCTTGGTCCTCTTGTTCCCCCAGGGTTCTTTCCACGAGCCCAAGCGTAACTGGTGGCAGCAGGGAGTGGCTTGGGCAGCAGGAAAAGTTTTGAAGACGGATGACAACAGCTGCCCGGCCGGGTTTTACTACGACCCCAACACGACGGCATGCGTGCCGGTGTGTGCGCCGGGGTTCATGTACGACCGTGAGCTGAAGAAATGTGTGCCTTCAGAGGATACTGTGTTTTGAGTCGACTCAAAACACGCCGGGGTTTATGTACGACCGTGAGCTGAAGAAATGCGTCCCTTAACATGATACTGTAGTGTAGACAGCACTGTAATTTTTTTTTCTGAAGTGTTTTGTGTGTGCTCTCTAGACCTGCCCTGCACAATGACATGGCAGTAGGCATCAGTACCTATCTGGTGTATATAATTTATTATGGTACCAAGGCTATACAATACCCAATTTTATTTTATGTGAGCATGAATGAACAACTGAGTTGTGGTTTTAGATTTGGACTTGTGCCAGAATGTTGAATTATATTGCATATCTTATAACTGCCTACAGCTAGCTAGTGTACTAGTTTAGTTATTAGCATCAACTGTTGGTGGTGTACCCTCTCTTTTCCTTGCCTATATCCTTGTACTGTTTCTCATTATTGAACCTCTTTGGCCAACCCAAACTCCCTCGATATCCATCTCGCTATGCTACTCTTGTTAAGATTAGGAGATTATGCAGTACGTAGGTTTAGGAGAGGTTTAGTAAGGAGAATCATGGAGGGAGAAGTTTGGCCAAAAGAGGGGCTTTCATTATGAAGTTGGGAGTACAAATAGGAAGGAGAGGAAGGGGAAAAGGGTACACCACCAGCAGTTGAACCTAATAACTAACTAATACACTAGCAAGCTGTAGGCAGTTAGGATATGCAATATAATTCAACACACCCCCGTAACTGCCTACGGCTATAGCTAGTGGTGTCTGGCACCAGGTCGCCTGGAGAGCGGTTGCTGTAGCTGGGATAGGCACAGAAACAGCGGTGGCTGAGCGGCAGCACCTGTGAACGCCAGAACGGAGGAGGGCGCGGAGAGCGCGGAGGAGGGCTGGGATAGCCGGAGGGCGAAGGATGCTGGTCGCTCGCCATCTACGAGCAAACACAACTGTTGGTGAGGAGGAGGAAGCTGGTGGTGGTGCACAGGAGGAGAGCAGAGGAGATGCGGCTGGAGAGGAGAGAGGAGGAGGAGATGCGGCTATAGGAGAGGAGACTGGAGGAGATGATGCGGCAGAAGGAGAGGAGAGGAGAGAGGAGGAGATGCGGCTGGAGGAGAAGAGGAGAGGAGAGGAGAGGAGAGGAGAAGAGGAGGAGGAGAGGAGAGGAGAGGAGAGGAGGTGGCTGGCGCGGCAGAAGCTTT